GTCTCGAGATTTACATTCCGAATGCTTGACAACTGACTCACATTTATGACAGTTGAAATGTCCCAGAGTCAGGTGACGTGATCCCCTTTTACGACCGCCTATCAAGCCAAGTCAATGGGGAAACCAGATAATTTAACAACCGCAGTGATTTGCTTAACAAATGGGGAGGGGGGGGCCTTCTCTGTGGGGGCACCTACCCTCTGGAATCAATTGCCTCCAGAGATAAGGAGAATCCAAGACCTCGGTGCCTTCCGCCGTGCCCTTAAAACCTTCCTTTTCCAGCAAGCCGGGCTGGCCTAATTTTTTTAAGTGTTTTTAAGTGTTTTGTTTATTGTTTTTAATCAATGGGGCCAAATTTATATATGTATATTTTAACTGTATTTTAATATTTGTATTTGATGTTTTTACTTGGCTGTTCACCGCCCTGAGTCCTCAGGGAGAAGGGCGGTATACAAATTCAAAATAAAATAAAATAAAAAATAAAATAAAACAAGTATGGAAAAGAAAAGCCGTAAAATGGAGCAAAACTCACTTAACGAATTTCTCACTTAACAACATAAATTTGGGGCTCAATTGTGGTCGTACGTTGAGGACTTACCTATATTCTTAGCCCACATTTCACAAACTATCCACCAATGTAGATTTCACACATTTTTCTCAATACTCTCCCTTTTTCAACCGTTTCTTCAAATCTCTCTGTCACGCTCAAGACGTTTTCTTCTCCAACTTTCACACCTGTTCAACCAACAGGCCCCATCTTCCTGAGGGTGTGTATTTCATGAGTTCATGCATTCCGCACGACCCAACCCGAAACTTTTTTTTTTTTTTAAAAAAAGTTAGGGCCCATAAGTCAGAAACAGAGCTTTGAAAAAACTACTCCAAATCAAGACCTTCTTAAGATCTACAGCTGATGCAAAAACAGATTTGTTCAGTAGTTGTTCCAGCTTCAGAAATTCCATACTTAGGGAAATAATCTCTTCTTAACACCTGGTACCCCCTCTGGCAAATGTTTGGACCCACCATCACTTCTCATTTCATCAACCGTCTTGCCCCGCCAAGAAATGCCAGCCAACCAGCTGGTTTCAGGACTATCCCTTCAACACCATCTTCAACGTGCTCAGCCTCAAGTCATTTTCAGATCACAAATCATGTTAACGCCCTACACAACTGGCTTTTTGATTCCACTTCCTTGGCTTGAAACCAACCGCAATCCTTACAAATGGAAATTTATCTCTCTCTCTCTCTCTCTTTTTTTGGAATTCCCCCCCCCCATATTTCATAACTAAGCAGGAGGCACTTGAAATAATGCCAATTTTGAAAGTCCGTCATAGATCTCGAGTTATACGGTAACACCGCAGACTGCAATGGAGAACTCAAAACATCATTTCAAAATGTGTGTGCTGGGCCCTGTGGAATTGGTGTGTGTGTGTGTGTGTGTGTGTGTCAGGGGGAGGGGGTTTAATCGAGAGGGAGAGAGACAGACAGAGGGAGAGAGAGGGGAGGGAGAGGGAGGGAGACGGGGAGAGGGGGAGGGAGGGAAATGGGGAGAGAGAGAGGGAGGGAGAGAGGGAGAGGGAGGGAGAGATGAGGAGGGAGAGGGGAGAGGGAGGGAGACTGGGAGAGAAAGCGGGGGAGGAGATGGAGACGGGAGAGAGACGGAGAGGGGGAGACTGGGAGAGACAGAAGGGGAGGGAGGGAGACTGGGGAGAGAGAGGGGGAGGGGAGGAGGGAGGGAGATCGAGAGAGGGAGGGAAGGAGACGGATAGAGAGAGAAGAGAGGGAGACGGAGAGAGAGAGAGAGAAGAGAGGGAGAGGGAGAGAGATGAGGAGGGAGAGAGGGAGACAGGGAGAGAGGGAGAGGGAGGGAGACTGGGAGAGAAAGGGGAGAGGAAGATGGAGACGGAGAGAGACGGAGAGGGAGGGAGACTGGGAGAGACACAAGGGGAAGGAGACTGGGGAGAGAGAGGGGGAGGGAGGGAGGGAGATCGAGAGAGGGAGGGAAGGAGACGGATAGAGAGAGAAGAGAGGGAGACGGAGGGAGGGAGACAGAGAGAGAGAGAAGAGGGAGAGGGAGAGAGATGAGGAGGGAGAGAGGGAGAGAGGGAGGGAGACTGGGAGAGAAAGGGGAGAGGAAGATGGAGACGGGGAGGAGAGAGACGGAGAGGGAGGGAGACTGGGAAAGACAGAAGGGGAGGGGACTGGGAGAGAGAGGGGGAGGGAGACGGAGAAAAAGAGAGTGGGGTGGGAGGGAGGGAGATCGAGAGAGGGAGGGAGACAGACGGGGAGAGAGACAGGGAGAGAAAGAAGGACGAGGAGAGAGGATGATTTTCAACATTTGGCAACTGAACGGTGGCATTACATAATTCTTTTTGAAAAAATATATATTTTGGATGTCTCAATCTGCAGTCTACAGATTGCTCTACAAAGCATTGTACCATAGCCTTTACAGATCTGATTCTTGGCACGGAAACTGGACTAAAATGGAACTTTTGCACTGCCAGAGAACATTTTTGACCTACCGAACCATTTCACATCCTTGCATCTTCCATTTGTCACTACCGATAGGAAGGAGTTAAGACTCCCCGTTTCCCGTTTGGTTTTATTTTAATCTGAGAAAGGTGTCGATGTGGGCCAAACGCCAAGAGAGTCACCGGAATAACAAAATAGCAGAAGTCTGAATAATCCCTTTCCTTCCCAAACCTTCTCAACGACGGCCTGGGAGGTCAGCTTTTATTAAAAAGACGGCCATTAAGGGTAGAATTAGCGTTTTCCAATTGACAATATTGAATGTTTCGAATCAGCCTCTGTTAAAGACGGCAGCTTACTAGCAAGCTGAATGTCTCTGTTTATAATTAGTTTAATGAATGTCCGAATGCTTCAGAAAATTTCACGCAGCCTAGGCAACGCCAAAAAGAAAGAAAGAAAAAAAGAAAAAACTTTCCTGTAAATAAAGGGCTATTAATTTTGGTCTCCGAATATATATTGGTATTCAGTCCCTTTGACCAGGAATCTCCTACCTTGGCAACTTTTAAGACTTGTGGACTTCAACTCCCAGAATTCCCTTTGGGGAATGTGGCTTCCTATATCTGGCTGACAAATCCCCTTTGGGGAATTCTGGGAATTGAAGTCCACAAATCTTAAAATGTTGCCAAGGTTGGAGACCCCTGCCTTAGGAGACTCCGCCAGCCAGGCCCACTCCTGAGGTGCCGAATCTGAGCTCCCATCATCCTGAGCCGCATTTGGGAGGTCCCCATGTGTTAGATGACTGCTCTCAAAGGAGCAGAGGTAGCTCTTCACTTACGACCAGTTGCTTAGCAACCGTTCAAAGTTATGACGGACGTACATATGAACTGGATTTAAAATTCGGACAGCTGCACGCGATTGAATTTGGGGTGCTCAGGATTCGGCCTGCATTTACAGCTGTTTGCATGTCCTGCAGTCCCATGATGGTGACGTATGATAATTTTGCATTTACTTCTGCTAAAATTGACTTGTGGGCAATGGGTTAAGCTTTACAATTGCTGTATTTATTTAAAGATCATTTGCAAAAAAGGCTATTAAATTGGACATGTAATGATCTGCTTAAGGACCGACATGACTTATGACCATAATTCCACTCTCAATTATGGTTGTAAGAAAGTCCCGGCTTACGACCAACAATTTGCACCTCAAACTTCTGTTGCTAAGCAAGACAGTTATGAAGTGAGTTTTGCCCCATCTTACGACCTTCCTTGCCACCGTTGTTAAGTGAATCACTGTAAGTTCTTAAATTAGTCACACGGTTGTTAAGTGAATCTGAATTCCCCATGGACTTTGCTTGTCAGAAGGTCGCAAAATGACCCCGGGGACCTTCATAAATACGAGCCAATGGGCAAGCATCCAAATTTTGATCACGTGACCATGGGGATGCTGCAAATGTACAAAAGGGTCCCTAAGTCACCTTTTTTCGGGACTGTTGTAACTCGAAACAGTCACTAACCGAATGGTTGTAAGTTGAGGACTCCTGTAAACTTAACGAGGCTGTGTTTTCCTCTCTTCTACTCTAGCCCAAAATAAGCAGCCACATATCAGGGCTGCAGTTCCAGTGGTGGGTTTCTACTGGTTCGTGCAAACCGGTAGTGGCGGTGGCAGGAGGCTCCGCCCACCTGCCTGGATGTCATCACGGACACTCTGCGCACGTGCAGAAGTTTCTGCGCATGTGCAGGAGCGTCGTACGTGGGCACGGTCACAGCTCCAACCCGGTAGAAAAGGTAAGTGAAACCCACCACTGCCGCAGTCTATCTTTTCGTTCTTTGACCCTCGGATCTTGGCGCTGAAAAAAAAAAAAATCAAGACTGCTTCAAGACACCGGGCGAAATGCCAAAGCAGGCGACGAACGCCCACTCGGATTCCTAACTTGGCTGGGAGAAAAAACAGAACATCAATCCCAAGAGCATGAGTCATAACAGCCTGAACATTTCCCCAAGTAGAAACTCTCAACTTTTCCCTATCAAGCAGGGGTGAAATGCTCCTCGTTCGGACCGGATCGGCCGATCTGGTAGCAATGGCGATGGGTGGTTCGGAGAACCCGTAGCAAAAATCCCTGCACCCCCCCCATGCCCAGCTGAGCCGCAGGATCATCAGAGGCTTTTTTTTTTTTTACTTTTAAAAGCATTTTTTTCTACAACCTCTTCCGACGAAAAAAATGCTTTTAAAAGTAAAAAAAAAAAAAGCCTTTGATGATCGCGTGGCTCAGCTGGGATCGTCAGAGGCTTTTCAAAGCATTTTTTTCTGCAGCCTCTTGGCCGAAGAGTTGGTAAAAAAAATGCTTTGAAGAGTCTCTGACGATCCCAGCTGAGTTGCCTAATCCTCAGAGAGGTATTTTTTAAAAAGCCTCTCTGACCATCCCAGCTGAGTTTCCTGATTGGCAGAGGCTTTTCAAGGCATTAGAAAAAAATGCTTTGAAAAGTTTTTTTTTAAAAAAAAAATTGGCCACGCCCACCCATATTACCCCCCCCCACACACCAAGCCACACCCACAGAACCGGTAGTAACAAATTTTACATTTCACCCCTGCTATCAAGAATGGCCCTTCAAACCCACCGAAGAGCAGCTTGAAAATTTTGCGGACGAAGGCAGAAACCCTGAGCAGAAGAAGTCAGAAACAGGTCAGGTGCGATGAGGACCAATCATCTGCCCTCTTTGAAACTTTGGTGAACCCCAAGAAGATGTTCCTTCCATCCTCCATCCTTCCCCTCCTTCGAGCAAACCCCTGACGGTTGCTGGTAAAAAATGCAACCCAAATCTGAACCAGCAGCACCCGAGTTCCACACAGGATCAGAACGGAACTCACGTGTCCAACTCTTAAGACCAAAAAGTCCAATGTAGACACTCTTCACGCTCCTAGACAAGATCCTTCAGATGTCCTCACCCGCCCCACGTTCTCCCCAACTTAGCACCTGTCCTAATTTGTCTTGGGGAATAGACGGCCATTCAAACCTTCATTTTTTTGGATGCAAAGTCCAGACTTGGCGAGGGGGTAAAAGAAGGAGCCTCAGGTGAGATGCTGCTTTGGGTACCTGCGTCCGCTGTACACCCGGATGATCCTGGGCGCCTGCTTCCAGACGCTCAGCAGCTGCGAGGCCACCCTCTCCAAAGTGGACCGTTCAAAATCAGCCAGCAGATTCACCGGAGAGGCTTCCTTGACGAATTTGGGCAAGCTCAGGATTTCGGGCAGGTGAGGGTTGCCGAGGAACAGGTGAGCCAGCCTCCCTCGCTGGAGAGTCTGGACCAGGAACAGGACCACGTCCTCCAGCCGGGCCACCAAGAACCGGTCCTCCCAAGCCTGCCACGGGTTACGCAGGAGCACCCAGAAAAGGGCCGTCTTGAGGACGTAGGAGGAGAGGACTCGGTCCCACTGGGCAGCCCAGGGGGGCTCCAGGGCGCGGCCCCCCAGCTCCCTCAACCCTTTGAGGATCTGCAGGCATTTCAGGTGGCAGGAGTCCGCGGGGACTTGGTCCCGAAGCCAGGCCAGCAAGCGCTGCTCCGCTTTGGAGAGGTTGAGGGTCCAGAAGGTGCCCAGTTGGGGTGCCGCAGAAGGCTGGGGGCAGCAGGCCCAGGGGGTGAGGTAGAGCCCCTCGCCCAGCGGGATGGCCGGGGTGAGGTGGACGGTCAGGGAGAGGTGGCAGCAGACGTAATCCGAGCGCGGCGCGATCTGCAAAACCAGCGGGCAGGGCGCACCACCGACGGCTAACTGCACTCGGCAGCGCTCTTGCAGGCGGGCGCGTACGGCGCAAAGGCAGCGCTGCACTTGCGCCTGGAACCAACGGGCCACCAGCGCCGCCGACAGCAGGGACGCCCCGTCGTCGTCTTCTTCTCCTCCCGGGCTTGCAGCCACGCACAGAGCCCGGCTCGGGGAGCCTTGCGCGCCGTCGGTTACGCGCAAAGTGCAGAGGAAAGCAGCCCTCGAGCCGGGTTGCCTCTGCTGTTGCGGCTCCGGAGCGCAAGGCAGGACCCGCAGCTCCAGACGGGGCGGCAAACGGAGCGGCACCAGCACGTCGAAGCCGTCGGGGCTGCCCACTTTGTGCTGTTCGTAAGCGCTGCCCACTTGGATGAAATCCCCGCGTAAGGACAGCCGTCCGGCCGCTTTGCCGGCGCGCACCAGCTCCCCGACCACCAGGCTGACGTGGGCTTTGCTGTGGCCCAGCACGTGGGGCGAGAGCCGCAGCCGCGTCTCGTAGAAGCCGTCCAGCAAAGCCCGGCGCCGGGGTTCCCGTCCGCTGGAAGCGCCGAGCGAGCCGCGTTTGGACGGCAGCCGCCGCCTCCGCCGCGCCGTCCACCAAACCCGCCAGCCCAAGCCCAGCGCGGCCAGCAGCAACAGCATCAACAGGAGCAGCAGAGGTCCCGGCAAGCGGCTCCCCACCGCTTCCCCTCCCGTCGGGCCGGCCTTGCCGCGCAGCCCTTGCAACAGGCAGAGCAGGAGGGTGCAAGCGCAAGTCAGGAGCGGCCAGAAGACGCGCAGGTTGAGGCTGTAGACGGCCATGGATGGGGTGTGTGTGTGTGTGTGTATGGGGGGGGTCTCAGCTGCAGCGCCGTCAATGCATCGCCCGTCGAGCTCAGCGCTGCTGCTGTTTCTGCTTCTCCTTCTGCAAACGCGCCGCTGTTGCTGCTTTCCTCCGGGCTGGCATCGTTTCAACCCATCGCCGATGCTTTTTTTGGGGGGGGGGGGCTCCGGTACCTTTCGACGGGACGGTGCACGACAAGGCAGCCTCCTTTTCCTCCTTCCTCGGCCCCGAGAATCCCGACTCTGCGACTGTTAACTTGCTGCGACTGTTAACTTGCTGGCCTGGCGCCCGCGGGCGCCCAAAGGAGACTTTTCCTCGGGATTTACAACCGCTCGGAGGAAGGGACGGACGGGCACGGGCGGGGCCACTCACGGTTTGGATCACCGCCGTCGGTGGCTTGGGGTTTGGTTAACCCGGGTTCTCCCCGTCCGCGTCCTGGAACCGGGCCGCTGCTTGCTTTCGCGGCGTCGCTTGCAGAAGCCAAGTTCTGCAAAAACTTTTCTTCTCCTTTTTTTTTCCCGTTCTCTTCCTCTTCCGAGTGGGGAACGCGGCGCGTCACTTTAGGGGGATGAGCTCAGAGGAAATGCCAAAGTCTGGGATGGAGGAGGAGGAGGAGGAGAGGAGGAGGAGGAGGAAGGGGAGGTGGGACCCGAAGGGACGGGCTGCCCCCCTTGGTTTGGTTCCAGGATTATCCGGGCGGGAGAAGCGCAGGAGTAGCTGCTAGAAGAGGAGGAGGAGGAGGAGGAGGAGGGAAGAGGGAGAAAAACGAAAGGGCTCCACCAAGGGCGTGGATTTGCCCTGGGCGGTGGCTGGAAGGAGGGACAAGAAGCCAGGATGTCCAAACAAGCCAGGATTGCTTGCCACCCTCTCTATCTGGGGCCACCTCTGGTTTCCAAAGGGAGAAATCTGCCAGCAATCAGATCTCTTGCCTAGGAGAAAGGATCAAAGAAAGAAAGCGGGAGGGAATGGAGAGGAACTGGATTATAGGGAGTCCTTGTTTTACGACCACAATTGAGCTCCAAACATTTGTTGCCAGGGAAAAGAGTTGTTTTGTTTTTTTAATTTGATTTATATGCCGCCCTTCTCCGGAGACTCAGGGCGGCTTACAATGTGTTAAGCAATAGCCTTCATACTTTTGTATATTTATACAAAGTCAGCTTATTGCCCCCACAAACTGGGTCCTCAATTTACCTACCTTAGAAAGGATGGAAGGCTGAGTCAACCTTGAGCCTTGGCGAGATTCGAACCTGCAGTAATTGCAGGCAGCTGGTCTTAATAACAGGGTGCTTTAAACCACTGTAATGCCAAGGCTCCTTTTGTTTTGTGGGGTTTGCCCCATTTTTTTGCGACCTTTCTTGCCACGGTCGTTAAAATGAATCGCCGCCTGTTGTTCAGTTAGTAAAGACGGTCGTTGAAGCGAAATCTGGCTTCCCCGTGGACTTCACTCGCCAAAGGGGATCGCGTGACACCCCCGGGGGGACGCTGCGACCCATCGTAAGTATGAGTCAGGTTGCCAAGCGTATTGAATTTTGCTCCCGTGACTGTAGAGAAGCTACAACGGGTCGTGTGAAACGAGGGTTACGGATCACCTTTTTAAAAATTCAATGACGTAACTTCGAACGGTCGCTAAACGAATGGCTCTGAAGTCGAGGGCTACCTGTGCTTTGGGGCTTCTGGATGCTGGACATCTCTGCCCACTGCCAGCTCTGAGTGCCGGGCACTGCCAAGGAAAAACAACGGCAGATAAAAGAGCTTTCTTGCCTCTGGATAAGAAGAGTGCAACACCCTCAACTCCAGCTATGAAAGTGGGGTGGGAGGAGGACCCAATAGCTAATTTTTTAATTTATTTACCGTATTTTTCGGAGTATAAGACACTTTTTTCCCTCCTAAAAGAGGCTGAAAATTCGGGTGCGTTTTATAATCCGAATTTGGTTTTTTTAAAAAAAAACAATTTTTTTTAGACATAAAAACGTACTTTTTTTCTGAATACAGTATTGACCGAGTCAAAATTCATACAGCTTATTTTCTTCAAATTTACTATATATATTTCAATTTCTGCCAATGTGCTCTATTTTCCCCTTTTCTCTAATTTATATTTACTATATAATATATAATCAATATTGCCATGTGCCCTAACCTCCTTATCTTAGCCTATTTCATCTTATTTCTCCCTTTATCACATCTATTTTCCAGTTTTTTTTATTCTAAACACAATATTTACTTTAAACGCAATCAATTTTTCACAATTATTTTCCTAAGGTGGACCAGCTTATCATATCGTATAGTTCCTTATTAATCATTTTACCATTTTAACCATATATTCCTCTGAATTTATTTTACATCACCTTTAATAATTAGTCGTTTTGCCATTTTAGCAAAAACAATACACTTCTTCACATTTGTTATTTTAATTTCATTTAACTTTCCATCTCTTAGCCGAATTTGGGTTTTTGAAGCTTTTTTTCAGCCCTCCAAAGATCAGTTGTGCTTTGGAAGCTGTTTTTTTATCCCCAAGCAGGGGATAAAAACCAGCAAACTAATGTGCTGAACTGGACCAGACTAAGGACACTAGGCAGATTTCTCCCCCCTATTTTCCTCCCCAAAAACTAAGCTGCGTCTTATACTTCGTTGCATCTTATACTCCAAAAAATATAATATTTATATTTTTGTCATGCTTATGGAGTGTATATTGGAGGTGCTGACCCTTTGAGAGCTGTAGGCAACGGAATTTCCTTTTCAGGTATGCCAATCGGTGTACGTTTAAAGTGACAATAAGTCTTAAATCCTAAAATACTGTAATACGTGGATGAAAAATGCCAAATCCAGTGTAAAACATCTGGCTGGCCGTGCAACAAACCGCAATATTATTTTTTTTATTCTGTAAGCCGCCTTGAGTCACCACAGGCAATATAAATTCAATAAATAAGCAAGTAAAATGCAATGTAATATGCTCCGCAGGTATTCCGACTTACAACATTTTGTGACAGTTCAAAGTTACGACGCCACTGAAAAAAGCAACTTATGGACCATTTTTCACACTTACGACCGTTGCAGAATTCCCGTGATCAAAATTCAGATGCTTGGAAACTGACTCATATTTATGTGTCCGAGGGTTACGGCATCCCCTTTTACGACCTGACAAAGTCCATAGGGAAGCCAGATTCACTTAACAACCGTGTTGCTAATTTAAGAACTGCATGTTGTGGCCCATACGCAGCCTGTGCGGCTGGTGGCTGATTCAGACAGCAAGGAGGCTGGTGTGGTGCTGTGCCAGCAGCCTGTGCAGCTGGCACTCGAGTCAGACAATGAGGAAGGTGGAGAAGATGTGGTGCCAGAGGCGGGGATTCAGCCAGGGCCTTCAGAACCTCCAGAAGCTCCCTTAAGTGAAGAGGAAGAAGAGGAGGAGCCTCTTCTCAATGCACGGGCGCGCAGAGCTGCCAAAAGGCAGGAGTGGCTCCTCAGGAGGAGGTCTCCTCAAGAGTATGGCTTGGGGCTAATTGGCCACTCCCTTAGCCTATTTAAGGAGGAACGCCGACTGAAGTAATTTGCAGGGAACAACTTCGTTCACTCTCCTTCGTGCCTTGATCTTCGTTCTTTGCAAATTGCTTCTGGGCTTTCTGCCAACCATAGTAAGATTAAGATTATTTATTCTTTGGATTCTTGTAGGTTGTTAAGAAAGTTAATTAACAGCCTTTGTTTGGAAAAAAAAACTTATTTAATTTAGTAAACTAAGGTTTGTACAGACTTTGTGCGTGCTGCGTTCTTTGGGGTCCGTAGCTGGGGCAGAACACTGCAATGATTCACTTAACAACTGTGATAAGGAAGGTTGTAAAACTCAACTGTCTCACTTAACAGAGGTTTTGGGCTCAATTGTGGTCATAAGTTGAGGACGACTTGTAATGCATCTTAGGTGTCCAACATGTTTTACAACATCTGGCCCCAGTAAAGCTGCTCTTAAGTTTTTTATTATTATTATTATTTTTAAATAAAGTTTTTTTAAAAAAGCTTAAAATTTAATGCTTAAAAAGCTTTGGAATGAAGCACCATTTATTTCAACCAGCGTCTACTCCTGAATCGTCCATTAGAAAACACACGATTGGTTTTTAAGCAGCGTGACTTGCTTTTCAGTACAAACTTTAATAATAAGTTAATGTTATCTCGGGAGGGAAGGCTAGATGGCTATTCTATAAGGAATCCCTTTCGTTGAAAAAAAAGATGTCGCAATTGCCCCCAAAAAAGTGGCAGCAAAACAAGTTTTTCAGGTGGAAAGCGCATGAAAACAGTTGTGTAACCTCCCCAGCAAGTTTCCAACAATTTCAGACAGTCGAAATGTTAACCATCGGCTTTCCCCAACTGACAAGAAGAACGAAGAAAACAAAAGAATCCCCATCTATAGACTATAAATCTACTGTGGCCAAATTTAAATTCTTTCCGATAAAAATATCGCTGCTTTACATCCGACTTGTATAGCATTCTTCAAAACTGAATATCCCGGAGTCTATGCAAAGAAAAAAGAAAGAACACTGAATATTAGAATTGTTTTATATTTTCCGTTATCTTCAAAATGGCTACCAGCAACAACTCAAGGCTGAAACGTTTGCTTTTGCTATTCCAGTTAAAATCAAGGCAAAGAAGAACAGATGCATTTATTCTCCAAAGCATCTCAGGGCAGGACAAGAACGGGTGGGAAATCATTAAAGAGAGATCCTGTTCTGTCCCCGTCTCACACACGCACACAAACAGACAGCCGGGGGTTAATTAAACTGGCAGACAACCAAATTCTTTCGATAAGAGGATTGGCAGCAACCCAGTAGCTAGCTTGCCAAGACTTTACTCATAAACAAAATACACACAGTTCAAGAATTGTCAAGTCCAGTCCATAATTAAATCCAAGGCCGATAATGTTGTTTCCAAAGATGCAATGTGACTCGATAGTAGTTAGTTTTGTCCGTCACAGAGTCTGAATGGCCACCTCACCCCCTTTTATACCCTGTGGGGTGTGGTCCAGTGACTCAGCTTAATCTCTGGCACGCCTCTTCTTCTGTTGCGCGCGCTTATCTCTGCGACGCTGCCGAGGATCCAGCCAAGACTCATCTCCCTCATTACTGTCAACCTGTGGCTGCGTGGACGTGCTTGGCCCCGGCCCTATCTCTTGCCCTTCGGCGGACACCGAAGGCATTGCCAGAGAGGAGGGTCCTGGAGAGGGAGGCCTTGCCAACTCCTCTCCTTCACTCTCAGAGTCCTCTCCTGCCGATGACACAGGCTCAGGTAACGGAGCCACAACAGATCCAGCTTAAAACTATGGAGATATTTCCTGACAACAATCAACCATTGAACTGGCTTGACTCCGGAAGTTGTGGGTGCTACATCATTGGAGGTTTCTAAGAAGAGATTGGACAGCCATTTGTCCAGAATAGTATAGGGCAGCGTACGGAAACAATATGCGCACACACGGTTGTCGGGGCTATGCTCCGAAAAGCCGAACTTCATGATGAGCTGGCTGGTGTGCATGCGCAGGCCGCTTTTCAGCACTGCCATGTTTGCGAAGGGATCGCGCTCCGGAAAAGCCGAATGTCTGGGTTGTGTCACGCATGACAATCAGCTGCACGCATGCACACACCAGTTTTCGGCACTGCCGAAAGGACAAGTGATCATCGTGCACGCATGTGCACCAGAAAACCGGAAGACAAACAGGCTAGGCCGTGCGTGTCGGGTAACATGGCTTTGCGTGCCACTTTGGGCAGGGGTGGGTTCTACTTACCTTTACTACCAGTTTGCATTGCGCGTCGCGCATGCCCAGATCAACTTTGATGACATCCGGGTCAGTGGGCGGAGCCTCCCACCGGTTTTACTACCGGTTCTTGCGAACCGGTCCGAACCGGGGGCAACCCACCACTGACTTTGGGCAGGCGTGCCATGGGTTCGCCATCACGGGTATAGGGTTTCCTGCTTAAACAGGGTTGGACTAGAAGACCTCCGAGGTCCCTTGCAACTCTTTTACTTTGTTAAATGTTATTTTAAGAAATCGTGCCTTAATTGCTCCAGCTCTACAAGGGTTGATGAGATGATTTTGTAAACGGTTCCCTGAAAGCTCCTTGTTCCCAGGGAAGAGAGCTAACCAGTTTCTGGGTTTCCAGAAAAGGCAGGAAAAACAAAAATAACGAACATTCAAAGCACCCTTAGATGCTTTGAGAACTATTGGTTGCATGTGGGAAATAGTCCAGTTGCTGAAATTCTTGCAACTCGCATTCCCTTCTCAATATCTTTTAATAGGCTAGACCACAGGTGGGTAACCATGTTAACCGGACTTCAACTCCCAGAATTCCTGAACCAGCATGGGTGCTTTTGATTACGAAAAATTCTGAGGAGGTTTGTTGCCAACTTACCAGTTCTGCATCGTACTCAATTCCAGTGTCGTGATGCTGCATCTCTTCATCGCGAAATTTCTTGATGATCTGGTGGGGAGGGACGGGGGTGGGTTGTATCCCAGAAGCAAGTCAAGTGAGAAAACAAGACATACGTTTAAAAAAAAAGGCCAGAAATGTCAAAATTTTGTAGATACACTTTAAATGAAAATATACAACGTCTGAGTAGCAGATGGCTTCCAAGTGGCTGCTTTCAGCTCCTGCATCCCTCTCTGACCCAAAACCTGGACTTGTCATCAGTTCTCGAAACAGGCTTTCAAAATAATGAAAACAAAGAATATTCTTTTGGGGAACTGGCAAGCTGGCACTCTAGGCTGAGAAGTGATCAACAAGATTTTAAATCACACATGGTTAAGAACATCCTTTCCTTCCACTGGAAATTTAGGAAATTCCATTCAATGGGGTAATGTTGGGAAATGCTGAACTTATGAAATTTGGCCCACCAGATTCCTTCTCAAATTTATCTATCTATCTATCTATCTATCTATCTATCTATCTATCTATCTATCTATCCACCCACTTCAACTCCCAGAATTCCCCAGCCATACTGAGGAACTTTTAAAGTGTGTGGACTTCAACTCCCAGAATTCCCCAATTGTACTGAGGAACTTTTAAGGTATGTGGACTTCAATTCCCAGAATTCCCCAGTCGTACTGAGGAACTTTTAAGGTGTGTGGACTTCAACTCCCAGAATTCCCCAACTAGCATGCTGCGGAGTTGAAATCCACAGATCTTGAAGTTGTCAAGTTTGAAAAACACTGCTCTAAATTAAACAAAAACAATATCATAAAGTAGATTATATCCGTAACTTTTTAGCACAGAGATACCTGTAATAACTCCTTGTATTTCTCGGGGTCTTCTTCTACGAGGACCCTGATCTGGTTGTTGTAATGCACAGCGATGCTTTCTTCCACGGCCACTGTGCAGGCCATGGCAGCTTTTTTCCCAAGCAAAGCCGTGCCAGCACCTAGAGGTAAAACATCAAAATCACAGCTGTGCTTGGGAGGATACATATCTCAGAGAGATATATTAGGAAAAGACAAACACTGATGCTCACCTAACATATAACCTGCCACGTCCCACAGAGGTAACAAAATGGTTGGACGGACTCTGTACAAAATCACCAACTCCTTCATTTGTTTCAAATGGTCCTTTTCTTGTTCCCACATTTGCTGGATTAAAATAAAAACACAAAGGTAGTTCCCCATAGTTCAGAAGTCTTCTATCTGTATGCTCTCTCAATCCGGAGATACACACCGCAGTCGTTTAATTTTGCTAAACCATCATGAAGCCCATACGAGCCGAGTTCATACACTGCTCTGAACCACAAGCCATACTTTCAATAAACAACGGTTAGATGCAGGCAATCTTAACAGTCTAGGCCAGAACTGATCTAATCATACAGGTGGTCCTTGACTTATGTTCACCGTTGGGAACCTGGATTTCTCTCATAAGTCAGGAGTCAACCTGTGACCATGAGCAATTTTATGACCATTTTTAATGTGGTGGTTAGGCAAAATCCCTGCAATTGTTAAGCAAATAGTGTGGTTTTTAAGGGAATCCAGTTTCCCCAATTGATTCTTTGGTCAAAAAGATCTCAAACAGTAGTAAAGGCGAGTTGGTTGCGAAACATTTGAATTTCGGTCACATGATCACAGGGTGTCATAAACAGTCATAAATGTGAGGAAAGGTTATAAATAAATTACCCCTCCCCCCCAGGCCCTTGTAACTTTGAACTGTCATTAAACAAACAGCTGTAAGTCAAAGACAACCTTTGTTATGGTTTAATACAACATAGGACTCCAGTCAACAATGGTTTACTCCACAAATCACTGTGGAGAATTAACTATATAAAGCAGGGGTCGCCAACCTTTTGGACCTCAGGGACCACTAAATTCGTAATTTTAAATCCGGTGGACCACTAATATGAATTTTTTAAAAAGATAAATAGTATTTATCTATTTAAGAGCCGAGGTGGCGCAGTGGTTAGAGTGCAGTACTGCAGCTACTTCAGCTGACTGCTAGTTCAGCAGATCAGCGGATCAAATCTCACCGGCTCAAGGTTGACTCAGCCTTCCATCCTTCCGAGGTGGGTAAAATGAGGACCCAGATTGTTAGGGGGCAATATGCTATTTAGTATGCTGTCTTTGGTGTAAGCCACCCAGAGTCCTCGGAGAGTGGGCGGCATAGAAATATGACAAACAAACAAACAAACAAACAAACAAACAAATAAATAAATAAATTTAGTGCAATATAAAAAATGCAAATAATTTTTCTGTGGACCACCAAAATTTTCTTGTGGACTGGTTGGTGACCGCTGATATAAAGTAGTTGTAAAAAAATATATATTCTGGCTACCAGTTGAACTTAAAAGGTTTTTTAAAAAGTATTAGAACAAGGACGATGAAATCAGTGGGGTAAAAATACTTACACGAATGACTGGTCCTACTGAACTTCTGCCTAAGACAGCCATCTGACCGGCGTAAATACGATTTGCCCCGAATTCGCCTGCGTGATCCACTCTGATGATTCGGTCGATCACCGGCTTGTTGATATCCTCCAAAACCATTCCGCTACTACAAAATCTGTAAGGGGAGCGTAGGAATTGCAAGCCCCATCTTCCTTTTGCACCTGTCAAACAGACAATCGTTGGTTTACTCTCGAAGAAGATTGCAGTCATTATTTGAACTTTTTTCAGAGATTTCTAAGCGTGTAACTAATTCATTAGTTTTTTTCAAAAAAATCAACTTTTTCCCTTTCAGCTTGTGATTTTCAATTAAGGGCCAAGTGAACCAATATTAACAGAATAACAGTTGGAAGGGACCTTAAAAGGTCTTCTAGTCCAATGATCCACTCGGGCAAGAGGTCCTATAGCTGTGATGGTGAACCTATGGCATGCGTGCCAGAGGTGGCACACAGAGCCTTCTCTGTGGGCATGCGTACCGTTGCCAGCTACTCTTCCAGTTTCCGGTGAGCTGGTCTTCGCGGGTGCCAGAGCACTGGAAAACAGCCTGAAAAATGGCCAAAAATCAGGCCATTTTCCAGGCGGTTTTTGGCCCAAACACAGCCTGAAAATGACCTGAAAAACAGCCTGAAAAATTACCTGAAAATGGCCCAAAAAAGGCCAAAAACCACTGTTTCCTGGGCCGTTTTCCAGTCGTTTTCGGGCCAAAAAAGACCCGGAAACTGGCCTGGAAACTGGCCTGCAACTGGATAAAAAACGGCCAAAAATAGGCCAGCCAAAAACCATGCGCTGGCCAGCTGATCTTAGGGTTTCTGGTGCTACAGCACACGCACATCCATGCGTGTTCTGGTTTGGGCACTCGGTGCCGTAAAGGTTTGCCATCACTGTCCTATAGCGTTGGGTACAAATGGTTGTCCAAGCTCAAAAACCTCTGTTGAGGTTAAATAATTACACAACCGAGATGCTTTTTAACAACTGATAGGAAGTCTCAATCAGAAGTAGGATTGAGTAGTTGCTCCCAATCCATCCAACCATGCAGGAAAACTTTGCAGAGTTTGGATTCAGTTAGCCATGATGCCAGGGAGGGACTCAAGTAAATCAACTTACACAGCCCACAACTAAAATCACGATGCACATCAAAAGCGCAGCTTTCGTTGAATGCTTAGTGGCTGCCCTCTTGCGTGGACTTCCACACAAGCCACAAAACCACCAGCCTGACTAGGTGGCTAAGACACTGAGCTTGTCGATCAGAAAGGCCGGCAGTTCAGCGGTTCGAATCCCTAGTCCAGGTCTCCTGTGTGAGCAGGGGGTTGGACTAAATGATCTCCAAGGTCCCTTCCAACTCTGTTCTAGTTTACCGCAAATACTCCACATTAGGATTTCAGCATCCAAACACCGTGTAGTCTGGCAATGCGTGGTGTTGGATTCGGGTGACTTGAGGCCAATTCTGTCTGTCCTACTTAACAGGGTTGTTGTCAGGAGAAAATTAGAAGAGGTGGAACATTTATTGTGTTATTGATTTATTCAATTTGTTAGGGTGGCCCAGTGGCTACAAGACAGCAATCCAATAAGAACAACTGTAAAAGCAATAGGTAAACCCATAAAAATTGAATATAAATTGAATAAATAAATAACAATAATAATAATAAAACCACAACTACTTAAAAAAAATAAAATGCAAATAAAGAACAGTAGTAACTTTACTACTAGTAGTAGGAGGAACAGTAATAGTAGCAATAGGAGGGTGAGATGGGTGAGCTCAATACTGGCACTTCCTTAGACACCTGTTGAGCCTCCCATCCAAGCCCCCTCCTCCAGCGGGCTGAACCAAAGTCCCTTTCCAAGATGGCTGCCTGCCGGGAATTCTGGGAATCGTAGTAAGAAAGCACCCGATAGGGCAATTAATCCAGGGAGGGCAAAGGAGGCACCGAGTGAGGGTTCTAAGGGCAGGGTTGGGAGAATCACGTAGGGATCCCAAGAAGAAGAGGGAGCAGCTATCCCGCCAAACGCTCTACCTTCCCAGCGGGCGCCGAGCAGGTAGTGCTCACGGATCAGCAGAAGGCCACTGCCCGCTGCGGCCCTCGCCATGCTGCCTGGCGCGTGGATTGATGACGTAACGGGGCTCCTGCCGCCACAGCCCTGTTGTGGCGCTCTGTTGACGTAAGACGTCCTAATCCATAAATTAATACCTCGAGACGGTTGTGCGCGGCGGGAAGCTCGTTCGATTGTCCACAAATGAAGCGTGCCGCTCTATATTATATCTCTATGTCATCATGAGGGACCGCCCCCCGGGTATGGGATTCTTTCTCCCATTGGAGAAAACCGCCGTCAATTCGGCAAAAGGCACTTCCTTTTCGGAGGTTGCCAGGGAAACCACAGAACGCGATCCGGGCTCTGGGTTGTGTGGAGTCGTGCATCGTTTGGGCTCGCCGGGCCGGATCGATGGCGGCGGGGCTGCTGGGCGGCTTGGGGTCGGAGCGAAAGCTGGCCCGCTCGGTGGCTCATCGGCTGTAAGGGCTGGGCCGGAGGGAGGAGAAATCCCTGGGAAAGCAGGGCAGGGGTATGAGGGTTCCTGAGAATGTGCAGAGTGCTTTCCATTCCATCCTCTGGGTGGATGGGTGGGTTGATATATGCCTTTTTTTCCCTTTGTTCCCATCCTGTTTTTTTAAAAAAATTTGCTGTTTCCCCCTTCTTTTTACATGTTTTTAAATAAATAGTCTATCTTTGAATTTGGAAATAAATAGCTTCATATTTGATCATTGAGAATGTAATTGTAATGTAATTGTAATAATTTTAATTATTACAATTATGTAATTGTAATAATTTTAATATTATTGCCATACGATAGATGGAGGGATGATAAATAGATAGATGATAGAGGGAGGGAGGGATAGATAGATGGATAGACAGATAGATAGAATGGATGATAAATGGATGAACGGATAGACAGATGGAGGATAGATAGCTGGACAGATGGATAGATGGGTAGATAGGTAGATGGGTAAGATAGGTAGACAGATGGACAATGGATGGATGATAGATAGAGGGAGGGAGGGAGGGATAGATAGATAGGATGGATGATGGATGGATAGACAGATAGATAGGATGGCTGATAGATGGACAGATAGCTGGGCAGATGGATAGACAGACAGACAGATGGGTAGATAGGTAGAAGGATAGATAAGTAGACAAATGGACGATAGACGGCTGGATGATAGATAGATGGAGGGAGTGATAGATGGATAGACGGATAGATAGGATGGAAGATGATGGACAGATAGACAGATGGACGATGGATGGATGATAGATGGACAGATAGCTGGACAAATGAATAGACAGATGGGTAGATAGGTAGACAAGATGGACGATGGATGGATGATAGATGGATAGACGGATGGATGGCTAATAGATAGACAGACAGACAGATAATCCTGGTTGCTGGGAATTGGGTGCCATATACATTTAATAAATAAAGGCAGACTAAATTAAACCCTTGTTCCTTTCTTGCCTGCAAATTGATGCAGCCATACTGCAATCACAATAGGGTTTGGGCATCAATCTGAGCAGGTAAACACTTTCCATGTATGAGATTTATAACATTGGCGGTGGGCAGTGGCCAAAATGATCCATTGAAGACCATGCTTTTCTTCCCGTAGAAAGTATTACATTGAGGTGCAGAGAAAGGAAAACTCCTTCCAGTCGTCAGGCCTCACCTGGGATGAGGTTGAAAACTTCTATTTGGTAAGCCTTCCTATCCATCTTGTAGCTAAATCCCAAATTCCAAATATGGGTGTATTTCCTTTACAGGTATATCTGCACAGATTGAACAATTGATATTTTTTAAAATCAAATTTAGTTATTGGGGTTTTTTTGTGACTTTATTGCGTTTGAATACTCTGTTCTTAAGCATCAATATTTCTTCAGCTGAAAAGCGGTATTTTAATGAGGAAAGTTAAAAACTGTCAAGGATAGGGCCCAGATCTAGAGGTTTTTCTCATTAGATGATAGATAGATAGATAGATAGATAGAGTTAGATGATAGATAGAGAGATAGAGAGATAGTTAGATGATAAATAGATAGATAGATAGATAGATAGATAGATAGATAGATAGATAGATAGATAGATAGATAGATAGATAGATAGAGTTCTGACCTAGGCTTCACAAAATCACGAAACAGACTCCTTGTCCCCAAAAAAACCTTTTTATTTGGCTAATGTGAATTCTTAGCATTCACATATAGAAAAGTCTCAGCAACAAGCCTTTCAAGGGTGAATTGCAACAACAGATCTTATCAGTCCTTGGATAGTTGTCAAGCCGATAGCTTCCAGGCGCAACACTGTACAATGAAATACTTGGCAAGGAATCTCTGTGAGGCACCAACTCAGATAAGCAAATCTTCACACTAATAAAACGAACTAATTGTCTCCTGCAAACACCACTCCCTTTTTGCTCCGATTTATTCCCTGTGGGAGGGGCCATTCAGCGTCCATTTGTGTCTTTATTCCCAAGTCGACCCCTGTTCCTTAACTGTTCCCTTCTCCTGACAGCTCTGCGCATGCGCACATCGGGAACAGGCTCTAGCTGTTCTTCTGCCCCACTTATCTCCAACTCCGAAAGTAGCTGATAACTGTCGGAGGGCCCTGGCCCCATCTCTGCCTCCGACGCAGAGTCTTCCCCAGACTTCAGGACTGGCCCATGTTCCTCCCCAACCTCCTCACTATCCGAGTCTGCCGCCAGCTCTGCGGGCCGTTAGCGGGCCACAACAGATAGATGATAGAGAGAGCAAGATAGATAGATAGATAGATAGATAGATAGATAGATAGATAGATAGATAGATGATAGATAAATAAATAAATAAATAAATAAATAAGTATTTGTCTGTATATTCTTTAATACATTTGGTTTTTTTTTTTTAATTTCCTTCCAGCACCCTGCTTACCTGACTGAGCAGAGGACAAAGGAACATAATTTTGCCAAGATTAAGCTGGAAGCATTTCTCCGAGCCTATATCGGCAGTGCTGAAGAATGTAACAGGAAAGTCCAGGGAAACCTGGCCAAGCAAAAGGAGGTGGAAAAGCTTATTAAAAAGATGGCCCGAGTAATACTCAGATTCATCCTTTTATATATTTCATGTAAGGGGAAAAAAATAGGGACTATGTTTTGCTCCAGTTCATATTCACTAGACCAGTGTTTTCTCAACCTCAGCAACTTTAAAATGTGTGGACTTCAACTCCTAGAACTCCCCAGGCAGTTTGCTGGCTGGCTGGGGAATTCTGGGAGTTGAAGTCCAGATATCTTAAAGCATGCTGGCTAGGGAATTCTGGGAGTTGAAGTCCCCGCATTTTAAATGTCTATGGAGGTTCTCCGTCATCCAGGTCATGGTTGTCTCAAACATGGTGCTTTTTTTCAAGAGGCAACTGGATTTTCTGTTTTTTTGTTTGAAGACGTTTCGCTTCTCATCCAAGAAGCTTCTTCAGAGAGCTGAAGAAGCTTCTTGGATGAGAAACGAAACATCTTCAAAGAAAAACCAAGAAGTCCTGTTGCCTCTTGAAAAAAAGCACCTTTGGGTCCCTGCATTTTGAAATTGCTGAGGTTGGGAAACATTGCATTATAACACCGAACCAGTTGATGGCACTTCTGTTCAACTTCCTTCCTTTAGTTCCTTTAGTTCAACTTCCTTTTTGATGAAAGAGAACCAGCTTAAATGGGGCAAGATGTGGATCAAAAGGGCAAGATAGGAAATGTTCTGACTGATCTCCAAACTGGCTGAATGCCATAATATTTTTTACCATCCCTCTTTCAGTCTTCATTATTTTTTTTCTAAGGAAACTAATAGGCAGCAAACATACCTTATGTTGCTAACTGGATCATATCTTCAAAGAGAAATATCCTATGCTTTTTGTGTATATCTCTGTAAGTTTCTTGACTTCCCCAGAACACCCCAAGCTTATAATACCTGGGACATTCTAGGAAAGTAACTTGTGATTGTGAAGCAGCCATTTGAAAGGAAATGCTCAACTGGGAATGGAGCAAATGTGAGTTTACCAAGAAATCATGAAAGCAATTCAGTTTCTCATTATGAAAATGAATGGAGTAATGAAATGAACGGAAGAACTGCTCCTCTGCATTAAGTTTGACCTGACCTAGTCCATAGCCTTTCTATATTAATAAACCTTCAATTTATCCATTTTGGATGTGATTTTCTGTCTTGCTTTCCTACTTTCTAAAAAGAATCTGTATTATGTCTGATGATAGACAAGCGAATGATGTGGTCTGTCTCTTTCTTTGTAGGATTATGTACCTGACAGAATAAATGAGGTGAAAATGAAGAGCAGAACGAGGTAATATCATTGAGTTTAATGGATTCTATCTACAGAAGAGGAGGCAATGTGATGGACTACAGTAAAGGGGTATAGATAGTCCTGGACTCACGACCACAATTGAGTCCAACATTTCTGTTGCTCAGTGAGACAGTCGTTAAGAAAATTTTGCCCTATTTTACAACCTTTTTTGCCGCGGTTGTTAAATGAATCACTTGCAGTTACAAAGTTGGCAACATGTTTGTTAAGTGAACCTGGCTTTCCCCATTGACTTTGCTTGTCAGAAGGTCACAAAAGGAGATCACGTGACCCGGGGATGCTGCAACGGTCATAAATACGAGCGAGTTGTCATATGCCCAAATTTTGATCATTTGACCATGGGGGATGCTGCAACGGTTGCAACTGTAAAAAAAAAACCAGTCATAGGTCACATTTTCAGTGCCGTTGTAACTTTGAATGGTCACTAAATGAATTATTGTAAGTTGAGGACTACTTGTAGTTTCCCAGGAAGCAGGAAACACATTCTGAGGAGAGGGATGAAGCAAGTGGCAGCCCAGCCTGGAGCTAAATAGAAGACCCAGAAAGAGAGTCGGGATAGCCACTCCCTAGTCGTCTCCCAGGTTACATCTCTTAAGGGTAGAGAAGCATAGCTTTAGTCTGGCAAGATTCTGTCTATAAGGTGTGAACAAGAGCCTTGATAGTACAGCGGTCTAAGCACCCTGTTATTAACACAGCTGCCTGCAATTACTGCTGGTTCAAATCTCTCCAAGGCTCAAGATTGACTCAGCCTTCCATCCTTTCTAAGGTAGGTAAATTGAGGACCCAGTTGGTGGGGGCAATAAGCTGACTTTGTATAAATATACAAAAGGATGAAGGGTATTGCTTAACACACTGTAAGCCACCCTGAGTCTCCGGAGAAGGGCGGCATATAAATCAAATTTTAAAAAAACAACAACAAATAAAGAGCTGAACTTTGGCTGTCGTTCTTGTGCTGGGCCTGACATTCAGCTACTCCAGCCAAACAGAAACCTTTGCCTCCCTGATCATTTCTTAGCGTGCAGAAAAGCAACTATAAATCCACATGGAACCTGAGCATTTCCTCATAGAGCTGGCAGCAGCTGAGTAACATTAAAGAACATGTATTGCACTAAAGTGTACTTTCCTTTACATCAGGGGTCTGCAACCTTAAACACTCAAAGAGCCATTTGGACCCGTTTCCCACAGAAAAGAAAACACCGGGAGCCACAAAACCCTTCCCGTGCCTGACTATTTCTTGAGCGGCCACAAAACTAGCATATGTAGTTGAATTAAACGTTCTGTTTTCTTCGGAAACTTTTCTTTTCTTGGATTTATCCATGGTTGGCCTACCGGGGGTTGAAAAGCTTAATAAATTGTGTGCCGGCAGGTGTCACACGTTGGCGGTTGTAACACATATTTTGAGGGATAAGCCGCAGCAGAAGGGTAAAAGAGCCACATGCGGCTCCAGAGCCACAGGTTGCTGACCCCTGCTTTAGATCAAGCCTCTCAGATCTGAGCTGTAAACATCCACAGGATCCCTAGGAGGCAGCAAAGAGGCTCCAAAAAAAATCTCTTCACCATCTCCTAACAGTAATCCAGATTTTCTGCAGGACAGAACTGGTATCTTTACTTCAGTTTGACCAGAACGACACATGCATGAGTGTTTATCTTCTCTAGAAGTCTGTCTTGCATTCTGGGTGCCATTCAGGCCCCCTAAACAATCCTGCTATAAAAGCTTGCTCAGACTGAAAACTATTATTTTTAAATATATTTCATTTTGAGAAATTGATTGTCCTTCTGTAGACAACAGGATAACAGGCCCATTTGATACCGGACTCGCACGCTCAACTCTGCCTTGCAGCCATAATCTGGGTGATGAGGTACATCTGGATCCGGAGATGATCCAAACCTTTGAACTGAACTGTGATAGTCTGTAGACAGCTTGCTTGTCTTCTCGGTTTGGAGAAAGCGAGACCATTTTTGCCTTTGGGAATCTGCTAATGGCAATAGCAATAGCACTTAAAACTTATATACCGCTTCATAGTGCTTTTACAGCCCTCTTTAAGCAGTTTACAGAGTCAGCCTATTGCCCCCATCAATCTGGGTCCTCCTTTTACCGACCTCAGAAGGATGGAAAGCTGAGTCAACCTTGAGCTGATAAGGATCGAACTGCTGGCAGTTGGCAGAATTAGCCTGCAATACTGCATTCTAATAATAACAACAACAACAACAGATGGATTGTCATTTGGAACACAACATGCCAGATACTACGGTTGTCGAGGGCCGAAGCGTATGGTTTATTGATATCGCTGTACCAGGAGATGCCAGAGTCGAAGAAAGGGAACTGGAAAAAATTGCAAAATATCGCAACCTGGCCATCGAAACTACACGGCTATGGATGAAACACATAACAGTGATACCTGTCGTCATCGGGGCACTTGGTACCATGTCCAAGAATTTTATAAGATACATTGACAAATTGCAGCTTCCTGCAATAACACCAGCGGAACTGCAAAAAACTGCGCTACTTGGAACATCGTACATCTTAAGAAGGTACTTGGTTGATCCCTAGGACGCTGGCAGCAACCCGTATCAACCGTTAGCACCAGTCAATGGTATTTGTGAAGCATTTTTAAATGTTTAGTTGACTTGAGTTTCATGTTTAATGAATAAAAGAGATAATAATAATAGCTATGAATTAAAACATATTTGTGGTCCCTTTGAAGTAAGCGTACTTTCCTCCGCCAGGCAAAACAAGAAGTCTTGCAGCCTCTCGAAATTATATTTGAATGCTGTGCCGCCATTGTCCCCGGAAGAAGTGAAAAGACTGGTGTCATCGGCATCCAAGCTTATCGTCGCTGCGGTATGTACCCTATTCAGACCTGACACTAAACCAAAATGGTATAGGTACTCCTCGGTTTACGACTGCAATTGGGACCCGGGTTTTCGTTGCTAATCAAGGCGGTTGTTAAGGGAGCCATGCCTGATTTTATAAACTTTTTACCACAAGGCTGAATGGTGATCACAGGACCGTGGGGATGCAGCGACGATTGTGAGAACTGGTTGTAACTTTTTTCAGTGACGCTGTAACTTCAAACGGTCGCTAAATGAATGGTTGTAACTCGAGGGCTACCTGTATTTTTTGGGGCTTTGCTTTAGTTTCCAATTTAAACATAAAACAGGGCAGGTTGATAAACCACAGTCTGCAGCATGAATCCTGAACCAATAATAGCTTATCGAAACTACAGCTTAGTAAACTCATCCACTGTCTGATTTGTTTGATCTACGTGGGAGGCGAATTGACCTATTATGGCTCAGCAGGCTGTGCAAACTAATTGTCCTGCGACAGGCAGACACGCTTACGAGATGTATTTGTTCACTCTAAAGCAGTTTGCGGAAGCATTTGTTTCCAAAAGCAGGTATTATCAATTCATAAATAGTTGAACATTCTGCTGAAAGGGGCTCGCTCTTATTAACGTGCTTCCTCTGCTCTGACAGTTCTGCTCCTTTCATCCCACTCTTATTCTTTTTTAAAATTATTATTTGTATGCTGACTTTTGTCCTGTTTCATAAGCCCAGAGTAGTGTTGTGGTCCGCCAGTGGCCAGCGGATCTGGCAGCAGATTTGGACAGTGAGGAGGTTGGGGAGGAACCTGGGCCAGTCCTGGAGTCTGGGGAAGGCTCTGATGAGGGCTCTGCGTCGGAGGCAGAGTGGGGGCCAGGGCCGTATGCTAATTATCAACTGCCTTTGGAGTCAGACATCAGTGAGGCAGACGAATAGCTGGAGCCTGTTCCCAGGGTGCACATGTGCAGAACTGTTAGAAGACAGGAACAATTAAGAAAACAGGGTCGACTTAGAAGTAAGGCTTGGAGATGATTGGCCCCTCCCATAAGACATAAAAGAGGAGCGAATGGGACGTGAGTTTTTGCAGGAAGCAATTAGTTCATCTGGTCAGTAAAAGCATTGGGAAAGTTCTGTTTGACTCTGTGCTAAGTTTGGCCTTGCCCTCTGTGTGGCAATTAGTTCTCTGGCAGCATTCCAAGGGAGATAAGGTGGGTGTTTGTAAGCCTATTTGAGAAGCCTTTCGGACTGGGAATGACAATAATTCACAGCTGTATGAATAAAAGAGGTTTGCTGGGACTAAGATTGTGCTGTATACTTTCTAAGGAAGCCTACGTCAGAACAAGTAGAGGGAAATGGGAAGGAAGCTGTTCTGTTCCTTCTTTTTGAAAATGCCAGTTGGGAAGGTGACTCCTACCATCAACACTCTTTTCAGTGAATTGTGGAACCCTATACTAGAACCTCTAGTTACGAACGCTTCTGACCACGACCAAATCGGGTTCTGACCAAAAAATTCACATTTTTTCCCCCTGTGGCCGATTTCTCCTTCTGTTAATTTTTTTTTTTTTTGGAAGCACCAAATTTCCAAAATTAGATTCGGCTCATGACCAAATCGGTTTACGACCAAAGTTATGGAAAAAATCATGGTCGTGACCAGAGGTTCTACTGTATAAATTTAAGACTTAAGGGCTGAATTTGAACCCAGTCCTGCTAATTAAGTTTATTGTGAGAGTAAACTTGAAAGCAGGAATGGCCTTCTTTTTCCTGATAAGTAGTAAACCTGTCTGAGTAATTGATTGTAATTACTCAATAAATGTTGTAAGCCAGAAGAGGCTGCCTACATATGGCTGAAAGCCAATTTTCAGCATCCTGGGGGCCAGTTATGATCCGGAATACAGAATCATGTTCTTGAGTTAAATGAATAAGAGTTTGTATTTTAAGAAGGATACAGTATTTCTGTCGTGGAGTCAGCTCCTGGGTAGATTTGAGCTCCTCTGGATGTATATCATATGAAGTTGCTTTTGAAGTTGCTTTTATTTCAGTTGATTCTTTTTTTAGACTTCGAAAATGTCTCCTGAAGAAATAGAAAAAACTCAAGAACGTAAGAGAAGGGAGACGAAAAGTGTTAAGAGTTTCAGCGATGGTCGCAAGAAGGATTTTTCAACCATCCTTTTTCATGAGAATCAGGCAAGAAGGTATGAAAGCCTGGGAGTATTGTGGTTGTTGGCATCTTGTTGTAGGTGAGAAGAGCATACTGTAAACTCTCAATTTACTGTATTCGAGTTTAGTGGACTTGAGACACAATAAAAGCATTCCACCTCCCATTTTGCACATGCATAAAATTCCATTTGCTATTTAACGGACCATCTGATTTAACAGACATTGAAAGTTCAAGTTGATGGTATCATTTTTGATCTTTCAGAGGCCAACAAACAAGACAAAGCGATAAAGAGTTCAAGAGGAAGGCCAAAGCTTCAAATGCTTCCAGTATCACTCCTGCTAAATCGAAGAGAATTTTTTCCGTGGCCGCTTGGAATACCCCGCAGAAGGCCTTTGTACCCTCTTTGAAAGGTACAGATAACGTTGGCGTGCATTCTTACACACCATTTAAAATCAGAAGACCGGAGTCCTCTTCCAAACCTGGTGAAAGTATTTCAGGCAAGAACTGTCCACCTAGAAAGCCTCCGGCTGCAGGACCAAGCCAGACACTTGGATCCAAAGCCGATGAAGATCGGCTTCAATGCTCGGTCGTCTTGAAAGCCAAAGAGCAGAAAGTGTCGAAAGGAAATTGCACCCGCCCCTCTGCCAGATCAACAGCTGAGATTTGCAGCAGCCAGCATTCAACCACCAGAAAAAAGACCAGAAAGCAATTCAGTTCCGAAACGATTTCCAGATCCTCTATCCTGAAAAGGGTCAGCGATCCTAAACCCCACCACACCAACGACCCCAGAGGAAAGCTTGTGAAATGCACCCAAAGGAACGGCTCTAAAGGTGAACGGAAAAGCAGCGATTCACTACCCCGAACCGCTTCCAAATGCCATCAGGTCAACTTTGCCAATTGGCAATCTCTTGGCTTGGAGAGGGATAGAGTAAGAGGCTCTCAGGGCGACGGTGATGGTGACACTGCCGCCACTGCACCTCCCACAGAGAAATGTGGGCTCACAGAAGGATGCAACGGTGATTGTGTTTCTACAGTCCAACAAGGACCGCCTTTTCTGCACGAGCTTTGCCAGGAAATGACTCGAGAAGTACCTGCTGATCGGACCAGGAGCGAATCTGACCAGTCGTTCTCTTCGAAGGAGCCCAGAGACACCCGTGCGGGAGGGGATCGTGTCGATAGCTCACCAAGTCGAGAACGTGTGTTAGAGTCCAAGTCCTGTAAACGAGAGGCGATCTGTATCCCGCCCATGGCTCCAGCTGGTTGCCGTTGTTCAGAACTGCCAAGTTACTGCGTGTGTGAAATCAAGGAAGGGCAAGAGATCGGATTTCCTGGGAAAACTGCAGCGCTTTTGAAAAGTTTGGACGGGGAACAATCCAACGACGAGTTTACCAACACGTCTCTCTCGAGCAGCACCAGATCGTCCGGCTGGTTCTGCGAACATATGGTAAAATGTTTGAAACCTGAGCTTTTCTGGGTGCATTTTGGTTACTGTTTCTGGATGTTAACTTGTTATATTTATAGACCGTTGCATTCCAAACAGCTGGCCAGTAGTTTCTATTATTTGAAATGACATGAGAGTTGGCATTCCCGTTCCAGCTTTATGCTTTTCAGAAAGATTTGAGTTAGCCCAGCATTTCTTAATCTTGGTGATAGGTGCTAGAATTCCCCAGCCAGTGTCAGGTGCAGGGAACCAAAAACAACACGATGAGTTGCTCAGAGTAGTGTCTTTATTGGTGTTTGCCTGTAGACAGGAATCTTGCCAGACTAAAGCACACTCTGCATAAGGATCGGTTAAATTTTGGGAAGGTTTTAGGGAGGATCCCTTCTGGGTTTCCTGCATACCAACGACTCAAGGTTGATTTGTTTTTTTACTTCCTGGAGAAAGAGCCCTTTTCTCCTGCAATCCAGAGCCAGATTTCATCACATCCAGCCATGCTGGCTGGGGAATTCTGGGAGCTGGAAGTCCATCCATCTTTAAATTTGCCAAAGAAGAGAAATACTGGACTAACTAGATCATAACAAGCAGAGTGATAAAGTCTCTTGAGGAGCCCAAGTGCCTATCAACTAGTTTTTATTTGTTGAAGAAACGGTAATAAATATTTACACACCTGCATACCATTCATGGAAGTGAGTGGTGCGGTGGCCTAGGGGTGTTCTCGCCTCACAACCAGGAGGCTGTGAGTTTGATCCTAGGTACCGTGTTTCCCTGAAAATAAGACCCTATCATATTTTTTTGAATCACGAAATAAGCACTTGGCCTTATTATCGGGGAGGTCTTATTATTTTGGGGTGCATGGAGCAAGATGGGGCTCTTCTTGCTGGTTTACCTGATTTCCAGCTCTGCATTTAAATATTTTAGGGGAGGGCTTATTTTCGGGGTGAGGCTTATTTTAGCACGTGCTTAAAAGCTCAATTGGGCTTATTATCAGGGGATGTCTTATTTTCAGGGAAAGAGGATAGAGGCAGATATTTCTCGTTCTGGGTACAATGAGAACTCTGCTGCGAACTCTGCATTGGCAATAGGAAGGGCATCCGGCCAGTAAACACTCGGCTCCATTCAGTTGCCCGGACTCCACCCCGCAAGGGATTATGGGGTCATTAAACAACAACAACAACAACAAAAACCCATTCACTGGAAGGACATATTTTGCCTTAATTTTGCAGACGATGACAAAACCAATTTAGATGCATCTCTTCAAAATTTCTTTCATTGCAGGGTGAAAACATTACACTGAAGGAGGGCATCAACCCCAAGATGGAAACGTTCCTTCAGAAACTTCTGAAGGCTCCCGAAAATGGCACCATCCCACAGGAAGTGTCCCATCAGTATGAAAAACAGAAATAAAAATCTGTTATATTTTCCTTGCCAGTGACTGCTTTGCATTTCATTTGATGCTCCAGAGGTTTCTAAGAATGCAGTGCTGCTTTGTAATGATTTAGATTTTCACACTTTTATACTATTTTGTAATAATCAAATTTGCTCAAGGATGTCGCAACGATTTGATAGCCCATTGGATGATTTATTGCAGATTTCTAGACTTCTCTTGAGGTATTTTCCTTCTAGACCTGTTGGATTATAGAGTCCACTGCTCTTACTATGCTGGTTTTAAAAGATTCTGTATTTATGTAACCTTATAATAAAGTTAGAACTAGTACTTCTAAATGTGCTTCTTTTCTGGAAAATACTGATCATGAAAATGAGGTCTTTTCCAGACAAGGAACTTATTTTTCTGTTTCTCCAAATTTTCTCAGCTCAGACCTCTGAACCTAAAACAGCGTTTTTTAAAATCGAGTTGTCTCTAATTGTGTTAATGTTATGGCTGGTGTTTCGTTTTACTACTGAACTTAATCCAATTTAACACAGTATTTCAAGCGTTCATAGCAGTTAAATAATCTTACTGTATTTTTATGATGCTTTCCCCTCTATTTTAGCCAAATATCTGAGTAGAATGATGGTAATTTATTGTAGGTATAACAGAGTAGGAAGGGACCTTGGCCCTGCTTAGGCAGGAAACCCTGCACCACTTCAGACAAATGGTTATCTAATCTCTTCTTAAAAACTTCCAGTGTTGGAGCATTTACAACTTCTGGAGGCAAGCTGTTCCACTGATTAATTGTTCTAAATAAATAACATGTGCCGATTATGTAACTTGACAATGATGCTATGACATTGCAATGATTTTATTCTGATGAAGCCGTTTTGAGTATCTTTTCTTATAAAATGTATTTTCTTTGGTTAGCCAGGATCATTTTTTTAAACCGTCCAAACACAAATAAAAGCATGTCATTTCTGCAAAGTTTTCACGGTATATTTATTGTATTTACATCCTTGCTTGGTTTTTACAAATGTTTTCTATAAAACATTGAGGGACCAGTCTTTTAACATACCCTTATAACAGGCACAGTTCTTAAATGCAGATGTCACATTTCAAGTTTGTTTGTTTGTTTATTATTTATTTATTTATTGGTTCGATTTATATGCGCCCCCCCCCAAGCGGTGTTCTTTTTTTAAAATATATACAAAGTCAGCTTAGTGCCCCCACAATCCAGGTCCTCATTTTACCTACCTCGAAAGGATGGAAGGCTGAGTCAACCTTGAGCCTGGTGATTACTTGCAGTAATTGCAGGCAGCTGGTGCTACTTAACAGCACTTTAGTCTGCTGCGCCACCAAGGCTCTTAAATTTATAACGTTAAGCCAGATGTTTGTCCTCTCCTCCAAATAAGTACTGGTTGTCCTCATTTAGAGACCACCAGCAGTTGTTAAGTGAGGCAGTCACTAAGCGAAACCACCACTATGCTTCTGATCTTACTCCAGTTTTCCTTTTGCGACCGGCGAGGCTCACAAATTTGGCCATACAGTTACTTTTTCATCACCGTTGTTAACTGCAAACAGTCGCTAAAGGAGACAGCTACCAAACAGGGACTGCCTGTATTATTTCCATGGTTTTATAACAAAAGTTACGTGGTCCCTCTCCCCGGTCATTAAATCCTCAGCTCTTCGGCCTTAAAATTGGTTGCTGTTTTCTGGGTTCCGGCAGTCCAGATTTGTGTACACTGAACACAGGGATCAAAGTAACTTGTGCACAAGGCCAGGGAATCTGGCAGCTTGGTATCGGAATGGAGAAGATGGATTGACTATATTCAAAACAAATATCGGACTAAAAAGTTTCAAACAGCTTATGAATGAAACCTGTATTTTCTTTTTGAATATGTTTAGTTAGTTGAAAGGGGAGTTAAAGAGCAAGAGGGAAGTTTGGAGACTACAGAAAGTTAGCTTATTTTAGCTTATGTTTGTTATGCTATACCCTGTTTTTGCTCTGAGAAGTCCGGGTGGTGGTGGTGGTGGCTGGGGGGAGGGGGGTTGGAGGGAGAGGGGGGATGGGGGGGTGGGAGGGGGGAAAATTGTTGTAATGATTGTTAAAACTTTTTAAATAATAATTAAAAAAATAGAAATCTCAACAACTGTGATTGCTCAGCAGCAGTCCCTGACCTTTTGACTCTCTTTACTGATTAGGTTTCGAATGGTCCCTAGCTCCATAAAACTTTATCTCCATCAAACAATAATAAAAAGCAGTAAAAGGCCATGACCATAAATCTGGGAACGATTGTTCCTCTAAGAAGTTAAGTGCTAGAGGGACTTAATGCCCAAACTATCCCAAAGGTTTGGGGGAGCCACTGGGTTTACAAGGACTTTGGGGGTATTTTCGGAGTGGGATGGCTCTCGGGATACCGGTGGGGATGTTCTTCCAGAGACCAGAAAAGGAATGCTACCTGAGGGCCAACAGATTACAGGTAGTCCTTGATTTACGACTGTAATGGAGCCTGCCCATTTACGGTCACAAAGTTAGAAAGCAGGTCAACATATGACTGACCTGATTTTACCATTTTTTTTGTAGGCTGTTAAGGAAATCACCACGGTCATTAACCAAACTCGTTGTTTGCTACGAGGCGTTTTTGCCAAAAAAACTGGAAGTAAACCCAGTTTTCAGCCAAACCATGATAAATCAATCATGTGATTTTCAGAACACTGTTAATGGCTGTAAATGCGGGCTAGTGGCCGAGTGCCTGAATTGCGTTTATGATTTGGGGAGAGGGGCTATGGTGTTGTGGCCCCGCCCTCTGAGCCTATCCCATCGGAGGAAGAAAGCTCCGAGCATGAGGAAGAGGAGTCAGCCAGGCCTCCCTCTCCAGGCCCCTCCCCTCTGGCACTGTCTCAGGTGCCGGCCGAGGGAGAGGAGATTAGCCGGGAGACAGGTGTCTCGGATGAGAGTGAAGGAGAGACATCATTCCTGGACGCACGCCTCCGAAGGCGTGATAAACGATTGCAGCAGCTCAGGAGGCGTGCTAGGGATTAGAACTGAGTCACTGGACCACACCCCAGAGACTATATAATAGAGGGTGGTGGCCAGTGATCCCTGTGACGAACAAAAATAAACCTTGGATAGTCACTAAAGCATCGTCCGAAACTGCTGAGAGGAATATTATTCTGTTGGACTCTTGTACGCTGAGTATATTATCTTTCTGTTCTGTGGAAATAAAAGCACTTGGCAGACGGTGTGTATATCGCTGCCAAGTTGGAGATAAAGACCTGGGTGTGTGCCAAAGTGCTTCCTTAACCCTCGGCTGGCTGTGTTTGTGTGTGTGTGTGGACGGGGACAGATCATATGGAAATTTCAGAACTGGGTTGTAGCTACTTTTGGGGGTGTCCACGGGAACCCTGAATACTCACGAAGCGATCGTTGCTAAATCAAGGACTACTAGTACAGTTTAAGTTCACACTAATTACACTTGTGTCCCGATGCTGTACTTCGTGAGTCGCATAGTTTGTGCTGCAATACAGTTCATCCTCATCCATCCCCATGACTCCAGCATCCTCTTTGTTTAGCAAGCGTTCGTTGTGGCTCTTGTGTGGTGCTATCACAGCAGCTGAGCACTCTTTAACACAAATGAAGCCAGCACCGCAGAAAATCCTCCATTTACAACAAGTTGAATCTGTGTCCCAGTTTGGGATGGCGGCGACTCCAGTTATTTGCTGATTCCAGCTCCTCCTTGCTTGGACTTAATGTTCCCTTCAAGAGGATTGAAAAAGTCCCAGCGAAGCATCTGAGCTTTAGTTAATTGCTGGATCAGGAAGAGCTTGTCCCGACTCTCCTGTGGAGACACACCAGACAGAAACAAAGTGAGCTCTGATTCAAACATATTCTCATTAGAATAGAGTAGAGTAGAGTAGAGTAGAGTAGAGTAGAATAGTAGAAATAATAGACAGGCAGGAAACCCTACACTACTTCAGAAAAATGTTTATCTAATCACGTGTCACTCAGGGACACATTTGATGAATAAAATTGTGCCTTCAGTAAGAGCAAGGTAGTGGGGCAGCATTAATAAACGCCGTCAGATTAAGACTTACCATAGCTAATTGTTCCCTCAGTTGATTAATCACTCTTTTATGTGCTCCAGCCAAGGCAATGAAACAAAACACAACGAAGCTGTAAAACAAGGTGAAAAATACGTAATGAGACACTCTGGCATGGACTAAGTTTGTGAAACACCGTCTTCTGAATTCAGAGCAAATATGAGACTAATATAGGTATCACAAGGCATGGAGAATGTTGTGTCAACCCTGACGTGAACCTGGCTTGAAGCCATTTTGAAGGCTTCAGGGTTGCCACACAGCGGTGAGAGGGGGGGAAGGAATAGTTAAATGGTGTTTTGTAGCCAAAACAATGAAGTTTTCTTATGGGAACCAAGGTCATTCTCACAGGTGGCTGGCCAGAGGAGGAGCAAGTAACCCAGCAACGGCCCAGCACCTGGATTGGACAGCATGATCACTGACTGGGGGGGGAGGGGAGGGGATAACTCTTGTAAGCTGCCCTGAGTCTCCGGAGAAGGGCGGCATATAAATCAAATTAAAAAAAAATAAATAACTCTTAAGCAATTAATGACCAGGATTATGGAAGGGGACATAATGCACTATCAAGTACAGCAAATAGTTACGGTGGCAACCAGGAACACCAAACATCACCCAACATCTCCATTTTAATCTTTAAGATGCTTTTTTTTTTTGAAAAATAGCCAGTACGGTTCATCTGTAGATTCCACATCTAACCTGCTTAACGTGCCACGATTTCAGAGTTTGTCTAAAACGCCACCCCCAACTGAAATCCACGTTGACAGCTTGCCAAAGCGCTCGTGCGAATCACACCCCCCTGGGTCTGTCAACAAAAAAGCTCACCAGGTAACCATGAAGAAAGGCACAGCAAACGTTTCGGAAGAAATGCCGTTCAGGATCCTTTGCAAGGTGAGGGGCAGTTTCTGGATGGTGTGTCCGATGACATCCCACGAACGATTGAAGTTCACGAAAGGCCCACAGGCTTTAGAGGACGGAATGCTGTTTGGGAAGGGACAGACGAGACAATACCGAATAGGATCAGGCGTATATCCTAAACTTTTATTTATTTATGTATTTGTTTAGTTATATCCAAACGTTATATTTTTTTTTACAAATAACTTCAAGGTGGCAAACATACCCAATACACCTTCCTTTTCTTCTTTTCCCCATAACATATTCTGACCCAGCTCCCCAAACACGACAAACCCTCTCTATTTAAATCAATGATTCCTTTATTAAGAGCGCCAGCAGCCCCGGCAAAAAGTTTCTCTCTCACCGCAGGCTAACAAGTCTGTCCGGCAGGGAGATGAATAGTTGTCTGCCACATCTATTCATCTCCGCCCCCTGCCTTTTATCCCCAGAGCTAAGGTGGGGCTTTGCTAGCAGCAGTTGCTCTTTCATCCTAAGGACCGGCTCATAGATTTCCACTGCTCTCCTCTCCTCTGCCTTCTGGGCATCCGCGCGTCAGGCACTGGACCCAGCTGTTCCTCCTCTTCCTCATCAGCCACCTCCAGACCTGGGGGCTGTTGACTCTCCATCTGAGGGCTGATGGACGGCCCAGGCTCCGCCTCTGTCTCTCTCTCTCTGACAGCTCCATTCCCCCTTCCCTCTCGGAGTTCTCAGGTTGACCCCGACTCCCACGCCTCCTCCACCTCTGATTCGGCTGCTGGGGGGACTAGTGGCCAATAGGCCACAACGTAACAACTCTGTGAAGTGAGTTGGACTGAGAGAGGAGGACTGGCCCAAGCTGACCCAGCTGGCTTTCATGGCTAAAACGGAACTTGAACTCATGGTTTCTTGCTTTCTTGCCTTAACCACTAGATCAAAATTTTGCTCTGCTACCTTTGATGAACACTACAGCAACTTATTGCACTCAATGGCTTCTAGATGTAGACTACAATCGTCATGATCTCCAGCCTATTAATGCTGGAGATGTTGGTTGTGGTCCAATCCATGTGCAGGAACATATCTCAAGGAAGGCTACACGGTTCCTCTACTTGTCCATGGGGACATACTCCTTGGCTACTTCTCCAAGAGCTGCAGTTGACCAGCAGGGCAAGGAACTAGACTACAATACGTGGGGGGATAACACAAAGGAACGTTAAGGAACACATTGGTTGCCGATTTGCTTCCGGGTGCAATTCAAGGTGCTGGTTGTCACCTTTAAAGCCCTTCATGGCTTGGGACCAGGTGATCTGAGGGACCATCTCTTGCCGGTCACATCTACCTGACCCATCAGAGCAGGGAGACAGGGAATGTTGGGGGTCCCATCCCCAAGGGAGATACACCTAGTGGGACCCAGAAGAAGAACCTTCTCCATGGTGGCTCCCTCTCTCTGGAACATCATTCCCCCCCTCTATGGCCCCCACTCTAATTCTCTTCTGGAAGGTGCTGAAGATCTGGTTCTGTTAGCGGGCCTGGGGAACCAGAGTGGGATGGAGCCCATTCAATGGCTCATGTGATCGGCTGTCTCTGGGGCGGGAGGTGATTTTATTACATTAATTTATTTGATTTTTTTATTAGTTTTATTTTTTTTAAAATGTGGTTTTTATATTCTGTAAGCCGCTTTGAGTCGCCATGGGCGAATAGGCGGCAATGTAAATTAAATAAATAAACAAACACCTGTGAATGTTTAACCAACATTAAAGCAACTGACCGTGTCATACTGAGTCCCAAAGGAATGAATGCCAAAATGAGACCAATCAGAAGTACCACCAAGAAGAAAAAGTTGGAACTGGAAGCTCTGAAGGGCCGGGCTGAAGGTTTACACGTGTGCATCAGGCTCAACTGGAATGCGAAAAGAGAAATTAAGATCTAATACTTCAACACTCAAAAGAGGGAAAAAAAACACGGATGGATTTTTTTACATTATGGGAAGGCAACTACAGGGAGTCCTCAATTTATGACCAGAATCGAGCCCAAAATTTCTGTTGCTAAGTGAGATGTTTGTTAAGGGAATTCTGCCTCATTTGACGACTTTCCCTGCCACAGTTGGTAAGTTAGTAACATGGTTGTTAAGTGAATCTGGCTTCCCTGTGGACTTTGCTTGTCAGAGGGTGATCACAGGACCCTGGGACACTGCAACCGTCGTAAGTGTGAGCCATTTGCCAAGCATCTGACTTTTGATCATGACTGTGGGGATGCTACAATGGTCATAAGGGTGAAAAACAGTCATTTTTCAGTGCCGTTGTAACTTCAGTCACTAAATGAACAGTCGTATGCCAAGGACTACCTGGACTTCCCTAAATATTCACAGTGGACCCAGGATGGAACAAGGCCAGGCCTTCCGAGACAATTCAAGGCACAAAAAAGACCACCTAATTACCTTTTTAATATAAAAGACAATGAAATATTTTACGGCTGCAATTGCTGGGAGGAGAGGACAGTAGAAGGTTCCGATCCAGCAGATCGTTTGTCCATAAACTATTTCCAACACGTTGTCCGGGATGGCAAACTCCTGTAGCCCAACCCACCGGAAGGCCTTGACGGGACAATGGCTCACAATCAACCTAAGAGGAGATAGATTATTGAGTCTGTCATCTGGACCTCCATAACTGTCTGGTTTGGCTCTGCAACCCAACCAGACAGACACGGACGTCAGAGGATAATTAGAACTGCAGAAAAAACAATGGCTACCAACCTGCCTTCCTTTGAGGACCCGGATACTGCACAAGTCAAAAAGAGGGCTGTGAAAATATCTACAGACCCCTCGCATCCTGGACATAAACTGTTTCAACTCCTACCCTCAAAATGACGCTATAGAGCACTGCACACCAGAACAACTAGACACAAGGACAGTTTTTTCCCAAACGCCATCACTCTGCTAAACAAATATTTCCCTCAACACTGTCAAACTATTCACTAAGTCTGCATTACTATTAATCTCATCCTTCCTATCCCCCATCTCCTCCCACTTATGACTGCGTGACTGTAACTTTGTTGCTTATATCCTTACAATTTATATTGATATTGTTTCCTAGTATGATTTGATTGCTTATTTGTAGCCTATGACTATCATTAAATGTTCTACCTTATGATTCTTGACGAATGTTATCTTGTCTTTTTATGTACACTGAGAGCTTATGCACCAAAGACAAATTCCTTGTGTGTCCAATCACACTTGGCCAATAAAGAATATAATTCTATTCTATTCTATTCTATTCTATTCTATTCTATTCTATTCTATTCTATTCTATTCTATTCTATTCTATTCTATTCTATTCTATTCTATTCTATTTTCTATATTCTATTCTATTCTTATCTATCTATCTATCTATCTATCTATCTATCTATCTATCTATCTATCTACCTACCTACCTACCTACCTACCTACCTACCTATCTTGCAACCAGTAGTTGCAAGGACGGGCTGACCCTGCCCACCCTGCCCCGCCCCTCCCCTCCTAGGAGTCTCCACGCAACCCGTTTTGGATGCCAGATAAGTGCAGGGCCTGTGCGAAGGCTTTGGGAGGGCAAAAAACGGGCCTACCGGAAGTTCCGGAAGAAGGCCTGTGTCCAGCCTCTGGAGCCCGGGAGAGGCCATTTTCATCCTCCCGGAGGCTCAAGAAAAGCCTCCGGAGCCTTCAGAAGTCGAAAATGCCCCCCTTCCCCCATGGTGCAGGAGGCCAAGTAGGCCACGCCCACCCTGGCCACACCCACCCAGCAATAGGGTAGAGTTGCTATAATTTTTGAATCCCACCCCTGGTGCTCTCCTGACTAGGAAAGCTTGGGAGAGCACTGTCATTATCAACAAGGAGGTTATCCGAAAAAAACTGGCAGGGAGTGCCTCTCTTTTGTGTGTTGTGTGGTTCCCGACTAGGAAAGCTGGGAAGGCATTGTCATGATCAACAATGAAATCTCGGAAAAAGCAAGCACTGAGTTTCAACACAGGGTTGACAGCAATATCTAATCTGAACCTGAAGGCGAGATAAAAAATAAGATTGCAACCGGTGGTAAGTAAAAGTAAAAGCTTCCCATGAGTTTATTTATTCATTCCATTTTTAATTTGTCTTCATTAAATGTCTAGGCCCGTGATGGCAAACCTATGGCAGCCCCCTCTCTGTGGGCGCACGAGCTGTCGCCCCAGTTTAGCTCCGTCACGCATGAGCATGCGCCTCCCGCTGACCAGCTGGTCTTCGGGTCTCTGCCACTCATGCGCGCAGGTGGGGCACATGCAGGGGTGCATGTACATGCAAGGGGGGGCGGGGTGTGTGCGGGGGGCCCATGTGCAGGGGGTGCGCACACATTGCATTTTGGGGGTTCAGGCGTGTGCTTTGGGCACTCGGTCCGGAAAAGATTCGCCGTCACTGGTCTAGGCTGCCCATCTCACTATTCAGCGCCCCTCCAGTTTGGAGTCTAGTCTAAAGGTGAAAGGTTATGGACAGGTGTGGCTCTCTGATCCTCTGTGCCAAACAAGCCACTTTGACCCCCCCCCCTCCTTGGAATTTCATACTCACTTCCTAGGAAAGTCAATGAAGACGATAACAGCGCAGATGATGATCAAGTCAAAGATCATCAGTTTATACATTTCCTGGCCAACTCGGGATTCCCAGCACTGAAAGAAGAGACGAGAAGATTCTCAGATTAAAAACAGCAATTGGGGGGGGAAAAAATCACCAAGCAGCGTAAAACCAAAGTTAGAAACAGCTATTGGCACCTTAGTGAAAGATAGGTAGTCCTCAATTTACAACCACAATTGAGCCCAAACTTTATGTTGCTAAGTGAGACAGTTGTTAAGTGAATTTTGCTCCGCTTTACTCCCTTTTTTGCCACAGTTGTTAAGTGAATCACTGTGGTTGTTAAGTTAGTAATACATGGTTGTTATGTGAATCTGTGTTGTGGCCCGCCAGCGGCCTGTGCGGATTGTGGCTGATCCTGACGACGAGGAGGCTGGTGTGGTGTCGCGCCAGCAGCCTGTGCAGCCGCCGCTCGAGTCAGACAGCAAGGAGGCCGAAGAGGATGTGGTGCCAGAGGCAGAGACTCAGCCAGGGCCTTCAGAACCTCCAGAGGCTCCTTCAAGTGGAGAGAGCGAAGTAGAGGAGCCTCTTCTCAATGCTCGAGCACGCAGGGCTGCCAAAAGGCAGGAGTGGCTACTCAGGAGGAGGTCTCCTCAAGAGTAATACTTGGGGCTAATTGGCCACTCCCCTAGCCTATTTAAGTTCGCACACAGCTGGCAAATGTTGCTGGAAACAACGTTTGGTCCTACGTAGAGCATTTTGAGAGTGAGTTTTTTTGCTACAAGTTGGTTTCTGGGCTGATTGCCAACCCTGGTCAGACTTTGTTTAATCTCTGTAATTCATAGCAGGCTGATAAGGACATTGGTGGTTAAAGCCTGCATTTTGAAAGGGGTCTGTTTGTATTAAACAGAGTTTTTGGAGCTGTGTGTGTGTGCTACACTTCTTGGGACCCGTAGCTGGGGCAGAACAATCTGGCTTCCCTACTGTTTTTGCTTGTCAGAAGGTTGCAAAAGGGCATCATATGAATCCAGGACTCTGCAACCATCTTAAATATGAGCCAAGGCATTCAAATTTTGATCATGTGGCTGTGGGCAGTAGGGCCATGGGCGACGGTTGTTAAGTGTGAAAAATGATCATAAGACACTTTTTCAGGGCTGTTGTAACTTTGAATGGTTATAAGGGGTCCTGGGTGCTCTCTGAGCTTCCTTGTTTTCTTGCAGAGGTTTCATCATCCAAACTAGGTAACGTCATCAGAAATATTCTCCTTGATTTGAATGGTTAGTAAAGGAACTGTTTAAGACAAGGAGTACCCACGGTGGTGCAGTGGTTAGAGTGCAGTACTGCAGGGTCCTTCTGCTGACTGCCGGCTGACTGCAATTTGGCAGTTCGAAATCTCACCAGGCTCAAGGTTGACTCAAGCCTTCCGTCCTTCCGAGGTGGGTCAAATGAGGACCCAGATTGTTGGGGGAAAATAGGCTGATTCTGTAAACCTCTTAGAGAGGACTGTGAAGCACTGTGAAGTGGTATATAAGTCCACGGGCTATTGCTATTGCTATTTTCCTTCCTTCCTTCCTTCCTTCCTTCCTTCCTTCCTTCCTTCCTTCCTTCCTTCCTTCCTTCCTCTTCCTATCTATCTATCTATCTATCTATCTATCTATCTATCTATCTATCTATCTATCTATCTATCTATCTATCTATCATCTATCTCACCAGGCTCAAGGTTGACTCAGCCTTCCATCCTTCCGAGGTCAGTAAAACGAGTACCCAGATTGTTGGGGGAAAATAGGTTGACTCTGTAAACCGCTTAGAGAGGACTGTAAAGCACTGTGAAGCGGTATATAAGTCCACGGGCTATTGCTATTGCTATTGCCCTTCCTTCCTTCCTTCCTTCCTTCCTTCCTTCCTTCCTTCCTTCCTTCCTTCCTTCCTTCCTTCCTTCCTTCCTTCCTTCCTTCCTTCCTTCCTTCCTCCTCCCTCCCTCCCTGCCTCCCTCCCTTCCAATCTCACCAGGCTCAAGGTTGACTCAGCCTTCCATCCTTCCGAGGTCAGTAAAATGAGGACCCAGATTGTTGGGGGAAAATACGCTGACTCTGTAAACCGCTTAGAGGGGACTGTAAAGCACTGTGAAGTGGTATATAAGTCCACGGGCTATTGCTATTGCTACCTGTATTTATATCAAGACAAAGCATCTCCATGAAAGTGCTGAACTTCTTCGCCGCTGGGTGTTGTTCAAGGAGAGCCAACAGAAAGAGAAATTTTTAATTCGCATACCTAATACGTACACTTCATAAGTAAATCTACTCACTGGATAAAGGTGGTAGTTGTATCCACACGTCTTGCATTTCTCAGCACAGGACGTGATTCGAGTCCACAGCGAAATCAAAAGGACGGCAATGTTGGCCAAACGCACAAAGACACACCTTCAAGACATAATGGAGGTACATGAAGAAGTGAGCCAGTATCCTAGACCTTTTGCAACAGAAGATTAAAGAGCAGTGGTGGGCATCTCTGAAATTGATTGCCGGAATTATCACACTACTAAGTTGTTTGTTCTCTGCTTATATATAGTGGCTTGCCCCGTCAGTGTTGGTGGGAGTGTTTTTGGTGGTTCCTTGAATATAAGCAGACTATATAAACAAAAAACGAAACCCCACTACCTTCTCAGCACAGATAACGTTACCTAGTGTGGTAATGAAACGCCTGCAAGAAAACTACCAAGGTCGGAGAGCACCAAGGACCCCCATAGTTTCGTCGTCCTCCTCTGTTCTGACCTAGGCTCCCTTAAAAAGCAGGAAGCAGGAATTGGTCCCGAAAAAAACCTCTTTTATTTACACGACTGTGAATTCCTTTCATTCACAGGCAGCACGGCTGGTCCAAACAGTTTTTCAAAGGAATATTTATCAACACAAACCTTATCTTGCTTGGCAAGCTGCCACGTAACTTGTTTCCAAAGTAAGAGTAAGGCCAAACTTGGCACAGAGTCTCTTAGAGTCACGAACAGAACTTTCCACTCTTGAAACGACCGAACGAAGGAATTGTTTCCTGCAAAAGCCCCCTCCCTGTTCGCTCCTCTTTTGTTTCCTATGGGAGGGGCCAATCATCTCTAAGGTGTGGCTTTACTCCCAAGTCGACCCTGCTTTCTGAGTTGTTCCTGTCTTCTGGCAGCTCTGCGCATGCCCACACTGGGAACAGGCTCCAGCTGTTCCTCTGCCTCGCTGCTGTCTACCTCCTTCTCTGCCTCCAACGCAGAGCCCTCGTCCAAGCTTTCCCCAGCCCCCAGGACTGGCCCATGTTCCTCCCCAACCTCCCCACTGTCCGACTCTGCTGCCAGCTCCCCTGGCTGCCAGTGGGCCACAACATCCTCCATTCCCTTCTAGCACTGATGACATTACCTTGTATGGTAATGAAATGTCTGCAAGAAAACCACCAAGCTCAGAGAGCACCAAGGACCCTTCATTTTAACCCTGAGCTACAAATATTTTCTATTGGGACCATGTGACCATCTGTCCCATTTCCTATGTGAGACATTAAACTCCTCTTAATTATTTTCCTACTGAAAACTGCTGCTTCTGAATCCTATCTGATTTCAGGCTCCACAAAAGGAACATAGGGGGTTTCCTGGGCTCTACAGTCCGTCCCGCCCGCTCACCCCATGTCAGAAGAGAAAGCAAACCGCAGAAAGGCCACCATTTACCTGATCAGAGTTAACCGTATCTCGAAGATGGGCGAATAGTCTTCGTATTTGATGAGAAACGAAAAAATCAGCGGCGCAAAAAAGTTCGCGACAGTGATCACTATAGAAGGTAAGTACTGCACAAAGAGGTCGTCTAATTTGATGTTTTTTTCCTGCGTGGGAAAAAAGTTTCTTCGATTTGTTAAAGATTCCTAGTTTAAACCCACCCATAATGGCCGGGTTCAACAAATCGTGGTTAAAATAAGTACTCATTTAGAAATTGTCATCCATGTATCCTAATGTTCAACCAAAATGTTGGAGATGTGACTGTTTGGATGCTACATATTATCATATATGGTGGACTTGCAAGAAAGTGAAGGCTTTCTGGATAAAAATTTGGTGGGTTATGCAAAATGTTCTGAAGAAAAAACTCCAATTTTCTCCTCAATTGTTTTTACTGGGCATAGTTAAGGGCTTTTCAATGGGTGAAACAAAATTAATATTGTATATGGTGACAGCAGGTAGGTTACTGATTGGTCAATATTGGAAAAGGGATGTTTTGCCTACTATTGTATAATGGACTTTGAAGGTGGCCAGTTTTGCAGAAATGGTGAAGATATCAGCATACTTAAAAGACCGCACTCAAGAGACTTATGTATGGGAGTGGAAGAAATGGATAGATTATGTGCAGAATAAATACCAAACTAGGAAGTACCAGATAGCTTTTAGTTGAATGTTGTGTAGAAATGTATAGTATATAGGGGGTAGAATAGTTCAATCTCATGTAGAAATGTATAGTACACAGGGGGGAGAATAAAAGGGTGGTAAAGTATGATAACATATGATTTGGATTTGGATTTGACCTTGGGGAAGTCATGGGAAGAAGGGAGGGTTAGGGAGGGTTAGGGAGGGAAGTGGGGGGGGGGAAATGGGAAAATTTGTATTTGTAAAACTTTTTCAATTAAAAAAAAAAATAAGTACTCATTTAGCCCACTGGTTGAATTCTAAGCCATTGTTCTCCCAGAGTTATTGACAAAATACAACAGATTGAAAGAATAAAATGAGTTAGGCCAATGATGGTTAACCTTTTTGGTGCTGAGTGCCCAAACTGCACATACGGGCGCGCGAATGCACCAGCGACGGGAGTCAGAACCCCCAAAATTCAATGCGAGCACACACCCCCGTGCATGCGGCCTCCCCCCACGCATGCACACACGTACATCCCCCGCACATATGCCCCATCCCCCCACACCTCATTTTGGCTTCCAGGTTAGTGCAGGAGGCTTTCCAGGCCCAAAACAGAGGCCTTCCCAGAGATAAATTAGGATCAGAACATAATTTCAAACATTGCTTGCTACTTACTGGGAAACTGTGTTCTTGTGAATAGACGGTTACTCTATAGATGGAATAAAAGCAAGCCGACAAAACACCCAAAACGACACAGTTTAAGAAGATCCTCAAACAATAAATACGCGTTTTCTCTTTGAGGCTTCTGTCTGCTGCCTTCTGTCTTAATCGTTCATCCTGCAAATCTGTCTGCGAACAGAAATATATTTATAGGATTAGTTTTTAAATCAATCACAATCAAAATCATTTTTAATCATTTTTAAATCATTTAAATTTTAAATCATTTTTAAACAAATCTATGGGATCTGTGGGGGCACCTACGATCTGGAACGAGCTGCCCCCAGAGATACGGAGGATCCCGGATCTGCGCACCTTCCGTCGCGCGCTTAAGACTTTTTTATTTCATCAAGCCGGCCTGGCCTAAATCTTCTCCCCTTTTTAAATGTAAATTTTAATTTGTTTTTAAATTATGGGGTATTTTAAATTTGTTCAGCCAAATTATTTAATTCGTTTTTATTCTATTTTAAAGTTTTGTATTTATGTGTTTTATGTTGTGGCTGTTCACCGCCCTGAGTCCTTCGGGAGTAGGGCGGTATAGAAATTTAAATAAAAAATCAATCAATCAATCAATCAATCAATCAATCAATCAATCAATCAATCATAAGAAGGGACCATAATCATCTGAGACAAAGCAATTACTTGTCCCTGGTCAGAAGACAAAATAAATGTTGTATAATTTAACAAGCAAGGCTATGGTTTTCCCAGTTGCAATGGATGGCTGTGAAAGTTGGACCATAAGAAAGGCTGAGAAGGCCAAAGAATGGAGGCCTTCGAACTCTGGTGCTGGAGAAGACTCCTGCGAGTCCCTTGGACTGCAAGGCGATCCAACCGGTCAGTCCTAGAGGAGATCAACCCTGGCTGCTCTTTAGAAGGCCAGATCCCGAAGAGGAAACTCAGATACTTTGGCCACCTAATGAGAAGGAAGGACTCACTGGAGAAGAGCCTAATGCTGGGAACGATGGAGGGCAAAAGAAGAAGGGGACGGCAGAGAATGAGGTGGCTGGATGGAGTCACTGAAGCAGTTGGCATGAGCTTAAATGGACTCCAGAGGATGGTAGAGGACAGGGAGGCCTGGAGGAACGTTGTCCACGGGGGTGCGATGGGTCAGACACAACTTTGCAACTAACAACAACAAACGGGCGATAAGAAGAGACCATAATCATCTGAGGCAAAGCAATTACTTGTTCCTGGTCAGAAGGCAAAATAAATGTTTTATAATTTATCAATAAAGTATCTCCCCAGGTGATTAGTCTTTATTATTTTTTTTAACTTTTACTGCTGATTTTTCTAACAGAACTTGTGACAAATGCCAGGAGGTGGAAGAAAAACTTGCATATACTTTTTCTAGAACTATTGTATTGTACTGTATTGCAAGTTTATTCAACTGTTTGCTACTTGGGATATTTGATAAGAGAGGACGGTTCAATACGTTATTAGAAAAAAGAAATATACGTACTTTAAGTTCATAAAGTAAACTGCTGTGTTTTAGCCGAGCAGCGTTTACATCTGTAATGCAGAAATCCCAGCCAGCAAGAATTTTATTGCAGTAGCTCTGAAACGGATCTTCGTTGTATATCAAGCTTCGTTTAAAACCTTCTACCGAGCTGTTAATAAGATTGCCAGGGTGTTGTTGTTGTTTTTTTAAAAAAGAAGAAAGCAGTGTTAGAAATTTCAGGATGCAGTGTAAAAATTCTACACAAACTTCAAAGCTGGCTGGGGATCTCTGGGAGCTGAAGTCCACACATCTTAAAGTCACCAAAGTTGAGAACCCCTGTGCTATAAAATAATAAACTTACTTTGGATTACTGTACAAAATACTGGAACGATGACGGATAACGCTGTCTGTCACATTTGGGGAATTTATATTACAGGTAGTTCTCGACTTAAGACCAAAATTGAGCCCAAGAGTTCTGCTGCTTAAGCGAGACGGCCGTTAAGTGAGTTTTGCCCCATTTTACCATCTTTCTTGCTGCAGTTGAGTAAATCACTGCAGCTGCTACGTTAGTCACAAGTTTGTTAAGTGAATCTGGCTTCCCTTTTGACTTGTCGGAAGGTCACAAAAGGTGAACCCCGGAACAACTGTCACAAATATGAATCTGTTGCCGAGCGCCTGAATTTTGATCACATGACGAGGACGCAGCAACAGTCGTAACTGTGAAAAACGGGCATAAATCACTTTTTTCAGTGCCGTTGTAACTTTCAACGGTCACTAAATGAATTGTTGTAATTCGAGGACTACTTGTGCACTCATGCGGTCAGACTATCTTACCCATGTCTTTTAAATACCCCAAATCCTTTTAAAGGTAAAGGTTCCCCTCGCACATACGTGCTAGTCGTTCCCGACTCTAGGGGGCGGTGCTCATCTCAGTTTCAAAGCCGAAGAGCCAGCGCTGTCCGAAGACGTCTCCGTGGTCATGTGGCTGGCATGACTCAACGCCAAAGGCACACGGAACGCTGTTACCTTCTCACCAAAGGTGGTCCCGATTTTTCTACTTGCACTTTTTACCTGCTTTCGAACTGCTAGGTTGGCAGAAGCTGGGACAAGTCACGGGAGCTCACTCCATTAAGGGGCACTAGGGATTTGAACCGCTGAACTGCCGACCTTTCGATCGACAAGCTCAGTGTCTTAGCCGCTGAGCCACCACATCCCCTACAAAGCCCTTTAGAATTCTTCAATCCCCAACTCTGCTCTTTAGAAAAGTCATTTCTATGGCCTTGGCTTGGCAAAGGGAAGGCTCATTTACCCAGCAGGATTTACCGTTTGATAATCCAGACAAAGCTCACCGAAAGGCAAGCCAGCGTGATCAGCAAATACGCCAGTGGCACGTGGTACTCCAGCAGACCCAAAGGTACGTTATCCACGGAGTAATAGCCATAAAAGAGACTTGTCATTTCAAGAAACCCCTGCAAACAGAATTCAACAAAGGAAGGTCAAGCTACTCCATTCAGACTCACAACAGGGAACAGTCCTGCATTAGAAACATGGCTGAATGCTCAACGCAGCAATCTGAAATCATCAGTGGCTGTTAGGTTGCAGTCAATAGAAGCCATTTTTTCCCTTCTATTTTTGGCTCATTCAGAAATAGAATAGACTAGAATTGAATTCTTTATGGGCCAAGTGTGATTGGACACACAGGGAATTTGTCTTTGGTGCATATGCTCTCAGTGTACATAAAAAGACAAGATACATTAGTTAAGAATCATAAGGTACACCACTTAATGATAGTCATAGAGTACAAATAAGCAATCAAATCATACTAGGAAACAGTCAATATAAATCTTAAGGATACCAGCAACAAGGTTATAGTCATACAGCCATAAGTGGGAGGAGATGGGTGATAGGAACGATGAGAAGATTAATAGTAGTGCAGATTTAGTGAATAGTTTGACAGTGTTGAGGGAATTATTTGTTTAGCAGAGTGATGGCGTTTGGGAAAAAACTGTCCTTGTGTCTAGTTGTTCTGGTGCGCAGTGCTCTATAGCGTCGTTTTGAGGGCAGGAGTTGAAACAGTTTATGTCCAGGATGCGAGGGGTCTGTAAATATTTTCACAGCCCTCTTTTTGACTCGTACAGCAGAAGTCAAATCCTTCTGAAAGGACTTTTTGCATAACGAACTAAGCCATAGTTTGATTTCTTATCATGTTGCCTGAAAAAAAACAAGCACTGGCTGCAAACATAGTTAATGGCTAGTCTGTAGGGCTTTATTACAATCACCAACCAGCATATGGACATAAAATCCATTTTAATTCTTATATGCAACCACAGTGACGGATCCAAGAGGCAATAAGAACCAATCTGTAAACTAATGGCTTGTAAACTATGGTTAGTATACCGTGTTTCACCAAAAATAAGTCCGCCCCAAATAAGCCCTCCCCAAAAATAAGTCCCCCCCCCGAAAATATTTAACCGCATTCGCAGCCAGTCCCTGCCATTTCCTCTATTTAGGGTTAGGGAAACAGAGCTGGAAATCAGGTAAGACAGCAAGAGGATCCCCGTCTTGCTCCACGTGCCCCAAAATAATAAAACCTCCCCCAAAATAAGGCCAAGCATTTATTTCGGAGTAAAATATAAGATAGGGTCTTATTTTCAGGGAAACACGGTAGTATGTTGTGTGAATCCATTGTGTTAAATGGTTTTTAATGGGATTTTTAAATTTTATAGACTTGGGGTTTTAAATTGGGAGGCCGATTGATTTAATCTCTTTTAATTATCTTAACTTTTGTATTGTATGTATTTTAATTTTGTCTGTTCACCGCCCTGAGTCTCTTTTGGGAGAAGGGCGGTATACAAATTAAAATAATAATAATAATAATAATAATAATAATAATAATAATAATAATAATAATAATAATAATAATAATAATAATAATTGTGTGGCCACTCGGTGGCCTGCTGAAAACTGCCAGGTTCTTTAGGATACAGAGATTACAAGCGCAATCTAGGGTGACATGTGTAAAAATGAATAAATATTAAAAGAGTTACAGAGGAAGAACTTGCCAAGAACTCTTAAGAACTCTGTGCAGCATTTTCTTAGGATTTGGGTGGGGTCTATGCCGAGATTCAAATTCTCTTGGAAGCTTTTATCATCTTTCAATATTTTTCATTCTTAAGCACAAAGTGTAAACTCTGTGGTTTCTTAAATAAAATATGAAAGCTGGAGGTTACAAGCTGGTCATGATTTCACATGGCAGACCATCTGCCAGAGCAGGGGTGTGGGCCGGATTTGGCCTGCGGGCTTAGATCTGGCTGGCAAGCCCACCCTGGAAACCCGTCTGCGGTGCCTCTGCCAGCAAAAACGGAGCTTGGGAGGACTGTACACTCTGTTTCCCCCAAAATAAGACATCCCCTGATAATAAGCCCAATCGGGCTTTTGAGTGCATGGCAATAAGGCCAAGCGCTTATTTCAGGGTTCAAAAAAATATAAGACAGGGTCTTATTTTCAGGGAAACACGGTACTATGTTTGCATTATTTGTATTTAAAATAATTTTTAAAAAAAATCTACTCATGTGAGTCAGTCTGAAGAAGGTCAAAGGATGTTGCAAAGATGGGGGAAGGAACCGGGGCTGGTGTCAGCCTCAATTTACAAAAAAGCAAAACCGGTTTTAGCACTAGAGGTAGAGGTAGAATTTTTTTCCACCCAGGAAATGAAAGAGAAACACCCAGGAAATGAAAGAGAAAATATAAGTAACTGGGAGCAATAGAGAAGACTTCTGGAAAGGAATGACTTTTTAATCAGAAAGGACTAGGAACTTGATTTTTTTTTTTTTTTAAAAAAAAGCAAAACGTTTTAGAAAGTTATGATCAAGTACTCACTGTGCCAGACAGCAGATCTATAATATAACTGTAGAAGTAGACCAGTCCCTTGGTGTTGCCGATCGTATAAACGGTGCATTCTGGCCCTGTAAGGAAGGACATTTAGAGCAAAAATAAAAACTTTAGAAGGAACCAAAAAACTTGGAATATTCTGCCCGAAAGCTGCATCAACCACAGCCTGTTTTTCTACAGTCAGGTACAGATAGTCCTTGAGTTATGACCACAATTGGGATTGGAATTTCCATTGCACAAACAAAGCAAGCCGGTTGTTAAGTGAACACCACCTGATTTTATTACCTTTTTTTGCCATGGTTGTTAAGCGAATCACTGCAATTGTTAAGTGAACCATGCAGTGGTTACGTGAATCTGGTTCTGTGGGCGTGGCTTATTTTGTGGGCGTGGTTTGATGGTCATGTGACAATTCTTTAGGATTTAGCAGAGGTACTGGTCTACCAGGTTTTTAACTGCTTGCAGAGCTGTACCGGTCTACCCATTTATTTTTGCATGCACTGGTCTACTCATTTGTTTTTGCAGGCACTGGTCTACTTATTTATTTTTGCAGGCACTGGTCTACTCATTTATTTTTGCAGGCACTGGTCTGCCCATTTATTTTTACAGACACTGGTCTGCTCATTTGTTTTTGGAGGCACTGGTCTACCCATTTATTTTTTCAGGCACCGGTCTACTCATTTATTTTTGCAGGCATCGGTCTACTCATTTATTTTTGGAGGCACCGGTCTACCACCACACTGCCTTTTAACACTGATCAACTGTAGGGCGGCCCTTTGAAGTCCCAGGGCAAGAGTTTAAACAGCTTTTTCCTTCCAGCCGATCAGCTGGGAGTCGGGAGGCAGCAATAGATTGGGGGTGGGGCCAAATAAAAGATAAGAATAACACGGGGGGGGGAGGCGGGGGGGCAGAACCGGTTTGGTGACGTCATATCGTCACCGCTACCGGCTCGGCAGAACCGGGTGGAACTGGGCGGAACCCACCACTGTCCTAATTGTGTTCTGGAAAGGGGTTCAGAGACGAGTGAGTTACCCGTTTCTGGGGGAACTTTCACATAGCTGCCATTCACAACTCCATATTGAACAAGAGCCGTCGGAAGGGTGATGAAGCTGAACAGGAGAAGGAAGATGACCACGTTTAAGACCACCAGGAACCGCAGGAAAGAGAAGTAGGACTTGACCCCAGTGCCAAATTTCTCTAAGAGAAAGAGAGAGAAATATTAATATGGAAACAATATTCCCGCTTTGCACAAATCAATCTTTTAAAGGACCGCATTCAGCATGAAGACAGTCCACCAATCACTTCACGTGACTCAGAGCCCCCTGTCAGGCCTGGAAGCCATCTTTTTCGTTGGGCCTTCAGGCCTGCCACATTTACTACTGTGGGAAACTGGGAGGGGGGAATTGTGTGGAGCCGGGGTGATATGTAGTCATAATAACATTCCTTTCTCAGAGAGTCAAGGACATCTTGCCTTGCACCTGGAAGGCTGGAACTGGGAGGCATCTCCAATTGGGACAGTGCTTGGGTTGGACCATCTGATTGACTTGTGGGTGTTGGGCAGGGATTTGAACTTTCCTTTGGGTGGGGAAAAACTGGGAGCTTTCAGATTCGGGTTTTCCCAGATGTGCCAATATGACATCTCTAATAAAACAGAACTTTGAGGAACTTCAAGCCTCGAAGTCTTATTTCATTGGGGGTGTTACTTGGAACCGTGGCAGCCCCCATAGCTATCTTTTGGGGGCAGCTTTGCATATGCCAATTGTGGCCTGTCCCATCATGGTTTGTGCCTTAACCTAACTCCAGGAAGCAATTGATTATGGTTAATTAAATAAATCTCAGACACACAAGCCATAACTTAGGGTTGCTTCTCCTAAATGACATCCATAAAATAAAATATAATTTGCTGCAGAATCCTGATTTTAGGATGTTCTTTTTAGAGACACTCAAGCGGCATCATTAATCTTTTGTGCTGATTAACAACTGTTTTATTCCACTTCTTCTTTTAATCAAAAGCATGGAATCGCTTGTGCATGACATGATCTGTTATTCCTAATTGGGGGAGGGTCACCTTGCCTTATTCCAAATTCAGCATACAAATGGGATCATAGTAAGTGGTCCAGGAAATCCTTCTTCAGACACCAAAGTACTGATAAAAGAGACTATTTCTAGCTCAGGGTTGACCTGTGGGGACCTTGGTGCTCTCTGAGCTTGATTGCTTTCTTGCAGACGTTTTATTACCAAACTAAGTAACATCATCAGTGCTACTCAGCTAAGACTGCAAGGAAATAACAAAGCTCAAAGAGCACCAAAGACCCCACATATCTTTCTAGTCTATAGTAAGGTCTGCCAGCCAAGAAGCCAATATAACAGAGTGCAAAAACCATAAATAAGACTTACCCTCGATGCTACGGATGTCATATCTCCACAATTCCAGGTAAGAGATTAGTTCTTTGATATTCTCTATCGTTCTCTTGAGTGATTTATTAGTTGCCTTCTTCCACTGATTCCACCTTGACTGGGATTGTATTTGTTTTTCTTCAAGCTCCCTGCTCACAAAAACAAGACATATTAAAGGCATCTTATCTCTCATTTTGGAATGAGCAAAATACAGGTTAAGTTCTTACGTTATGCTAAGCATAACTTGGTTTCTTTGGTTTTACTGAATTGTGTGAATGCAGCAACAGCAATTATTATACCGATTCATAGTTTATCCAGTTCTGGGAATCTGTTTTTTCCCCCATAGACTGTGTTTTTAAAAAAAACATAGAGAATCATTCATATATTCTACCAACTCTCCACAAAATTCCAGTAGTTTGCAACTTAAAATGCAAATAAATGATAACTGTGATGTCTGAAAGCCCCCTTATGCAAATTATATGACTACCAGTCCTCCCAATCATGCAACCATATACAGGCAGTCCTTGACTTACGACCACAACTGAGCACTAAATTTCCGTTGCTAAGCAAGACCTTTGTTAAGTGAGTTTTGCCCCATTATACAAACTTTCTTGCCACAGTTGTTAAGTGAATCACTGCAGTTGAAAAATTAGTAACCCGGTTGGTAAGTGAATCTGGCTTCCCCATTGACTTTGCTCGTCAGGTTGCAAAAGGTGATCTCATGACCCCGGGACGCTACAACGACCGTCATAAATATGAGCCAGTTGCGAAGTGTAACATAGCCACGATGGATGCTGCAAGTGATGTTGTAACTTCGGACGGTCGCTAAACGAAAGGTTGTAAATCAAGAACTACCTGTGTTAAAAGCTCTTCTAAAACATGATATACAAATGTGTTCCTGAACTTTTCAATGATCTGTTAGGTTGGCCAACGCATCCCATGCACCTTTTTTTTTTTTGCAGGAGACAAGCTTGAAATACAGCATGCAATTTGGAAAATCTCAACGTGCCTCTTGCAAGCAAATATTTAAACAGAGCTGCAAATTTAAAAGCAGTCCATCACGACACCCTGTGGATTCCTCTTTTTACGAACGGGACTTGTATCTCCCCTATAATCCATTGCCAAATATCCGAAGAATATATATTTTTTAATAAATAGAAAGGGACCCCACTCCTCTCTATAATTTGCAGCGTTTCTATTTAAACCTTAAACGTCTCTTCTCCGCGAGCGGCATGGCGCATTCTCTCAGCGGACGGTCGAGGTTGACATTTCTTGTTTCCATCCCTTGGATGAGATTCCTGGCCTCTCGAGAAGCCGATCGTGCTAAACTGTGAGAGTTATCCACATTTCCGGTTACTAATCTTCGTCTCCTCATAGATTGGTAACTGGGCAGTTCTTGGAGGAAGGTTACCGCTGGCACATGGGGGTCAGGAAGAAAAACATCTGCCAGAATAAGAACAATAAAATGACCTTTATCATTCGGTAGCATGCAGTCTTCTTAAGAGGTACCCAATTGCTCACCATGAAAAGGGCTGCTTAATGAAAGGGGCTTTTTTAAGCTTGCTTTTCAATTACAACAGATGTGCCCACAGAACTGGGCTACAGACTTAACATTTTACAGAAATTGTGGTGGTTTTTTTTAAAAAAACTCCTCAAACCCCATCATTGTAAGACATAAATAAATACCAATTAGTGTAGAATATCAGAATTGGACTGTGGGCTCCTTGGTGCTCTCTGAGCTTGGTGGTTTTTCTTGCAGACCTTTCATGACCCAACTAGGTAACGTCATCAATGTAGTAGTTGGGTGGTGAAACATCGACAAGAAAACCCCCAAGCTCAGAGAGCACCAAGGACCTCACAAACATCAATTATTTTAGATACAGCTCTCCCCATAAAAAGCAAAAAGAAATCAAGAGAACCACTTGAGAAATTATTGAGGGAAGGACGAGAAAGATAGGTGGACAAGCCAAATCTGACTTGGGTCATTCTGTTACATAGAGAGAAGCTCATTGGCCTGGTTTAAGCCTGTTAAGCCAAGTTTGTTTAGTCACAATTTCGTGGACAAGCCCTACAGGTTTGCTTCACACAGAACTATGACTCATATAACTCACCACTGTGGTTTAGTACTCGGTTTGACATAGACCAACTAAATGCCGGATCTCTAATAACTATTTTAAAGGTTTGTTTCAGCATTTCCAAGAAGTTCTAAAAAGTTTTACATTTTCCCACGCTGGTTACACTAGCTGGAGCTTATCAGAGTTGGGCTCCAAGTCTTTGGAGGGCACCTGGTCACTTATCTTTACCAAAGATTATCCTTGTCATTGTTTAAACCTTTCTTTGCAATAGCTAAAAGAGCAAGTGTCTGTCATTTTAGGGCTCAATTGCAAACACCCAGAGCATGAATCCCATCCAATTAGGTTTCAAAGAGAGAGGTATTAATTCTAACCAGCTTGATTCAAACTCGGATTCCTGCATCCTGCCATATAAATTTAGAATTAGAAATAAAGATTCTTTACAGGGGAGCTAGACTCCTGATGGCTCCAGGGCTCAAGCCTGAAACTGGGTTGGGGATGAAAGACCACCAAGAAGTTGGGTTGGGGTGTAAGACCACCAGGAATCTGGGTCAGACATGGAGACCCCTGGGAACCTGGGTTGGGGATGGGAGACCACCAGGAATTTGAGTTGGGGACGGGAGACTCCTAAGAACCTGGATTGGGAATGGAAGGCCACTAGTATCCTGAATTGGGGATGGGAGACCAAGAACTTGAGTTGGGGATGGGAGACCACCAGGAATCTGGGTTATGGTGGGAGACCCCTGGGAACCTAGATTAGGGATGGGAGCTATCACTGTGAACCTGAGTTGTGGATGGAGACCACCAGGAATCTGGACTGGGGATGGGAGACCCCTGGGAACCTGGATTGGAAATGAGAGACCACCAGCAACCTGAATTGGGGATAGGAGACCCCTAGGAACCTAGGCTGGGGATGGGAGACCACCAGGAACTTGAATTGGGGATGGGAGACCACCAGGAATCTGGGTTGTGATGGGAAACCCCTGGGAACCTAGCTTGGGGATGGGAGACCCCTGGGAACCTGGATTGGAAATGAGGGACCACCAGCAACCTGCATTGGGGATAGGAGACCTCCTAGGAACCTAGGCTGGGGATGGGAGACCACCAGGAACTTGAATTGGGGATGGGAGACCACCAGGAATCTGGGTTGTGATGGGAAACCTCTGGGAACCTAGCTTGGGGATGGGAGACCCCTGGGAACCTGGATTGGAAATGAGGGACCACCAGCAACCTGCATTGAGGATAGGAGACCTCCTAGGAACCTGGGTTGGGGATGGGAGACCACCAGGAATCTGGGTTGTGGTGGGAAACCCCTGGGAACCTAGCTTGGGGATGGGAGACCACCAGGAACTTCAATTGGGGATAGGAGACCCCTAGGAACCTGGGTTGGAGATGGGAGACCACCAGCAACCTGCATTGGGGATGGGAGACCACCAGGAACTTCAATTGGGGATAGGAGACCCCTAGGAACCTAGCTTGGGGATGGGAGACTCCTGGGAACCTGAATTGGGGATGGGAGACCACCAGGAACTTCAATTGGGGATAGGAGACCACCAGCAACCTGAATTGGGGGTGGGAGACTCCTGGGAACCTGGGTTGTGTTGGGAAACCCCTGGGAACCTGAGTTGGGGATGGAGACCCCCTCAACCCAAAGGGGGCTCCTTCTGAGGAAAGCGCCCCCTCCCTCGGTGCCCCAAACCCCCTTCCCGCCCGTCTCCATCCGGCGACCCCGACCCACCGCCGCTGCAGCCCTCGGCCGGGTTTTCCGAGCCCCGCCGCCCGCTCATGGCCTCTGCTAGCTGGCTGCTCCCGCCACGCCTCACCGCCCTTTCCTGCCGGCCCGGCCCGGCCTGTCCCCCGCCTTAGCCGCGCTTCCGGGCCGGGGAGGTCTTCTGGGCGGGACGGGGCGGGTCCGTCTCGGGGTTCGGGCTCTGGGCCAGGCCGGGGATCCGGGTTGGGCCCTTTTTTTCCTTCCCCCTTTTTCGTCAGGAAATTCGCTTTTTATTTCGCGCCCCTCCTCCCCCGCTGAATAAATAGGCCCCTCTCCTGGACATCATTCCCTCATAAATGGCATTCTTATAAATTGATTTTTTTAAAAAAAAAAAATAAACTTTCTCCTTCATAAATGATGGTCCGTTTCTTGGTGAAATGAAAGCCTCCTTCTTCGGCCAATCCAATTTTTTGTTTTATTTTATTTTTATGTATTTATTTGTTAAATTTATCCGTCACCCACCTCACCTCTAAATGAGTTCTTTATTTCTTTTGCTTTTTTCACCCCTGTTTTATTTCGCTTCACCATAATGAAGATCTGGTGAAAATTCGACCAATTTTTCATTCAATGATCTGGTTAATTTCATTTTTTTTTTCTTCAGCAAATTGGAGATGTTTTAAGTCAAGGCATGCCTTTGTCTCCTTTGAATTTATTTCTTTATTTTCCTCTTCAGTTTAATGTCTTTTTTTCTTCTTCTCCCCTCTGTAAATTCGGTTTTTATTTTTCTTGATTGTTAGATGAAGGAGTAAATTGGAGATGTTTTAAGTCAAGGCATGCCTTTGTCTCCTTTGAATTTATTTATTTATTTTCCTCTTCAGTTTAATGTCTTTTTTCCTTCTCCCCTCTGTAAATTCGGTTTTATTTTTCTTGATTGTTAGATGAAGGAAGGGGGAACCCTTCTGTGTTAAATTCAGCTTTATTTCATGACGAATGGAAATCTCATCTCTACATTTGATTTTTTTTTTAATCTTGATGATTCTTATCTGAATTTGATATTATTCCTTTTCCTCCTGAAATGAACGGCCTTTTTCATCTGCAAATTCGATTTTCAGTTTGTTAACATTTATTATTTCCTTTACTGAATGCATGCCTTTTTGTGACATTGATTTTATTCCCTTTGGATCCATCAGCGTTACTAAAGGAAGGCCTTTATAAATTTCATGGCTAAATTTGCTCATTGCTCATTATAGGATAATGAGAATTATCGAATGCATCTTTTCCCTTGGGGCTCAACAAAATATTTCGCAGGGTTTTAAAAAAAATAATTTCAGTTGTGTTGTTGCTCTCCTTTAATTATTGTACAGGTGTTTTTAACAGCAGGAACGGTTAATTTTTTTTTCCCCATCCACATTTGCATACTCCAGGCTTTCGTTCTTTGAAAAACAATACTTGTACAGTGGCGTTTTCCACTTTCCATTCATCATAACTGTTGTATGTTTGCTAAAGATAAACATTAGCTTTGAATATTTTGACAATAGTTCAGTTCGGAGCATTCTAATCCTTGGTCTGCGTTAGCTGGCCTTATCGATTAGCCAGTGTTTGGATCTTTGAAAAGTTTCAAAAGAAAGAAGAGGAATGCATGAACTAAAAGCAGGTCAGTAGTTGGGAATTCTAAGCCAGAGTTTTTCCTTCCGATTTTTTAAAAAAAGTTTTTTTGAACAATATACTGTACAGGTGATCCTCAACTTTCAACCGTTTGGTTAGTGGCCATTTAAAGTTACAACAGCACTGAAAAAAGTGACTTAGGAATGTCCTCACAATTGCAACTGTTGCAGTATTGTCACAGTTTGTGTGATCAAAATTGGGGTGCCTGGTATATGACGTGTTTATGTTGGTTGTAGCATATGATCACCGTTTGTGAACTACTTCCGACACGCTTAACAATCACGCAATTCATTTAAAAATTGCAGTAATTTGCTTAACCATGGCAAAAAAGTGGGTGTGACTCACTTAACAACTGCCTTAGCAATGGAAATTCTGGTCTCAATTGTCGTAAGATAAGGACTGCATGCCATAACTATGATGTGCTTCCAGGAAGGAACTGAAAAGCCTGATCTGCCATTAAGACAGAGTTTACCAGCCATTGGCCTCGCAGACACTGGAACTATGGTTTCCAGTATCCTTTAAATCAGATAACTAACCAAGATTGTCCGGCGTCTCTGGAACTATGGTTTCCAGTATCCTTTAAATCAGATAACTAACCAAGATTGTCCGGCGTCTCAGATGGAAGCTCCCCAAGCTTGTCATCCTCTTGAATCTGCACCTAGAAAAATGGAAGTTCTTATATGGCTATGTCATTGTCTTTTCCAGGCTTGTGTCATCCATTGCACTAAGCAAAATGTGGGTTGTTTGTGGTGACCTCAATAAACTAGGGTTAACCAAAGTATGGTTTGCTAGCTGGACGCCCATGCTTTGCTATGAAACTATGTGATCAGGCGTGATAAATTGACACTTAAAGCCTGAAACTTAATGTAGAATGTGTAACTGTGTATTATCAGAGTGTGTTAATATAAGGCAACTGGCAGTTGGAACAGAGTTCCTTTCAGGTGGGGAGGGGAAGTAGAACGTCTGACTCCTTAGCATCAGAGTGTGTGAATATAATACTGTATATGAAATCCTAATGATCTGATGATCATTTCAAAAAATCCTTTTTTAGCAAGAACCTAGAAGCCAAGTGGAACATACATGCCAATTTCAAGTTTGTAGGCTTTACCGTTCTGGAGATTTCGTGATGATGCGTAAGCGGTATTTGACTTTTATATATATAGATTGGGATGTGAGTGGAGGTCATCATAATCTAACTGCAGACTGTGGAGACAGGATTAGGGCATTTTAGAGATTTACTGATTTGTTATCAGGTTTTATCGTATGAAAATCAAGTGATCATTGAATGGCAAGATTTTTCTGTTCTGAACTGGACAAACACATTCAGCTTCTACTTTTCCAGGAACTTAATTATGAATAATATACACATTGTCAGCTTCCTGTGACAATACAGACAATTGAAATCCCATGAGTAATACAAAAAGTACTTTCGGTGATACATTCTGCGTGGATGTGGAAAAGAAAAGAAAGCAAACATTGGCTATTTGATTTATTTGTTGCTTTTTCTGGTAATTCAGGCTTTCTTTAAAATTTAAAGCATCCTTTGGACTTAAGACAGTGAGGACTAAAGCTTTCCTGTTAAAGACCCTCTTATTGGCCTATTAGCCTTTCCTTACGTTTGGCAGAACCTGTTAAGAACAATAATAATGCTCTCTAACTGCAATAGCAGAACGGCGTAGAAAAAAGTCCAAAGTGACTCGAAATAGGTAAAATCCCAAAGGAGCAAAGTATATAAGAAGAAACACTACGGTGACACAAGCAAAAACAGCCCAAGGCAGGGTAATCTACGATCAGAAGAATCTTATTTCATTTGATCTCAGGTTGGCTGCCTAGGATTGGTTGCAGCAAGGTGTGTTAATTCCCTCCCCACTCTGCACACACCTGTCTGTAAACTGCAAATGAGCGTGTGCACCCTGCAGGACAAAGATTGAATTTCTAGGACTTTAGATGAGTTGGCAGCTGCACTTCAGATACTGGCATTTCTTCCAGCACCCTTCCAAAGGTACGTTACGGATCTTTCGTCGTCTTTTTTTTTTTTTCTTTTTCTCTAGGATCTTAACGCCAACTTTTCCCAAGAAAACAGGAAACTGCAAAGATGACATGATCTGAACAAATGTTACCGGCGGTGCCAGCCAAGAAATTTATACTGATCCTGTGAGGGGTAAGTAACCTTAAGACTTCCTGTCAGGATAGAATAACTGAATAAAGAATTGGAAGGGACCTTGGAGGTCTTCTAGTCCAACCCCCTGCTCAAGCAGGAAACCTTATACCATTTCAGACAAACAGTTGTCCAGTCTCTTCTTAAAAACCTCCAGTGTTGGAGCCCCCACAACTTCTGGAGGGAAGCTGTTTTACTGATTAATTGTTCTCACTATCAGGAAATTTCTCCTTAGTTCTAAGTTGCTTCTCTCCTTGATTAGTTTCCACCCATTGCTTCTTGTTCCGCCTTCAGGTGTTTTGGAGAATAGGTTGACCCCCTCTTCTATGTGGCAGCCCTTCAAATAATGGAACACTGCTATAATGTCATCCCTAATCCTTTTCAGCAGGTTGTTTTGAAAGCGGACATTATTTTCTCTTCTGGTAATTCCTTGCTTTGCAGTGATCAAAATTACTTTTCCTGGCAGAAATATTGTTTTCTGCATTTCTTCATTCCATTCCTCCATTTCTAGGATATCCCATATTGTATAAAAATGTTTTTCCCCCTCCTTCAGAGGTAACCCTAGAGAGAGAATATTTTTCTCTTCTTCCTCACCTGAGAACTTATTTCGTTTCTTAACATTTTATCTCCCATCCCTTCTCCAAGCAGTTCTAACTGGTATTTATGCTTAATCCCTTTGTGTTGCTTTCTCTGTTCTCAACAGTGTTGGCAGGTTGGTTAAGCTGTGAGAATTCCTAATTGTGTACAATTTGTGTAAAGCCACAACTTACTTTAACGTACCAACCTAGACACTGATTGCAAACCACTGTTTTAGCATGAGCTAAAGCGCATCATGTGTTAACTGTTAAAATTTATTCAGTGAACAAGATTTTGCAAGAATTCAGCCAATAAATACCCCCAAGATTATTCTGAAATTCCTAATTTCCCAAGTCCAATTCTTAAAACCATATACAATGTAAATCATGCAAACTCTGTCCGTGTGCTCACTTTATGAAGAATCCCCAAAACTCAATTGTTCAAACTATAGGTATGTCCTGCAACTATGCCTGCTATCTGGTGAAGTGTTGGCCTTTTTCAGTTAGAATCTTTCTTTTCAAAAGATTCTTGAAACTTTTCTTTTGTACTCTCTTGTAATTGCGTACTAATTTTACAAGGAACTTGCAAGGGTTTCGCTAATAAGGAAGTAAATGCAATTTATTGGACCGGGGAAGACCAGGGGAAAAAGAGATCTGGCAAGTTGGATTAATGATTATTAGTGCCAAAAGAACTTGCTAAAGTTCTTGAAAATAGGGTAGTCTTTTTGATAATTTCCGCCAGTAATTCCTGACTATCTCATTGGTGGGCAAGCTAGTAACAGGTTGATTTTTTTCCCCCTCAATTAAGACTACAGTACAGGAATTATATTTCCCAGTTGTATTTGGATAACTTTAAACAGCAAGAACATCCATTCATTTCCTCCTGGTGTTTTCAGATGTAAACTGATATAAAATACAAACAAAATTCTAAGGGTTATATATGCTGAGCGGTAACCCTATCAACATAGTTTGTTTTATCAGGACTAACTTTTCAAAAACACAAACGGCTTTATCAATTATTTGCAATGTTTACATATCAGGTGGGGTTCCTAAATAAATAGTTTGGGCTTAATTTCCATAGAAATGGAGGGGATTAAATGCACTTAACTATGCAAGTCCATATTTGTGTGTTTTCAAGTGATCTCCAGTGAGTTTCGTTCATGGGTGTCCAACCTGCCTGGGCTGCGTTGAGTGAAGATGAATTGTCTTGGGTAGCATATAAAATATATAATATAGGTAATGCATATAATATACCGGTAATCACATAATAAAGTTGAAAGTTTATGATCTTGTGGGGCCGCATTCCTACCTATCCAGGGCCATGAGTTGGACACACTTGGTTTAATATACAGGAGCACACCTGTGTTTCTTACCTGTACTCATTACAGGATAATTATTGATAAACATCAGGCATCAGGTGAGAACATTTATTTCTTTCGTTTTGACTAAGTTTGAACATGGCAATGTTCCATCCCTATCAATGATTTGTTTGTTGGGTTCCTCAGTAACAGGTAGTCCTTAACTTATGACCGCAATTGAGCCCAGTATTCTGGCTGTAAGTCATTCTGGTTTGTTAAGTGGGTTATCTTTTGACCACACCTGTTTTTATGATTTTTTGGCGGTGGACGATAAGCCAATCCATTGTCTGTAATTGGTGGGTTTTTTTGCTGGAAATTGCAGCTAAAGGCTGGTTTCCAGCAAAAAAATGTTATTATTCGTGGTCATGTGACTGTAAGATGCTGCATATAGTGGTAAATGTTGGCTGGTTGCCAAGCATCCCAAATGCAATCACATGACTATGGGGGAGCTGGCAGTTAGAACTTTGAATCTGGGTTTATCCAACATGCTATGTCTGCCTGTCTGTCTGTCTGTTTGTCTGTCTGTCTGTCTCTGTATCAGTGGTGGGTTGCTCCTGGTTCGCACCGGTTCGCGAGAGCCGGTAGCGGTGATGATATGACGTCACCGAACCGGTTCTCTGTCTTTGGGAGCTGGGCCCTCCCGCCCGCCCCGGCATTATGCTGACCTTATATTTCTTCTTTTTTCGCCCAGCTGAGAGGTGCGGCAGAGCGGATTGCCGCACCTCATCTGGGCAGATTCGCAACGTGCTTGCGCAAAGTGCAAGTTTGGCGCGCAGGTGAGCAGAGTGAGCCTGCGCACGGCAATCGCGCGCAAAGCGCACGACCGAAGAGGCGATCGCGCGCAAAGAGAACCAGTAGTAAAGTCGGTTAGAACCCACCCCTGCTCTGTATGTATGTATGTATAAATATGCAGTTCATTTGAAACCATACAATTTAAATTTACAAATCAGTGAGAAGTGAGTTACAGTTTCACCTCTTGAAATGGCGTCAGTCTTTTACAGCTTTTTGCACAAATAGCTTTTACTTTTTTTGCAATCCTGGTCAATAAAAGTGTACTATATAAACTCGATGTAAACTTGATGTGATATATAAACTGAAGTGTACTATATAGACTCAATGAACCAGTTTGTGTAATTTTTTAAAAAGACTATTTGGGTTTCTTTCTCTTGTACTGTAAAGGAGTTTGTAAATAAGTTTTGTGAAAATGATACGTCTCATTAAATTATAAAGTGGAACTGGTATCAAAGCCAGATCAGTTTTACCTTTCCAGCTCAGCGTCATCTGAGAAGCTATTGCAAAGATAAAATAAATTCACTTTAATGAATGGTGGAGGTTGTAAGTGCTTTTTAAAATATACGGGTACGATACCTCATAACATTTATTCAATTGGGGTAGAATTTTAAAAATTATGCAAATTTGTTTCAAACTTCTGAAACAATTTTTCTTCCTTCTTTTCAACCTGGATAGAATTTCAAAGCAGTTAAATGTAATCTATGAAAACACAATCTGATTGAAAAGATCAATCTAAACAAAATCTCTACCCCCCTTCCCCAGTCACTGTGTGGGGAGTTGGACAGCCATATAAATTTGTTTACTAAATAACATAAATAATTACAATTCTACAGGAAGGCCAAGAAAGAATATTTGTAAAAAAACCAAAAGCTTGATGAAACAAAGAAAAATATCAGATGCGGTCTCTAAGCTTTAGTTTATTTTAACATGGTTTGTTAAATAAACCACAGTGGTGACTTCTTCCAGAACATAAAATAGTACTCATTGCATTAAACTCCAATGAATTTATATCATATAAGTTTAATGCTAAATAAATAAAATGCAATAATAAAAATAGCACCAAACGGTGATAGAAAAGCATAAAAACAATCATAGCTGTTTTGCTGCAATGGGATATAAGTAGTTGTACAATATTTAGTTGTAAAGTAATTAAGAAGTACCTTGAAATCAGGTCAAAGTAGAAATTATTTTATTAAGCTCAGTGTAATAAATTCTGTTTTACAACAGAATGACCATCTGAAATATGCTGTTTATGTAGCTGACATAAGTATTTTTTCCAACATGCAAATAACTGACCTTCGTCTCTTAATGCCAGGGGGAAAAAAGCCTTTGCATTTTCTTGAATTCATTGAACTGATACAGCGATTTTCTGAATTTTCAAGAATTCTTTGTGATACTTGAGCAGCACAGAGGGGTCATCGGAGGTGATTTGTTTCTGAAAAAATTGAAGCACATCACTTGGTGAGAATATTAAATATTCTTACAAAACAGGATTACAGGATGTGATTGGGAGAAAAGCATGTAGACAGAGACCTGTGATACTGATATGATATGGTGTGCATACCAACAAATGGAATCTCTGAGGGAAAGGAAGAAGTGGCAGTGTAATAATTTACTTGATACTGTAATAAATTATCTAGTGTTTATACTGTCAGATGAATTTTCTTGTGTAGTGCAAGATATTCGTCTCTCTTTCCAGAAATACACACAGAATTTCTCTGTAACTATGTCTGTTGTAATCTGTTTCTTGATTATAAATTGTCTTTTTGGGAAGGAAAGAAGGGAAGGAAGGAAGGAAGGAGGGAGGGAGGGAAGGAAGGAAGGAAGGAAGGAAAGGAAAAAGGGAGGAAGGGAAACAGGAAAGAAGGGAGGAAGGACAAAAAAAAGAAAAGAAAGAAAGATACAGCAGATTGTTGCTTCCCCACTCATTTGCTAGTCATGAAGTGTTTATTCTTTTTTGTCTCTTTGACTGACACACAAACACATATACACGTAGCCTAGTGCAGAGCCCTGAACTTCTGCTGTGAGATCAAGTAGTATTACTAGGTTTGTGTCTGTCCTTAGATAAAACTACTAGGACTTTTGGTCTGAAGAGGACAGAACTGATGAGAAATAGTACAGTTTCAACATGAATTATGTAAAGCTGTCTCTTTCCTTAATTCACTAGAATTGAGTAGATACCTAAATAGCTACTTTTGCCAACCAGCTGAAAAATAGATGTCTTCTTGAAGAACTCTCTAATACTCTCTGTAACATCCACAACATATGTGGAATTTATTTCTTTTAAAATAGGTTCGAGATGAGATTGGCAGAACCGCGATGATCTAAGTAAATTTCCAGGGGCTCTTTCTTACAAAGACCAAGATCTGGATCCATCATGTCTTTTCCTTACAATGATATCATTGAAAATCCTGACTATCCTGACTATCACTATTCCGAAACATTGGAAATCGACAAGTTGTAAGTTTGCGATCAGCATACAATATGTGCTTAGAAGAAATCTGGATAGAGATTTTTTTAAAGTATTTTTTTTAACCCAGCCTTTATTATTTTAAATTTTAAAAAAATAAGCCAAGGCAGTGAACATAACTAACACTCTTTCCTCCTTCTATTTTCTCCACAAAAACAACCTTTTGTTGTTGTTGTTAATGGGGCTATTACAAATGGAATCAGTGACAAAAAAAATATTGCAATATTTCCTCCATTTCTTATTGAGGTACTCCAGTTTGGTACGCCTGCCAAGTGTGCCTTGTCCCAGCATCAGTTCAATTTCTGTTTTCCCTTTTTCAATTTCAGTTACTTGAAATAAAATTGGTAAGGTCGCTCTTGACGTTCACTTGTTGACCAAGTTGTTAAAAATGTAAAACGCACTCTGAGTAGGGATGCAACAGGTTGTACTGTTAGGAAGTCCAAGTTGTTCTTTGATCCCTAATCACACAGGAGATATACATCTAGTAGTCCTTGACTTACAACCATTCATTTAGTGACTGAAGTTACAGCAATATATACTCTTGACTCACAAGGGAGGAAAGCCCCTGGAGATCCGTATGAAGAGTAAACCCCTCTGGCCAGCTTTGATAGGCTATGGCAGTGATGGCAAACCTTTTCGGCACCGAGTGCCAAACCGGAATGCCTGTGCACGTGTGTGCACCAGAGCGCCGGAAATCTGAAGACCAGCTGGCTGACGCGCACATGCCTGTTTTTTGGGCCATTTTCAGGGTGTTTTTTGGGCCATTTTCAGGCCATTCTTCAGGCGAAATATGGCCTGAAAACGGCCCGAAAAACAGCCTGTTGTTTTACTGTTTTTTGGGCTGTTTTCAGGCCATTCTCCGGTGCTCTGGCATCTGCAAAAACCAGCTGTCTGGCACACACATGCCTAGTTTTTGGCCATTTTTCAGGCCGTTTTTAGGCCATTTTAGGCCATTTTTTGGACTGTTTTCAGGCCGTTCTTTGGGCCAGAAATAGCCTGAAAATGGCCTGGAAAACGGCCTGTTTTTTGACTGCTTTTCAGACCGTTTTCAGGCCATTCTCTGGCACTCTGGTGCACCGGAAACCAGAAGAGCTGTTGGCGATAGCGCTCACAGTGTGCCCACAGAGAGGGCTCTGCGTGCCACCTCTGGCACACGTGCCAGAGGTTCGCCATCACAGGGCTATGGCTTCCTCCTCCTAAGTCAAGGATCTCCAAACTTGGCAACTTTAAGACTTGTGGATTCTAATTCCCAGAATGCTAGCTGAGGAATTCTGGGAGTTGAAGTCCACAAGTTTTAAAGTTGCCAAGGATGGAGACCCCTCGTCTAAGTCATTTCAGCATACTGGCAGTGATACGATATAGATAGTCCTCAACTGTTTGTTTAGTGACCTTTCGAAGTTACGACGGCACTGAAAGAGGGGACATATGACCATCTTTCTCACTTATGACTGTTGTGGCATCCTCATGGTCATGTGTTCAAAATTCAGATACTTGGCAACTGACTCAATTTATGACAGTTGCACTGTTCCTGAGGGGTCGCGCGATCCCCTTTTGTGACCCCCTTGTTACTAACTTAACAACTGCATTGATTCACTTAATATCGTGGCAAGAAAGGTCGTAAAGTGGAGCAAAACTCACTTAACCACAGAAATTTTGGGCACGATTGTGGTCGTAAGGCGAGGACTACCTATTAATTCCACCAGGATTCGGTGGCATCGGTAGGTGGATTTGAAAGCAGTGCCTTTAAGAAGTTTGGATAATTGTTTAACGTCTCTCCCTTTTGGTTTGTTCTGCAGAAGACCTTCTCAGAGGAGTACTCACAATTCAGACAATCCTTATGCCCCATTTGGGGATGACAACAAGGAAGGAGAACCAGTTCTAATACCCCTGAAGTTAGTACAGAATCAAGATGAGGCCGAATACCCAGCAAGAGATTATGGGTTTGAGTTGCCCAGTACAAACCCATATGAAAAGGCATATGGTATGCAGCTCCAGTGAATGTATAGATAACAGGGCAGATAATTTTGAGGGGTCTACAGTATAGCAATATATTTATATCTGTATTGCCTAAGTCAGGGGTAGGTAACCTTAAATACTCAAAGAGCCACAAAGGTCCTAACCGGAAGTCTTCTGTTCAATTCTGGAACCGACCAGAAGTCTAGTTCCCCCACCATAGAGTCTCTTCCTAGCGTGGCGTCCTTTTTCCTCTGCTGACTGGAAGTCTGGTTCCCCCCACCATAGAGTCTCCTCCTAGCACGGTGTCCTTTTTCGTCTACCTGTCCTAACCGAAAGCCCTATCAAGTGTGGAGCCAACCGGTGACAGGGAGCCACAGCAAAGGGATGAAAGAGCCACCTGCGGCTCCAGAGCCGCGGGTTGCTGACCCCTGGCCTAAGTAGTCCTTGATTTAACAGCCATTTGTTTCATGACTGTTGGAATGTACAATGGCACTGAAACAGCTGCAAAAGCTGAGTTGGTTAGCCTTCTAAAGCCAGCTTTGGTTAGCTTCCTCATGCCAAAATGTCGTGAGAACATGCATTTGTTAACTTCTTCAATGTTTGGAGTAATGATCTGACTGCTGCTAGATATGCTTGCATGGGTCTCCTGAATTCAGCTGTGTCATTTTTTGTTTTTAATTTTATTTATACATTTTTCTTTAACATGCATAAGTGCATAGTAAATAGTGTATTGTCTGGATCAATTTATTTATACATTATAATAGTAATAATGGTATTATATATTTATAGATAGTGATATTCTTCCAACTCCTAATTTCTATCTCTATTATCTAGCTGTGTCGTTTTTTTGTATTGAACTTGCAGTCATTGTGGCTTGTAAAACATAGCTTATGATTTAGCCTAGCCCACTGTGGCTTGCTCAATCAATCATGGAATAAGAAACATAGGTTAAGAAGATACATGCCTCCAGTTTATGTGCGATACAAGAGGAGTAAACAGTTCATTCTGTATTTTTCTTTTTGCCTTCATCAGTTAATCCTTCCTTTGAATATGAACCAGAATCTGAAGAGATATTACCTACTATCAGCCATGCTTTTAATATTCAGGATGCAGACAGTTATTCAGATGCATCAGAGAGAGGTAAGATTCATGTACTGGCTGTCATGTAAGGCAATTCATGGACTGGCTGTCACGTAGAGAACTGACTGGGCAATTCTAGGCCAGAAAGGCATGAATTTCTGCACTATACAGTAGAATTCAATATAGTTACTGCTCTGGGATAGAAGCTGTTCTTGTTTTTATTATCCTGTACCGTCTGCCAGAGGGTAATAGTTCAAAAAAAGGGTGCCCAGGATGAGATGGATCTTTAAGAATGTTTTGAACTTTCTTAAGGCAGCGGGAGCTATAAAGCTCTTCCAAAGAGGGGAAAGTGCAACCAATGATCTATGGGCAATGACGTTAACCCTCTAGAACGCTGTCCTATCTGCCACAGTGCAATTGGCAAACCATACACAGGTGCAATACGTTAAAATACTCTCTATGGTGCAGCGGTAGAAGGTTACCAGCAGTTTTTATGCGTGTATTATTATGCAGTTGATTGCAAATTCATTGAAACGCCACGGTGAATTCTTTTCTATAGTTAATATTGTCCAGAGGCGTAGCAGGCGATCCAATTATGCGACTTTTGCAAGGCCCAGCTTGCTTCGTTTAGACCCAGAATATATAGAAGCAAAGAGAAGAGAAGGTGAGTTATTTATTTCTTTGATTTAATTCTGCTCTCGTCAGTATACTTCACAAATTTTAAAATCTTATCAGGAACTCTGATTGCTGTTATTGTAATCATTGACTATCGGAATACAAAAGATTCTTGTTTGCTTTGTTGAGGTTGTATTGCCTCCTACTTATGGGCTAGCTCACCCAAAGCAATTTATCTGAAAACAACTGAATCATGACAGCTTCATGGGATGCATGAACCCCACCCTCCTGATTTTATTCCCATCTTTATTTTTGCAGAAGAAAAATTAATCAACGATCTGTCAAGCATGTCCACACATGAAAGAGTGAAAGCAATCCAGAAGATTCCCAAATCAATGAAAGAAAAACGTGAGATTAGGTAGCAGGCGCATATTTGTATTCTGAGGGTACTTAAGTTTAACATACAAGGATTAAAAATGCATCCTTTTAAATGTAAACCTCCTTCCTTTTTTTCTTCTTCTCTGCATCTAAGAAGAGAAGGAAATATATAAAATATCGGTATATTTGCATTCAGGCGTTATACTTATATCTAGCAAGCATTTGCATACAGACATTTCTATTAGACATAGAAAAAGATTGTTTAATTGAAATGCTGGAAAAATCTTTTTTTGTACTTTTTTGTAATTTTCTCTCTGGGTTTATGTAGAACTGTTTTGTTTATTTTGTCTTTGATTTGTAAACTGCTCTATAGGTGGTTATAGATACAAAATACCTAAATATTCTATATTTAGATGACAAATGGTTTTAAATGTTTAAATGAGCATGTTGTGCAGCTGGTTTCATTTTCCTAATGGAGAAGTCAGTCTTACTTGAAAGGAGGAGAATGAAATAGGGAAAAACTGATTCAAAACAACTCCTGGAGTTTTTATACTTTTTAGTTTAAGCTACTGTACTATTTTAACACTTGCTAATTTAGAATGAGATAAAACAGATAGAATGAGTTTTAAAAGAGCTTGCTTCCATCCATCTGCCTTATATTATTTTTGCTGTTTGATATTTGACAGGAACCGTGTTCTAACGGAAAGAAAAAAGAAATCCTACAACCAGGATGCTCAGCTTAATAGTTGTACCCAGTGCTTCTACAACACAGCTTTGGTAAGGCGTGATGTTGTTGAATAAGGACCACTTCTTGAAAGAAAGAAGAATGTTATCTATTGTATTTAGCCAAGTCTCCTATTTGGTTGTGATTTTGGCTTCCTTCTTCTAGTTCTTCCGGCAGTTAAAGAACAGTTTCGTCGACTGCCTTCAGCTCTTCCAGTTTTGGCAGAAGGCACTCAAAGACATTGGCAGCCAATTTGGGACCAGCATCCATTCCTACTTTGTGTTCCTGACGTGGCTTCTCATGTTCAACGTTTTCTCATTCCTGATCAACTTCAGTTTTCTTGCAATTCCTCAACTCATTGCAGCCCAACCGAATCACCTTTCCTTCACGAGTCTGGAATTTTTAACCGGAGCTGTACGTAGGTTTATAAAATTGGAAAAAATAAAATGGAGACAAATGCTGTGCTTTCCTTCCATTGTACCAGTCAGATTGATTTAATTGTGGTTTGTTGATTCAGCGAAGGGTGGCTGGGTTCAATTGACCTGCTACGCCATCAATCATGGTTTTTACAGTGTTTAGCAATAAAGGAAATATTTGTAGCTCAGGGTTGACATTTTTTCTTTTTTAATTAGATTTATATGCCGCCCTTCTCCAGAGACTCAGGGCGGCTTACAATGCGTTAAGCAATAGCCTACATACTTTTGTATATTTATACAAAGTCAGCTTATTGCCCCCACAAACTGGGTCCTCAATTTACCTACCTTTGAAAGGATGGAAGGCTGAGTCAACCTTGAGCCTGGTGAGATTTGAAGTTGCAGTAATTGCAGGCAGCTGAATGTTAATAACAGGCTTTTAGTCTGTTGAGCTATCCAGACATGAGGGCCACTTGCTGCTCTCTGAGCTTGGTTGTTTTCTTGTAGACATTTCATTACCCATACTAGGTAACACCATCACTGCTAGCTAAGAGCCGAGGTGGCGCAGTGGTTAGGGTGCAGTACTGCAGCTACTTCAGCTGACTGCTAGTTCAGCAGATCAGCGGATCAAATCTCAACAGCTCAAGGTTGTCTCAGCCTTCCATCCTTCTGAGGTGGGTAAAATGAGGACCCAGATTGTTGGGGGCAATATGCTATTTAGTATACTGTCTTTGGTGTAAGCCGCCCAGAGTCCTCGGAGAGTGGGCGGCATAGAAATATGAAAAATAAATAAATAAATAAATAAATAAATAAATAAATAAATAAATAAATAGTTAGTTAGTTAGTTAGTTAGTTAGTTAGTTAGTTAGTTAGTTAGTTAGGGTAATGAAACGTCTTAAGAAAACAGACATTTCTCCGAGAGTAGCAAGGAGCCCTCACTTCAGTGTTTGGATCCATACAACATACCAAAACCAGCAAGCAAACCACTGCATGTTTTAGTATGGTATGTGACTCTTAATTGCCTGTTAAAATAAACAGGTAAAATAAATACCTGTTTAAAGGAAAGCATTCCAAACAGAGCTTTCTTTTACCTCGAGGCAAAATGAGCAGCAAATAAACCAAGTAAATAAGTAAGTAAGTTAAGTAAATATCGTATTTTTTGGATTATAAGATGCACCTGACTATAAGAAGCGCCTAAATTTAGAAGAGGAAAAAAAAAGTTTTTGGCTTCTGTGTGGCCCATTTTCAGGGCTTTTTGGGGCCTTTTTTTTTTTTTTTTTGCCCTTTTCCAGTCTTTTTTCTGCCCGTTTTTGAGGCTTTTTCAGCCCATTTTCGAGGCTTAAAAGCCTAAAAATGGGCCAAAAAAAGCTGAAAAAACGTGCCGAAAAAAGCTGAAAAAAACGGGCTGAAAAAAGCTCTGAAAACTGGCTGAAAAAAGGCGTGAAAAAGGCCCAAAAACAGGGTGTGCAGAGCCCAAAAAACGGCCAGTGGGTGGGTGGGGCTTCGGCAATATTCAGTCTATAAGATGCACAGACATTTTTACCCCCTTTTGGGAGACAAAAAAGTGTGTCTTATAAGCAAGATAAGTTACAAAATATACCCAGTGTGAAACAGGCTAAAAGTCTTCGCTGCCTCTATGGGGAGGGAAAAGTATTAGACAACTGATACTGTCAATAAAAATCTTTTGCTGACCTCTCGAACTCTGATACTGTTTTCTCTTATCATCCCAGGGTTACTTTACAAACACGGTGCTCTACAGCGGCTTTTATACCAACGGTACAGTAGCAAAAATTGAGAATGCCTTGCCGTATTACATGCAGCTGGCTTACATTTTCACAATTGGGATTTATTTTATCATCTGCTTTCTGAGCTTGATCTACAGGTACGTTGGTTAAGGTTGGACTACTATGGGGTTGGGGTGGGGGGAGTGGCCTTTAATAGTCACTAGGCCACCCTTTGGGTCATCCTTTCAGAGATATTCCTTTACCAGACTCCTCAGTCTCCTCCACAGTGACAGAGCTTCTAACCTACAACCTTCACTGGAAAAATTGGGAATAACCTTCAGAGATGGATCAGCCTTGGAAACATAGCAGGTTGAACTATATAGCAAGCCAAACATCAGCCTAGGACCGTGATGACAAACCTATGGCACGTATGCCAGAAGTGGCACACAGAGCCGTCGCCCATTGTTCTTCCAGGCTCTGGCATGATGGCCAGCTAGTCTTCACGCATGTGGGAGCGCCGGAAACCAGAAGAGCTGCCGCCTGGTGTGCATGCACATGCCAGGAAAATGATCTTCCGGTTTCCAGTGTGCGCATGTACACCGGACAGCTAGTCTTCACATGAGCATGCATGCCAGAAACCGGAAGTCCAGGTGGCTGGTGTGCATGCGTGTGCCGGAAACCGGAAGATCATCTTCCCAGCACGCGCATGTGCACCGGGCGCCTGCTCTTCCAGTTTCTCGCACGCAAGCGTGCGCGCTCCCGTTTCGGTACTCGGTGCCAAAAAGGTTCACCAACACTGGCCTAAGGAAATGTTTTAGGACATTTTGTACTATGATAGAAACTCTTTATGATAACGTTTATGGCATAAAATGTTTTATAACATTTGCCGAATTTCAGTTCCATAGGAATCCTGGATGTTGGACGCATTCTGTAAAGTAGCCCATTTGAGGCATCTAGTTCAAAAACGGTTAACCTGTGATGCAATGTTTCGTTCAGTTACAAGAGTTTTAATATCTTCATATCTTAAATAATCTCTCCTGAAATGGTTGCTGCTTTTTTTTTTTTTTTAAGAATGAAAAGCAAAAGGAACAGCCAGGGCAAATTACAACTTCATTTACTGTAAAGCAATTGACTTCTTTAAATAAACATTCCTTTAATTCTCTTCCTTGTTTCATTATTATGTTGCTTGTAATTGGACCTGGCCACGCAGCCTCAACCCAGCAGTTGCCTTGGAGAGAGAGAGAATGGGCCGCAAGAATGCTGATTTACCACAAAGTGGTAAAATGCAGGCAAAGACTTGCGTAAAGGCTACAGTGCCTTGACATAAACTGGGATAAGGCTAATCTAAATAATTTATGCTTTCAGCTTAGCGGAGCAGTTTTCTTTTGTGTGTTTGTGGAACACACGTACACTTGAGATTGGCTGATTAATCTGTCAGGGCTTTAGCCAATTCTGCCAAATTCCATCAAATTGAAAAAAAAGTATGTACAGTGGTACTCATCATTAATCAATTCCGGGAGGCGTGATGAGTACCAAATAATTTTTTCCCATAAAGTGAGTCACAAGACAAGTGACACCAACAAGTTTAGTTTGTGCGTTGAGTGCCAAAACAAACAATGAGTACCAGGACAAAATGTTGGCGTCAAAATGCATTGAGTACCAAATTCGATGGGTTTCAAAGCAGCTGTGGTGAAATCCTACCAGTTCGCATCGGTTCGGGCGAACTAGTAGTGATAAAATCTACCAGTTCGGCGAACCGGTAGTAAAAAAAAAAAAAAAAAAGCTACCGGTTGGTCCAGTGCGGATGTGGAAAATATTATCTAAAGATACATGCCACCTTTTCTCTTTCTCCCTCCCCCTCCCCCTCCCGATGCCTTGGTCACTGCAGCATGGCGAAATCCTTCCGTAACCACATCGTTATGCCTCAGATGCACTCGGGAAACGCTGCCAAGCTTCTTTGCATCTGGGACTTCAATGTGGTGGATGAGAAAGCTGTGCAGATGAATCAGAAAAATATCAGCACGCAGATCAAGGTAAAGATGGTGGCGGTCACGTCGAAATGATTAATGCATCAAGAGGTCATTTTTTCCCCCCCTCGGGAGAGTTGACAGAGCAGAAAAGAACATCATTCTGTGGTCCGTGGCTTTCTCACCGTTCCTTGGGTCTCATCCATTGATCGTCTCCCTTTTGAGAAGTAGAAAGGAGAAATATTTGACGCATAAGATGATATTCATACACAACATTCCTCCCAAACTATCTTTTACTGTTACCCCTCAATTTTGCTAATTAATTCCCAATCAGGGGTCCTTGGTGCTCTCTGAGCTAGGTTGTTTTCTTACAGATGTTTCATTACCCAGACGCTCATTATGTTATCTAGTTTGGGTAATGAAACGTCTGCAAAAAAATAACCAAGCTCAGAGAGCACCTCCGACCCCATAGTCCTCCTCCTCCTTCCCTCCACAAGCCCTACTCCCTTCTATCCCTGATTACGTTACCTAGTTGGGCAATGAAATGTCTGCAAGAAAACAACCAAGCTCAGAGAGCACCTCCGACCCCATAGTCCTCCTCCTCCTCCTCTCCACAAGCCCTACTCCCTTCTAGCACTGATGATGTTATCTAGTTAGGCAATGAAATGTCTGCAAGAAAACCACCACGCTCAGAGAGCACCAAGGACCTCTCATTTCAATCTTGCTACAAATATTCTCCTTTATTAATTCCCAATGAGGCACTTTTGAAGCTTAACATTAGCCATCGCAATAGCACTTAGAGAGCGCTCTAAAGTGCTATGAAGCGGTATATAAGTCTTAAGTGGTTTACAGAGTAAGCATCATGCCCCCCCCCCCAACAACCTGGGTCCTCATTTTACCAACCTCGGAAGGATGGAAGGCTGAGTCAACCTTGAACCCCGTCAGGATCAAACTGCAGGCTGTAGGCAGAGTTAGCCTGCGATACTGCACTTTAACCACTGTGTCACCGGGGCTCTTAGGGGGGGGGGGCGATTGAATGCAAAGCCAGACCTGAATTCCTGCTTCTAGCTTATCTAACTCATCTAACACCTCTTTTTCATCCCAGGAGACCCTTTCTGAAATGCGTATTGAATCTCTGAAGCTTTCCCCGAAGCAAAGGATTCTTCGCCTCTCGATTCATCTGGCCATGTGGTTTCTCTCGTTGGGCTTCGCGGTGGCTTCATGTGCTGGCATTTACTTCTTTTCCCTTGTCAATTTAGAGGTCAGCTGCCATTCTTTGGTTTCCTACCCCTTTTCTTTTGCCTTTTTCATACCTTTGCTAAATCGTAAATAAATAAATACATACTGTCTCTGGGGATGGGTTTTAAACATGACTGCATATTCTTGACAGTGTGTTGATGGAAGGACTGAGATTGATTTCTTAAGATGATATATTTCTCCTCCACCCAACTTGGGTGTAGCCAGTGGTGAAATCCAATTTTTTTTTACTACCTGTTCTGTGGGCGTGGCTGGCTGGGCATGGTGTGGCTTGGTGGGCATGGCAGGGGAAGGATACTGCAAAATCTCCATTCCCACCCCACTCCAGGGGAAGGATACTGCAAAATCTCCATTCCCACCCCACTCCTGGGGGAAGGATATTGCAAAATCTCCATTCCCACTCCACTCTGGGGCCAGCCAGAGGTGGTATTTGCCAGTTCTCCGAACTACTGAAAATTTTACTTTGAGCCAGGGATGGGATTCTGCTGGTTTGGACCAGTTCTGGCGAACCGGATGCTAATTTAACATCTGGTTCACCGAACCGGTAGTTGCAAGAGCTGTCTGGCCCCACCCACCTCTTCCCTCCCAGGAGTCTCCACACGGCCTGTTTTGGATGCCAGGTAAGTGCAGGGCCTGTGCAGAAGATCTGGGAGGGCAAAAAACGGGCCCCCAGAAGTTCCGGAAGTCTGGAAACTGGAAAGCCTCTGGAGCCTGGGGAGGGCAAAAACACCCTCCCCCTGCTGTGGTGCAGGAGGCCGAGTAGGCCATGCCCACCATGGCCATGCCCACCCAGCAACCAGGAGGAGAACCGGTTGCTAAAATTTTTTGAATCCCACCCCTGCTTTGAGCTCTTAACAAAAGGTTCTCTCTCTATTTCTCTGTCTCTCTCTCTTCACTCTCTTTAAGTTTTTTCTGAATGAGGAAAACTCACAGTTGGAAAACGAAGCTGCCACGCTGATCTTGCCTATCGTGGTGAGCCTCCTTAACCACGTGATGCCGTTCCTGTACTCCTTCTCCAGATTGGTTGAAAAGTTCACCTATCCCAGGCACCAGATCTACACTGCTATTATCAGGTACATTGGGGGTCATTTTTGCCCTCCTTCGGAGAAAACCACCCCATACCAAGCCATCTAACTGTCATTTACTGTACAGGTAATCCTTCACCCTATTCCTTCCTCCTGTCAGGGTTCCAAGTAATAGATCCATTGCAAGCCAAAACTCCGAGGCAAGTGGATTCCTCAAAGAATAGCTTTATTGGAAAAATCATATTGGCATATGTCTGGTAAAAATCAACTCTGAAGGGCCCCTTGATTTTCACCTAATTAAAAGTAAACGTTTTCCCTGTCAAACCTAAACAATCCGTCACATGGCCCAATGCACGCAGCGTCTGCTGCAGGGGTGAAATGCTACCAGTTCAGACCGGTTCGGGCGAACCGGTAGTAAAAAATGCTGCTGGTTCGGGCAAATTGGTATTTCCGACAATCAGCTGGGCAACGATCAGCTGTGATGCGTAATTTATATTAGCTACAATCGTCGGATTTCCTGCTTTCTAGCTAATCTAAATCGCGTGGCACAGCGGATTCCCCCCCACCTCGCTGTTCTATTTACCTTTGCGGACTTGAAGGCTTCAAAATGTTCCTTTTTTAGCGCTGCGTGGGCGTGCCTCATACAGGCATGCATGCAAAGCGCGCGCTCAGTAGCAGATAGCAGACTTCAGAGGATTTCACCCTGGTCCACTGGTCTGGTGACATCACTCCTCCTTCCTCCGGCCAGGTGTGAGAATGTCCTTGGTTCCCAAGAGAAAGTAGTATTTTATTTTGATTACACAACCCCAGCTATCTCTAACCCCCCCCCCCTATCTTTCGTTGCAATGTGGCAGCACCGAGGCTCCAAGATGGCTTTGGCCGGATCAGCTTCAGGGCTGAAACCTCTGTTTTTTCCAGCCAAACATCTCTTTGGGTGTGAGTTGGCCTGAGAGAGAGAGTTGCTGCCCGCCCCCCAAGGGAGTTTCTGTGGCTTATAGGGGACTGGAACCTGGGTGCTCTCCATCCTAATGCGCCACCTTGGCCACTGTACCATCTATAATGGGAGAGGGAAGGAAACAGTTCTTTTTCCACGAACAGACGATTGCTTTCAAATCCCCAACTCCAAACCGTTCAGAACAGACTTCGAGGAGACAATTGTGGCAGGGGTGGTATTCACTCACCTTCGCTACCGGTTCGCAAATTCGCAAACCTCCGCGCAGAGCGTCAAAAACGGGACGTGATGACATCAGGGCGGGTGGGCGGAGCCTCCCGCATCCGCCGCTACCAGTTCGCCCGAACCGGATAGAACCGGCTAAATACCACCACTGAATTGAACCCTGAGAGCTGTTGCTTCCTCTTTGTAGGAACGTCATCCTGAAAATATCGATCATTGGAATCCTCTGCTATTACTGGCTCAACATAGTAGCGCTATCCAAAGTGGAGGTAGGTTTCTTTCCAAACATGTTTTGGTACTGGTGCAAAATTGCTTATAAAGCGATGCGAGGCCTTCTGTCACTCAAGCTGGAACCAGAGATTGTGCTAAGCCATGGTTTGGCTACCTAGGGTCCATTGATCAGGCTGCCATTGGGTGGTTTTGCACAATATATTAAGCCATAAACAATGGTTACTGAAAGATAGCTGCTGGCTTCACACAGTACGTTAAACAAGATTTGAGGGCTCAGCTCAGCCTTCTCTGATATTTTCCAAGCACATAGATATTTTTACCCAGAATTTCCCAGCCAACACAGCCCCTGCTGAGAATTCTGGGAGTTGATATCCACGGACTTGGATCTGGCTTTAACATGTTGCATGAATAAATGATTATTTTTAAATCTGTGTTTCTCCCCATTAGTGCTGGGAAACCTTCATTGGCCAAGATATATACCGGCTGCTTATAGCAGACTTTGTCTGCTGCCTCCTCGGTTCATTCTTTGGTGAATTTCTACTAAGGTATGTGCATAAGTCTGTAATTTGATCCAAATCAAACTTTCATACAGATAGTCCTCAACTTACAACCATTCCTTGGGTACCTTTTAAAGTTAAAACGGCCCTGAAAAAAATGATGACCAATCCTTGCACATACAACCATCACATCATCTCCACAGTCACATGAACAGTATTTGGGTGCTTGCCCACTGGCATATATTTACAACAGTTGCCGTTTCCTGGGGTCACATGATCACCATTTCTGAACTTCCCAGCTGGCTTCTAACAAGCACAGTCATTAGGGGAAGACTGATTTGCTTAATGACTGCAATTAACTTAAAACTGCAGTGATTCGCTTAACAACCGGAGTTTAAAAAAAGGAGGTAAAATTGGGCATCACTCACTTAACAACCACAGAGGTTGAGGTCTCAATTCTGGTCGTAAGTTGCAAACTACTCATATTTCTACCTCTAGATTTGAAATTCCTAGAGCAGGTTGGAAGCATCTCTGCTAGGCCACAGTTATGGCAGCAGAATTTCCAAATCTACAACCAGTTGTCAGGAGCAAATGATATTCATTTAAAAATGGGAAAAATAGAGATCTTCCAAGGACATCCAGAAATCAGGAATTTGTTTTCAGTTTCTAAATAGAAGTTGGGAGAAGGGGTTGGCTGAAGGTCTACCTTGTTGTACACCAGTTGTTCTTCCTTTCCTTTGCCAAAATAAAATATGCTACTGTCATGCTATTAAAAATTAGGGATTGGAAATTTGCTAATTTAGATTATCCCTCTCGGTCTAGATTAGTTTATTTATATCCTGGCGACTTCTGTTTCTGATAATCTCCAGTTGATCAAAAGAACAACTTCCCTTTTGGAAAAGATTCCGTACAAATCGTTACACATCCAGAATGTCTTTCTGCAGAGCTGCTGCCTAATCTGTTCTAAAAGATGTTGCCAAACTTCCTAACTCACAAATCTGCTGTTTCAGAATTATTGGCACGAAATGCTGGAAAAAACTTGGAGTGCCAGAATTCGATATTGCTCGAAACGTTTTGGATTTGATCTACGCTCAGACTTTGACATGGTGAGTGGGGGGAAAAAATCACATTCTGATGATTCACGAGGTGGGCTACAAATCCAGATGGCTAAATACCCTTATCCAAGCATAAAAAAATACTCGTCTTATATTGAACAACACCAGTCCTTGAATTCTTACTCAAATATCCTTTTTTTCCTCTTCAGGATTGGAATCTTCTTCGCCCCTCTGCTTCCTGCCATCCAGATGATAACGTTTTTCATAATAATTTGTGTGAAAAAGGTTAGGCTGCTTTTTGTGATTTTTTTTTTAAAAACCTGGCCAGCCTTAATTGCATTGTTCTCCCTCAAGCCATTTACTGTTACAGATTGCACATAAACCCACAGATCCGCTGCCGTTTGTTCAACGGGATGATCCTGTTGTGACCTAGGCTCAATTAGTGAGTGAATCAAAGAGTGCGGCCGCGCGGGTGGTGATGGGAGCGACATGGAGTTCCCATGTGACACCTCTCCTGCGCGAGCTGCACTGGCTCCCGGTGGTCTTCCGAGTGCGCTTCAAGGTTCTGGTTATCACCTTCAAAGCGCTCCATGGCTTAGGACCTGGTTATTTACGGGACCGCCTGCTACCACCAATAGCCTCCCACCGGCCAGTACGCTCCCATAGAGAGGGGCTCCTCCGGGTGCCGTCGGCCAAACAATGTCGACTGGCGGCCCCTAGGGGGAGAGCCTTCTCTGTGGGGGCACCTACGATTTGGAACGAGCTCCCCCCGGAGATACGTAGGATCCCGGATCTGCGCACCTTCCGCTGCGCGCTTAAGACCTTTCTATTTTATCAAGCTGGCCTGGCCTAAATCTTCCCCCTTTTTAAATGTGGAAATTTTAAATTTTTAAATTTTAAATTCGTCTTTTTATAGGAGTATGGGTAAGGCATTTTAAATTGGGGAGCCATTTTAGATTTAATTCTGTTTTAAACGTATTTTAATTGTTTATATTGTATGTTTTTAACTTTGGCTGTTCACCGCCCCGAGTCCTTCGGGAGAGCGGGCGGTATAAAAATCTAATAAATAAATAAATAAATAAATAAATTAGGCATTACCAGACACAATTTAGTTTTAAACAAACCTATTTTATTATAACAGCTGGGAATTACTTCATTCCCAGCTTAGTTAATTAATTCCAAAATAAATCCTTAAAAAAAAGCCCTTCGGACTTATCACAAACCTTTATCTTCTTTGGCACCCTACCAAAGGCCTTTCTTGGCAAAGCCCCACGAAGTTCAGAAACAAGAGACGCTGACTGGAAACAGATTAAGCAACGTTGCTTTCCTACAAAGAGTCCAAGAGCCGTTGCTGCTCTTTTAAGCCTTATGGGAGGGGCCAATCATCTCCTGGCCATACTCCCAAGTCGTCCCATTTGCTTTAGCTGCTCTTGCCTTCTGGCAGCTCTGCGCATGCGCGCACTAGGAACAGGCTCCTCCTATTCCTCTGCCTCTCTGCTGTCTGCCTCTGGAAGCTCCGGAGTCCGTGCATCACTCCCAGATTGCCCTGGCCCCGTTTCTGCCTCCGATGCAGAGCCCTCGTCCGGGCCTTCCCCAGACTCCAGGACTGGCCCATGTTCCTCCCCAGCCTCCTCACTATCTGACTCTGCTGCTAGCTCCGTGGGCTGCTGGCGGACCACAACAGATCTGGAACTGCACAAGGATGAGGCATGATCAGGACTCAGGCAGTTGGGTCGACAACAACTCGCCATAGCCAACTCATCCTGATCAACCCGCCACAGCCAACTCACTGTGGGACAACTCATTGCAGGACAAGAATATATCTAATATGAAAGCACTAATATCAAAGAAATAGTCAAATAGGATACTTAAAGAAAGGATGTGAGAGGAGCAATAGAATGAAATGTGAATGACAAAAATTAAAATAATGTATTAACTATAAAAATAAAACACAAATGCACATCCCTCACATTCTATACAATTGAATTGAAAACCCCTGATATTGCATTAATATTGCATTATACAGTAGAATCCAATATAGTTACTGCTCTGGGATAGAAGCTGTTTTTCAGCCTATTTGTCCTTGTGTCCTTATTGTCCTGTACCGTCTGCCAGATGGTAAAAGTTAAAAAAAAAAGGTGCCCAGGACGAGATGGATCGTTAAGAATGTTTTGGCAGCGGGAGCTATAAAGCTCTTCCAAAGAGGGGAGAGGGCAACCAATGATCCCGCCTCCATCGCTACCGGATTGGGTGATCCAGTCCGAACCGGGAGCATTTCACCTCTGCAGTAAACCATACACAGGCAACCCATACACAGGTGCAATGTGAGTCCTTGTGAGTCAACCTGTTGATCTGCCTGTGATCTCTCTGCCTTGTTCCTCCAGATCAGCCTGCTGCAGAACTGCCAGCCTCCACGCAAAGCTTGGCGAGGGTCCCAGATGAACACAATTTTTGTCTTCCTGCTCTTTTTCCCATCTTTCACGGGAGTCCTCTCAGTCGTGGCCGTCACCGTCTGGAGGTCAGAAGCTCTTTGGGTCCACCCTTTTTCAAGTCGCTTCAGGGTCTTGTTTGACATTTCAGCCCAGGTTTTGGAGAACTCTTGGGCAAGATGCAGCTGGTCATTGGTTTATTTCCCTGAGAAGGGAAAGTGTGAGAAAGAAACTCAAAATAACTCCATTTTGTTTTTGTTTATGGATAATCCTCAATTTACGACCACAACCGAGCTCAAAATTTCTATTGCTAAGTGAGCTTTGCTCCATTTTAGGACCTTTCTTGCCACAGTGGTTAAGTGAACCACTGTGACGTCATATTGTCACTGCTACCGGCTTGGCCAAACCGGGAGGAACCCACCACTGTTGTAAATCATTACATCGTTCCACTGATTAAGAGATCTCAAGATTCGCAGATCTTCTCAGGGACCTGCAGATGCCCAGTGCTGCCTCTGATACTGCCCAGTATCAAGAGTTTTCTGAGTTTTCCCTTCAACAAACTTCTAAACTGACTTATGTTTGCATAAAAGGAACCTGTCCTTTCTCTCTCTCTCTCTCTTTATTTTCCAAGACGGAAGCCTTCAGAAGTATGTGGCCCTTTCCGAGGTCTAACAGCTCCCTTTGAAGCTATCTCTGGCTGGATCTCAGACTTGACTTCTTCCCCGAGCTCAGGATGGGTAGTGTGGATCTATCACAACTTAATTGAGAGCACCCATTTCTTCTTCATCCTTTCAATCATTGTGCTGTAAGTTTCCCATTGAAAGAAAGAAAAAAAAGAAGAGGTGGGATGGAGAAGGAAGGCGACCCATTTGTTAAAGGGACTCTTTTAATAATGCAGGACTTGTATAAAATATGTGCCCTAAAAAAACTAGTAAGGGTTTTTCTGTCTGAGGAGTCATCGGTGCTCTCTTGGTTCTTTTCTTGCAGACATTTCATTACCCAACTAGTTAATATCATCAGTGGAAGAAAAATTGTTCCTTGGTGGAACTGTACTTACAAGCAAATTTTTCCCATCTGTGTGCTTTTTGAAATCTTTGATTCCCATATGGGTACCAATAAAGTCGAATATTTGTAGCTCAGGGTTGAAAGGAGGAGCCGTTACCTAGTTTGGGTAATGAAATTTTGGCAAGGAAACAACCAAGCTCAGAGAGCAACAAGGACTCCTCATTTCAACCCTGAGCTACAAATATTCGACTTTATTGCTTTATTCTGTCTGGTAGCATAGTTTGGGATCTTGGCTGAGAAATTGCTCTTTTTTTAAAAAAAAAAAAAATCAACACTGAATAAGAATATGGAACACAATTTATTGGCCAACAGTAATTCTCCATTCCTGATTCTGTTTTAGGATGTTCATATACTTTTTCTTGCAAATCATCAAGGGACGAAAAACAATGGTTAAACTGCTACAAGAGCAAATTGCTAATGTAAGTATTTTCTCAGAGAAATCCCGTCACTCTTAGATAGTGGGATCTAGTCAAACTAGCTTAAATTACAGGAGGGCAGTGTCAAACACCAGGGAAATTAGGAGTTCGGGCAGTTCAAATGGGTATAAAGATTTACTGTAAGCTTATCAAGAATCTGAATTACTAACGGTCAAGGGAAATTAGCGTGGGATAAGAATAGAAAGGAATTCAAGGGGGGCTGGACTTCGATCTCTGGCAGGTGTGAAGGGACTGATGACATGCTTGACCTCTCCCTTGTGCTCAGCCTAGTCATCTCTCACAGGTAGCTCATTGTTGAATATCCGGAGAAACAATTTGAGAGATTTGACTGCAGTAGCTGCTTCTATAAAGGGATGTGGTGGGTGCTTTATCACTGAAGGTCTTCAGCAGAGACTAGACCAATGTTTCTCAAAATTTCTGCAACTAGGGTCACTAAATAGAAAACTTCGCAAATTCCAGGGATCACCCAGTTAACAAAGACTTTCTTCCTATGTTTTTATCTTTAAGAACATGGTAGTTTTGGCTTTTTTGGCAAATAAAATAATCCTTTAGTTGCATGAGCCGAGGTGGCGCAGTGGTTAGAATGTAGTACTGCAGGCTACTTCAGCTGATCGCAAACCGCATCCTTCCGAGGTGGGTAAAATGAGGACCCAGATTATTGGGGGCAACAGGCTGACTCTGTAAACCGCTTAGAGAGGGCTGTAAAAGCACTATGAAGCGGTATATAAGTTTAAGTGCTATTGCTATTGCTATATGTTTATTCCTTATTATTTCCTCCCTTTAAAAATGTTTTTAAACTAATTATATGTTTAATACCAAACAATGTGGAAAAATGTAGATCACTTAATGATCTACAAATCACTCTTTGAGGATCACAGGGCTAGACAGTGTCCTCTCAGTAGTAGCAATAGCACTTAGACTTATATACCGCTTTACAGCCCTTTCTAAGCGGTATACAGAGTCAGCATATTGCCCCAAACAATCTGGATCCTCTATTTACTGACCTCAGAAGAATGGAAGGCTTGAGTCAACCTTGAGTCAGTGAAAATCGAACTGCTGGCAGTTGGCAGAATTAGCCTGCCATACTGCATTCTAACCACTGCGCCATCACGGTTCAAAGCTAAACTTGGGAAAGTTTAATTTTGGGTTGGAAGGCTTTCTAACATCTTGCTCTAAGATACATATGTATTTGCTATTTAGAACAGATTGCAAAATATCTATAATTTTATTTTTTTTATTACATTTCTTGTTTTGAGGTAGGGCAGTTTTTATGGTTATTAATGAAGTTTTATTTGAATTTCAGACTACATTGTAGAAGCTTAGGAGTCAATGTAAGCCACCAACAGTATTTTTCTGACTGCGACGTAGTAGAATTGTATTTAATTAATAAAGCAAAGGAAGGGCTCGTTTTCAAGAAAAGCCTTTGACTACTGTTGCTGCTAACTTTCTAAAGTAAAATATCAAATTAATTCATCTAACTCACCATCCCTTCTTATTTGAGTGTTTCTTGATTTTTATAGGCAGGCAAGGACAAAATGTTTCTACTGAATAAATTACGGGCGCTTCAAGCTTCTAAGTTGCCATCTTTGAGAAGGCAGCCGGAGGTTAGTTTTACAGATTTAACCTTTTGAAGACCGGATGTATCCATTGCTTATGCTGGTTGCTTAATAATGGTTTACTGAAAAAGCACAATTGGCTGGAATACACCAACATGCTAAGCTGTTAAGCTATGCCTCATAAACCTTACTGACTACCGTATTTTTCGGAGTATAGACGCACTTCCCTCTCCTAAAGAAGACTGAAAATTTGGGTGCGTCTTATACTCCGAATGTAACTTTTTTCGAAGCTTTTTTTCAGCCCTAACGAGGCGCTAGCAAGTGAAGTGATCTTCCGCGCTTCGCCTGCTTTTCTCATTGCTTCTCTCTCCGAGGATCAGCTGTGCTTTAGAAGCTGTTTTTTATCCCCAACCAGGGGATAAAAAAACAGCGCTCAAAACCAGAGAACTAATGTGCTGAAGCTGACCAGTCTAAGAACGCTAGCCAGATGAATACCTGGTAGGCAGCATTTTTTTCCCCCTATTTTCCTCCCCAAAAACTAAGGTGCGTCTTATACTTCAGTGCATTTATACCCCGAAAAATACGGTAAGCCCATATCAGGCAAACTCTGTAATGGCTTAGCATGTGTGAACCAGTCCAAGATATTCATTTTTATCTGGAAAACTGCAGATTGGAAAAGACCATTCACCAATTGTTGGGAGGGAGCGGGGAGAGAACATACGTTTCCATATTCATGTTTTGTGTTTAAGTCTTTTGGTTGGCAAGAATAATGTTCTCTGCAGTTCTAGGTATACCTAGAACTTTATTCGCCCTACCCTTTAAGCAGTGGGAAATCGCTGAATTTCTAACTAACCCAAAGGTTAGGGAAGAAGGCGGGGGAAAATTATGATTGAATTGTTCCAATATGATTTTAATCTAAAACAAGAATAGAATAGAATAGAATAGAATAGAATAGAATAGAATAGAATAGAATAGAATAGAATAGAATAGAATAGAATAGAATAGGAATTCTTTATTGGCCAAGTGTGATTGGACACACTAGGAATTTATTTTTGGTGCATATGCTCTACATAATGCCATTACTGTGGTCTAACTAGTTTAACTAATTCAATTAGTGTGTTTAACTAGTTCTGGATTTGGGGAAGAATGCCTTGGTTGACTAGTTCAGTCAACTGCACTAGTTGGGTACAGATTTATCTGAGTCTTGAAATTTAGAAGCTAAACAGCTTGACCAAACAGTCTCAGCCTGGATCAAAGAATTAACTGAAGGAAGCACATCTGGGGATAAAGTTGGTTTAGGATGAGTCACCAAAGCCAAGAACTAGCCAAGGCCCAATAATAAATCCCAAAAGGAATTCAAGCCATCTACTTGAAAGAAAGAAGCATGATGCAGCCATTTAGTCAAGCTAATATTCAGGCCAAGATAAACATGGTTATTATGATAGGCTCTTTGGAGCAAACAAAACACTACTGTTAACATTATCAGCATGCTGTTGTTAGACTACCTGGAAACACAGCTTGGAAATGGACTGTGATTGGTTCTTTCTGAAGCCAAGTTTGTCTCTCCGAATTGTTTTGCTAAAACAAGGTCTCAGGCCTGCGAAATACAGCTTGTAGCATGCTTTGGGTGAAGGTTGTATGACCACAATAAATTTGTTACGAGAAGTTGAGGGTGGGTATATAATTGGCCACAAGCAATGCTGATCAAGAGCAGAAAGTAAGCCAAATTTTGATTCATCTTCCAGAGGGACTTGTCTGTGAACCAGCTGCCTAAGGAGCAAAACTCTGTTTTGCTGCCCAGCTGTGTGGAGCCCTTTTTATGGACCGAAGATAATGAGTCTTCTACTGAGGTAATAGCAGGTGCAGTTGAGGATGTGGTGTGAGCAAACTTTGGAGTTCTTTCCTTTACATAAAAGCATTCAAATTGCAGTTGCCAACTCTTCCATGCTGTCCTGTAGATAGATTGGACTTCACCTCCCATTATACTTTATCAACCTTGGCCATATTGTTTGACACATCCGGGCTATATTATGATGTTTGGAGAAGATAGAAATCTGAAGGATACCTCTCTGAAGATGGTTGAACCATAAATGTCCTTAGCAATGTCTCTTCACCAAATGGAAACTTCATTTCTTCACAACACTGGGCTTCTGATAGTTCTTGGCCCAGCCTTCTTCAGTTTGATACTTTCTAGATGGGTTGGACCACAACTTCCTTAATTTTCACCCCATGGCCATGCTACTGACCCACCTAAAGAGCAAGATTGAGGAAGGCAGCAGGCCAGAGAAGGAACACAAGAAGAAATGAGGTTTACAGGGCAGGGACCTTTGAGGAGAGGTGAACTCTAGAGTTCTTCTGCACTCCTTCCTTTTGCAGGATAGCAAAACCCAGAAAGTTTGGAGGATTTTTTGGGTGAATTTGTGTCTTTATGCATTGCCATGTACCTTATGTAAACACTTTTAACCTCTGTACCTCCAAATGGCTCAACAATTGTGATCATTGCTTTAGTTGCCTGAAGAGCATTGTTGTTGTTAATTGTGAAGTCGTGTCCGACCCATTGCGACCCCATGGACAACGTTCCTCCAGGCCTTCCCGTCCTCTACCATCCTCTGGAGTCCATTTAAGTTCACGCCGACTGCTTCAGTGACTCCATCCAGCCACCTCATTCTCTGTCGTCCCCTTCCTTTGCCCTTCTCCAGTGAGTCCTTCCTTCTCATTAGGTGGCCAAAGTACTTGAGTTTCCTCTTCAGGATCTGGCCTTCTAAAGAGCAGTCAGAGTTGATCTCCTCTAGGCCTGACCGGTTTGATCGCCTTGCAGTCCAAGGGACTCGCAGGAGTCTTCTCTAGCACCATCATTCAAAGGCCTCAATTCTTTGGCGCTCAGCCTTTCTTATGGTCCAACTTTCACAGCCATCCATTGCAACTGGGAACACCATAGCCTTGATTATACGCACTTTTCTTGGCAGGGTGCATTAGCCTCATTCTTTTAACTGATTAGCAAGTCAACTAATTGATGTAGAAGGTTGTGGCATGGGAAGTGTTCAGTGTAATAAGTAATAAGCCCCATCATGAATTTGATACTAACAAAAAGCTAACTTAATTTCCCCTAGAAAATTATGTTGTTAACACATTGGAGTTTTATTAGCAGTCTTTAAATCAGTAGTATGAATGAGTACTACTGGGATAAACATCAGATGTTTGGTTTGATAAATATAGCTGCTTTATAATGTATAATGCTCTGTATTTCTAATCAAAATTTATGATTGTCTCCTTTTCAGTCTGTTAGACACCCTGCAATGGCCACCTTTAATCCTGGTAAGTATTAAGTGTTAGGCAGAAGAGTTGTATCAAGCATCCTAAACAATGAGTGCTTGAGATCTTTTTCATCAAAAGTTAATTTCAACATGCTAAATTGAAAGCATGCATGATCAGTGCTTAGTTGGTGCTGCTTATCTCAAAAAGTTAAGTAAACTATGGTTAGTGCTAGTTATTATGACCACAGGCTAGATTAGAAAGTCAAAACACGGTTAGTAGAAAGGAACTTACTTGGTCAGGTAACTCTGTAGTCACCGGAAGTCAAGCTTGACACAAGGTTCATCTTTAGTTTTGTCTGGAAGGGGAAGTGATACAATCAGATGTGTAGAAAGAGGCTGAAGGGAAGTCCCAAGTCAACAAAGCTTCTCTTGATACTTGGTTTGTGGGATGGGAAAAAGAAACCTACTCATGTAGCCTTCTATAAAAGAGTTGAGATAAAGCCCAGAGCATTCCATTTTGTGCCACTGAAATTTGGTGGCAAAAATCAAACTTTGGTAGCAGATCCTGGCTTCCCCATATCTACAGATGTTAAATAAAAAAAAAAATCAACCTCTTTAGAAATCAGGGTGATTTCACTGACCATGTGGCCATATAACTGCATGGACATCTGGGGCAGGAGAATTGGGTGTTCAATGAGGGTGGCATTTTGGTGTGCTTTGGGAGAAGACACCCTAAAGGGACTATTAGGAACATGGATACGCTGCCACAAAGATGAGAGGGTCAAGCTATTCTCCAAAGCACCAGAAGATAAAGACAAGAAGCAATGGATGGAAACTAATCAAGGAGAGAAGCAACCTAGAACTAAGGAGAAATTTCCTAACAGTGAGAACAATTAATCAATGGAACAACTTGCTTCCAGAAGTTGTGGGTGCTCTTATCACTGGAGTTTTTTAATAAGGATTTATTTTATTTATTTGTTTCCATTTCTATACCGCCCTTCTCCAAATAGGACTCAGGGCGGTGCACAGCCAAAGTAAAAACAGAGCATACAAAATTTAAAAAACAGTATTAAAATAATTAAATATTTTGGCCATAAATTAAAACAACCCAATTTAAAATCAATTTAAAATTTAACTCCAGCCAGCCCAGCTAGTTGAAATAAATAGGTTTTCAGGGCCTGACGAAAAATCCGGAGGTCTGTTATTGTACGTAACTCTGGGGGAAGGTTGTTCCAGAGGGTGGGCGCCATCACAGAGAAGGCTCTCCCCCTGGGGGTTGCCAGCCGACATTGTCTGGTGGACGGCACCCTGAGGAGGCCCACTCTGTGTGAGCGTACTGGCCGGTGGGAGGCTATTGGTGGCAGAAGGCGGTCTCGTAAGTACCCCGGCCCTAAGCCATGGAGCGCTTTAAAGGTGGTCACCAACACCTTGAAGCGCACCCGGAAGACCACCGGGAGCCAGTGCAGCTCGCGCAGGAGAGGTGTCACATGGGAGCGCCTCGTCGCCCCCATAATCCCCCGCGCGGCCACGTTCTGGACCAGCTGGAGCCTCCGGGTGCACCCCAGGGGGAGCCTGGGGATAACCTTTTGTCTGAAATGGCATAAGGTCTTCTGCCTGAGCAAGGGGTTGGACCTCCAAGATCCCTTCCAATTCTGTTATTCTAAACTACATTACATCAGTTTTCTTCCTTTTGCTTGTAACAGAGGCTGGCGAAATAACCCGGAATCCTGGAGTATCTGATGCTCTGGTTTTGGCTTTGAGAGCCAGACAAGAGGCTGAATGGGAAATGGAAGATGAAGAAAGCTTGAAGTGGAAGTAAAGAATGAAGTAATACACACGTCCCACCAAGCACTTTTTATCTATAATTTTGCTATTTGCACAAATAAGGTATTTGTAGGAACCGACAGAACTCTTATAAAAATGAGAAATTTTTAATAAAATTACTGGGCAGTTTTATATTTGATGAGGCTTTACTTTATTATCACTTCAGAAAATGAAGGCACCAAATTATTCCTTATGACAAGAATCTCTTTCCAGACCTCACCAAAACTTATAATGTATAGGCTACATTAATTTTATCATGGAAATCTGATAGGGTAATATAACCACCAGGAATAATCCCTTAAACATCATTATTTTCTCTCCACATTTATTTCTTTCTCAGAATTTTTTATTTTACAGAAATTATAGAGATTTGTACAGTACAGAGAATAAAAGAAACATTGATTATTATTTTTTTTTAAAATCCATGTATAGCAGCATGGTGAAAGGCAGAAACAGATTTACAGCTCATTTCAGTTTAAACAGTGCTTAGTGGTGTATGGGGGGGAACTGAATATTGGAATATTATAACCACAAATATATATTTTGCCTGACCTAGCAGCTGCACTTTAAATCAATTGATGATAAATAACCTTTTATTTGAGAACAAAATGAATGGCAGTTGCTAAGTGCCCGATTCTGCTCCATCCAAATTAACATAGAGACCGCTTAAGAATTTTTGTAAGAAATATCAAGAATTTTATTTGTGCTTGACTGCAAAAGCTTAAGGCAGCAGTTTTTGCACTAGTGTTAACATTTTAGTGTCACATTTTCAGAGAATCACATAACCAGAATACGTGAGATAATTTATCCCTGTTTTTCCCTTTTTTCTAGTAGTGGTTTCCATTACAGCAGTGATCCAAAACGTTGTTTTAAAAAACCTTTATTGCTGTAATCTTTAACACAAGTGATGTTTTACAGAGTGACACTTTCAATCTTGATGGAAACAATCCTTACAAATAATTGGCATTCTTTCGATTTTGGGCAAATCTCAATTCTGAAAAGACTGGACTGACTGAAGAAAAATGCAATCCAGACAACTGTTTCAGGTTTCTGTGAACAGACGCAATGTAAAAGTTTCTTTCAAGTTAGAAATGCAAGCTTCAACGAAAGCTAACTCTTAAACCTGCAATAAATGCACCTCACTTTTATCATCCTAGCCCTGGCAGCTGTGAAAAGCTCCCACTCCCAGCTTTCATTAAATGCCCGATCACATCAGAATATATTGCACATTGCCTTGCTACGTATTGATGAAGAGATTAACTGCATTATCAAAACTGGCCCTTGAATTTATGGGCGGGAGAGAGAAAATACTTGCATACTAGTTGGAAGTATTCTCCCCGTACTACCCCGTAGGTAGTCCTCGACTTACAACAGCAGTTGGGGCCAGAATTTCTGCCGCTAAGCGATGCAGCTGTAAAGTGCCACCGCATCGCTTAGCAATGGCAATCCCTGCTCTCCTGATTGTCGTCGTTAACTGAATCCCAGGGTCATTAGGTAAGGCAACTTCCTGTTGGTTTCCCACAACCAAAGTCAGTAGGGAAGCTGGCAGGAAGTTACAAGGCCCAGAGGAGTAAATGGCTGCTGCTGGGAAGGAGAAAAAAGGAGCAAGGGGGGGAGGGGAGTGTCTTGATGGCATGGAGGAAGGTGTGATGAGGTACATGAGAAGCATAGCACGGGTCAGGAAGGGTATATGAGTTGGTGAGGTAAGGATGTGAAGGGGTGCGGATGAGGTATAGTGCCAGTTGGGGAAGGTGAACAAATGGGTGGCGTGGCACAAGGGGGCAGGGAGGGCGCATAGGCGTGGGAAACCTATCTCGGTAACTTGCAATCCTCTCTGCTGGTTTCCCCACTGACTTTCTGGGGAAGCTGGCAGAGAAGGTTGCAACAGTGATCATGTGAATGCGGGGCGCTGCAACTGGCTGTAAGGGCAAACTGGTTGCCAACTACCCAGATTGCATTTGTGGGACTGTGGGAACGCTTTGATGGCTGGACCTCCGAGGATCGGTTGTAACCACCATTCATTCAGCGCTGCCATAACTTTTTTTTTTTTTTTAAATTTGATTTATATGCCGCCATTCTCTGGAGACTCATGGCGTCTTACAATGCGTTAAGCAACTTGGATCCCCCACTCCAGAACGCCTTGAAACCATTTCTGATTTAGAGGATTTACTTCTGGGAAACTGCCCAACCACTGCTGGCGCAGCAGAGGCCAGGGAAAGTCCAGGGGAAAAATGGAGCATTCATGAGTTTTCCAAAAAGTTCATTTCCCAACCCTCTTAATTCTGCCTACCTTGTAGCATATCGGGTTTTTTTTTTTTCCTGTTTAAGCTGCATGTATCTATTTGACTAAAAATGCCGAGTCTTTCTTGGAGGAAAAGGGATAGTCGTGAGAAATCTCAATCCCAGCAAAAAAAAAGGGGAAGGAATTTGGTGCAACCTGAAATGTAATCGTTTTCCTTCCCCTGAGGGAAGTGATGCAGCCTTCGTGAAATAAAATCATAAAGTCCCACTGAACTCCAGTCTGCCTAAGGAAGCCAATTGGCAGTTGAAGATCAAGCTAGTAGTGAGGGTCGCAATCCTCTAGTAAGCTGTCGGTTATATAGGTGGTCTGGAGAACATTTTCGTAATACATTTTTTCGGCAAGTGTGTTGACGGTCCAGGCGACAACGTGTACCCCTTTAGAGGACCAACGATTTACGTAGTCCCTAAAAGAAAGAAGGCAAAAATAATTACGGGATAAGTAGCTGCATTCTGGCTTATTTTAAAAATGTTTCTATAGCCGCTTTGCTGCTCTGATACAGTTCTTTCCTCCTTTAAAAACCTCAAAAGGCAATTAGAGCCATTTAAATTTGGGATTCATCCAAAAAAAGCTCATTGTAGATCCAATGTTCCTCAGGATTAAAAGCCATTTAAATTTGGGATTCGTCCAGAAAAAGTTCATTGTAGATCTAATGTTCCTCAGGATTAAAAGCCATTTAAATTTGGGATTCGTCCAGAGAAAGCTCTCTACGGATCCCAATATTCCCCATTATTTTATAAATGTGACACCAGCTTTTCTCCATGCAATCCCCGTCAAAGAACTCTAGCAGCCACAGACTGGTGAAACTCAAGGATGCTCTTCAACTTACTGCGAAACATAATTTTTCTGCATCAGGAAAACAGAAACGCCACATAAATGCCAGAGGAAGTTGTGCATGCTCCAGTCCATGATAACATCGAGGGCCATAGACAAATAGTGTTTCCAAAGAACTGTAAAGCGAGGCTTCCCGTCCCCGAAGTGACTGAAGCTCCAGGGTCGGTGGGTCAGAGCTGTTATGACATTTCTGTCAGCTTGTTTCATCTAAAAGACCAAATCACACGAAGCTCAACGCAGGCATCCCGATAGCTTAATGAGGTTATAATACAGGAGGTTTAACGATGCCTACATTCTGGCATTTTGGGAGGTCGTGAGAATCAAACTGCAAATCATGGGTTGTAGGAAGATCCACCTTGCTTTGCATTCCAATTGCGACCCTACTTGGATTGGGAGGCTCTCCTCATGGTCACTCATGCCCTTGTCACCTCACGGTTAGATTATTGCAACGCGCTCTACATGGGGCTACCCTTGAAAAGTGTTCGGAGACTACAGTTGGTCCAGAACGCAGCCGCGAGAGCTGTCGTGGGTGCACCAAGGTACACCCACATTACACCAATTCTCCGCGAGCTGCACTGGCTCCCTATTGGTCTCCGGTCACAATTCAAGGTGTTGGTTATTACCTTTAAAGCCCTACATGGCTCAGGGCCAGAGTATCTTCGAGACTGCCTTCTACCGCATAGCTCCTAGCGACCGGTAAGATCCCACAGAGTTGATCTCCTCCGGGTCCCGTCAGCTAAACAGTGCCGGCTGGTGGGCCCGCGGGGGAGGGCCTTCTCTGTGGCTGCCCCGGCTCTCTGGAACCAGTTACCTCCTGAGGTCCAGACCATCCCCACCCTATTGGCCTTCCGGAAAGCGGTGAAGATCTGGCTCTTCCGGCAGGCCTGGGGCCATTGCTCTCGCTGCTGCAATTTGGCAAGATCCGGCCATGAATGGTGTGAATGGGTTTTAATTGTTTTTAATGGTTTAACTTTTAATGTTTTATATATGGTTTTTAAATGCATTGTAAGCCACCTTGAGTCTTCGGAGAAAGGTGGCATGCAAGTTTAATAAATAAATAAAATAAATAAATTACAGTCCAAAACTTTGATATCCCACTGATTTTTCCCCGTGAGCATCTGCTTCCAAATTGAACAGATCTTGTTCAGAAATGCTTCAGCCTTTAATAGGACATCTGAAGACGAGCAGTTCGGTCAATGCATACACGCTTTAAAACACAAACATCCCACCTATTGCATACTGCGGTGGCCTAGAAGTGGAGCTCTTGCCTCACAATCAGGAGGCTGTGAGTTCGATCCTAGGTAGAGGCAGATATTTCTCTCTCTCGGCACAATGACAATATATCTGCTGAATGTAACTCCATATTGGAGACAGGAAAGGCATCCGGCCAGTAAACACTCAGCTCTATTCAGTTGCTCAGACTCCATCCCACAAGGGATTATGGGGTCATTGAAAGAGGATGATTGCATACAGAAAGTTACCTATTACTCACTCTTCCCTCAGAGAGATGAAGCAGGGCATTGGTGTTATAAACTGAACACACAAGCATTAAAAAGCACCGAGACAAACACATTTCTCCACCCTTCAGCCAATGCAAAACACCAATTTGATCAACCCTTACGCTTAATCCAATGAACTCTTCTTACACTGACTTTCCAATATAGGGAAGGCCCACAGTTTATTGAGTATGTTAAAATAAACTAGACTATGTTAAGGCTCTAAAACAGAGGCCTTCAAACTTGGCAGCTTTTTTTTTTTTTTTAATTTGATTTATATGCCGCCCTTCTCCGGAGACTCAGGGCGGCTTACAATGCGTTAAGCAATAGCCTTCATCCTTTTGTATATTTATACAAAGTCAGCTTATTGCCCCCACAATCTGGGTCCTCATTTTACCTACCTTAGAAAGGATGGAAGGCTGAGTCAACCTTGAGCCTTGGCGAGATTCGAACCAGCAGAAATTGCAGGCAGCTGTGTTAATAACAGGGTGCACTAAACCCCTGTACTATCAAGGCTCTTTAAAACTTGTGGACTTCAATTGCCAGAAGTCTGGGAGTTAAAGTCCACAAGTCTGAAAGCTGCCAAGTTTGGGGACCCCTGCTCTAAAAAATAAGTAGCATATGCTTCCCTGTTCATAAGATAACATTTTGTGCATCTTGTATAACACCAAGCCTACTCAGAAACTTCCTATCATCATGTCACCAAATTATGAGATATTAGTAACTCTTTGAAATCTTCACCTTATAGACAACATCTGGCATAAACGAGCAAACCACACTGGTGTTGTACAGCCGTGGATATTCTAGGTAGAGTTGTGTCAAGGTTGCAACCGCCTGCCAGTAAAAAGAAAATGGCATTTAAAAAATAATAATATTGGACAAAAGACAGGATTTTGTGTGTGTGTGTGCGTTTCAGCTACTGGAGGGAATTCTTGTGTAGCAGATGTTACTAATTAAAGTGGCACGCGCAGAGTGCAAAATAATTTGTGTTTTGGAAAAAAGAATACACACCAAGGCAGGTGAATGCAGCAGAATGTACTAATGTACATGGAAAAGTTGCTTTCCAAAACAACAACTTAGTTTAATTGAAAAGACACAGATTCGGGGAAAGACTCAGAATTCAGCCCTAGAGTCAATGAACAAGCTTTTAACCTCACTCTTGATTTTTTTCAAATAACAGGACTGAAAAAGAGCATTGTTAGTGGCACAGCCTCTACTTACTGGTGCGAGGGGAGAGTAACTCAACATAAAGATTAGTATCTTCGTACAATTTATATTATCAGAAATTTTTTTGCTGTTAATAAATGCCTTTAGGAAAACAAAGTCTACCAGTTCTCTGCCCCTTCCTTAAACTATGGATTTTCTCTCTGAATTAGAGAAAAAGCATTTCTGAGAAAACCTTTATCTAGTCATTACTTTAGCACCATGAATAAAAAAATAGTATTAAAAAAATCACCTTGTTTGTTATCGTCAGAACGTTTTGTCGAATGGAAGAGCTCCACAGGAAAGGAAAAGCTGTTAAAAGAGTACCTGATCTGCGTGTCCCTTGACATCAAAGTAGATGATGAGGTCATGATGCAAACTTTCCATAACAGCTTCTTTTAGGGTTGGTATTTTTTCCCCACGATAATCCCTCCTGGAGGAAAAAAATAACCACACTTGAAAGGTGTGCATTTCAACAGAAAAGTATCCAATAAAAAAAAAGGAAATATTTCCCCATTCGTACTGTACCACCACTAAAGATCCCAGGTTATATATTCCAGTAGAAAAGGAAAACAAACTCCTGAAAGTTGTTTAAAGATCCTTGAACAATTTAGCCATTTAAGCACCAGAAGGCATGACTATTGGCAAGTTGCAATCCATAAAAAGTACGTGCACAGGTAGTCCTCAACTTACAACCATTTGTTTAGTGACTGTTTGAAATCAGAACGTCAGCGAAAAAAGTGACTTACAACCAATCCTCACACAACTGTCCCAGCATCCCCATGGTCACTTGATCAAAATTTGGGTGCTTGCCAATCAGCATGTATTTATGATGGTTGCAGCATTCTGGGATCATGTGAATATAATTTGTGACCTTCCCAACTGGCAAATTCAACGGAGGAAGCTGGATCTGCTTAAGGACTGTGTGTGACTCACTTAAGAACCGTGGCAAATAAGGTCGTAAAATTGGGCACGACTCAGGGAGTGAACGACGGGGTTGTTCCCTTACCATAATCTATGTTTAGCAGCTGGATTAAATTGTCGAATGTCGGCAAATGTCAATTGACGTAAACTACCAGAGCCATCAGTGGTCCTGTCCACCGTTTCATCGTGCATCAGGATAGGAACTCCATCTGCTGTGAATTCAAGATCCAGTTCCACTCCTGTGGCTCCATTCTCAGCTGCCTTAAGAAACAAAATCCACGTTTTCAGAAGAGAATATATAATAAGGTGTGCTTTTAATTCAGTATAATTGGATAACTTTGCCTTGTGACAACAGAATAGAATAGAATAGAATAGAATAGAATAGAATAGAATAGAATAGTCTTTATTGGCCAAGTGTGATTGGACACACAAGGAATTTGTCTTGGTGCATACACTCTCAGTGTACATAAAAGAAAAGATACATTCGTCAAAAATCATAAGGTACAACACTTAATGATAGTCATAGGGAAATAGTCAATATAAATCTTAAGGATACCAGCAACAAGGTTACAGTCATGCAGTCATAAGTGGAAGGAGATGGTGATATGAACAATGAGAAGATTAATAGTAATGCAGACTTAGTGAATAGTTTGACAGTGTTGAGGGAATTATTTTAGCAGAGTGATGGCGTTCGGAAAAAAACTGTTCTTGTGCCTTGTTATTCATGTATCTTAAACTTGCTGAGGTTGAGAAACAAAGACCCAAGCAATGAAGCCTAAGCAAAATAGCTACTGACAAATCCATGTTATTTCAACAGGGACAACTAAAAACAAATGTTCAAGCTAAAGTATTTCATCCTTTGAATATCGAAGTTGCAACCCCAAACTTCAAAGGGAATGCTCAGTGATGGAAGATAGGCATTTTTTCCCTGGCTTCATTCTTGACATCACTCAGATGGGTTGGAGGTCTCCTTTGCGGCCGCTTAGAGATTGTCAAAATAGTTGTTTTTTGTCTGACAGAACATTTGTGACCAGGTGCTGCCAAAGCAAGGGTTAAAGGACTTCTCTAAAGTGGTTCTGACTGGAACAGCCATGTTGTGCAAACACAAGGAAAGAATGGGACACCTTATGATTGCGTATCAGGCAATTAAGTAATACAATAAACAATGCAAAACAAGGCAGAGTTCGCATTCAGAAATCAGCAAAGGCTACTCAAAAAGTATTAGAATCTGGTTTCTACCAGCCATTAGGAAAAGAACAGTGTAAACAGCTTCTGTCATAAATTCCCTTCTGATCCAAGTCTCCTGTATATTATCTTGGGAAACAGACAGTTACTATAATTATCTTTAATGATTCACCAATATTTGCAGGTGATCTCCCATGCTAATTTGCTGCCTCTTGTTTGGGAGGTTCTTTGAGGCTTTAATCCCTCCTGTTTGCAAACCAAACAAACCTAGCCTTTTCTTTATCACACATTTAATTGCAATCACGTGCTTCTAACGGTTTTCAATTCATCAAGGCCTCTTCATTCCTAAGATTCATCATATTTAATAAATGTGGCAGTGGGAGGCCCATCTCTCCTCTTTCTGACCGCTAGCCCCTCAGATCCTTCAGGAATGAGAAGCAAATATTGTAAATTAAATAACTTTCTAAACTCCATGCTGTTGCACTACTTAAATCCCTCTAAAGTTAAATCAGAAGTGTGATTTCTACATAACAAAATCAGTAGGATTTCTGTGGTTGAGAATCTACAATAAGTGTGAATATATATATATATAAACACATGCAATAGATATAAAATATACAGTACTAATACTAAACTGTATGTATGTAGTGTGTAGTTGTACACTGTATATGTACATTGTACTGTAAGACAGGTAGTTCTTGACTTATAACAGTTCGTTTAGTGACTGAAGTGACAACGGCACTGAAAAAAGTAATTTATGACCATTTTTCACACTTACGACCATTGCAACATGCCCATGGTCACGTGATTTACAGTTGGATGCTTGGCAACTGATTCATATTTATAACGGTTGTAGCATCCTGGGGCCACTTGATCCCCTTTAACTCTCTTCAGATAAGCAAACACAGTAGGGAAGCTAGAGTCACTTAACAACCATGTTACTTATTTAACAACTGCAGTGATTCACTTAACAAATGGAGCAAAACTCACATACCAAATTTCTCACTTAGCAATATAAATTTTGGGCTCAATTGTCATAAGTCAAGGACTATCTGTATATATAATATAGTACTATGCTCTATGTATTGTATATATTATGTATATATCCAGGCATACATTTCATCTGGAGAAACACCAGCTGTCAACAAGGTGTGCCTACTGGCTAACATCCAGATGTTATGTCTAACACACAAATTACTGCAACAGATTAAATATACAACCACATGCAAATATATAACTCACCCACACATATCCTTGTTGACAGCTGGTTCTTCTCCCGATGAAAATTAATAGATATATTTATTGCCTGCCTGCCTATCTTCTGATTTATGACTGTAACTTTGTTGTTTGTATCCTTAGGATTTATATTGACTGATTCCTAATATGATTTGATTGCTTATTTGTACCCTATGACTATCATTAAGTGTTGTACCTTATGATTCTTGATGAACCTATCTTTTCTTTTATGTCCACTGAGAGCATATGCACCAAAGACAAATTCCTTGTGTGTCCAATCACACTTGGCCAATGTTTA